TAATTAGCACTAGTGGTGGTCCGATTAATTGAAATAATCGAAGATTGGTCGCAGTGGAAAAACGACCAAGCAATCGATCACATTTTCTCATAATCGAACACAAACGATTTTGGAACCGCTGTAATAGAGTTTGAAATACTTGATGATGGAACATATCTAGGACGTTGTCAGGGCCTGAAAACGTGTTTATTTCTAAGAAAACTCACTTCACTTTCTGAAAAGTCATGACTGAATATTTTCTTGAAGAATCTGGGAAGTTAATGTTACACTGGAACTGAATCATTTTACACTGGATGTGAAATCTGCAAATGTAATTTGTGCAGTTTCTAAAAACAACAACAGAGAACCAAATGTTTTTTTCTTTATACTTATCTGCAACTACAACCTGAATAGGAAAATCTAAAAAATGACGCTAACCAATTTTATTTTCGATGATTGGTCGTTGGTACTAAACCAATCATCAATTGTGAGATTTCAACCAATTCCCAACGCTAATTAGCACTCACCGCCTCTAGTCAATAAATGTTAAAGAACCAGAAAATGAAATGTCACTATTCCCTTTGAGTGTTAAATAAGACATGATGACCGATCAACGCCATCAGCCCAAAAGTAATCTGAAAGCTTATAACTGTGGTTCCTTCTTTGCGCCAGTCAATGAAGTACTTAACGTCAAAGAGTTGACAGATAGAGTATGATGAACGACCCCCCTACACGAAGTGATATATGCTGACTTAAGAAACTCGTATTCGTTTAAAGAAACTTTAACTCGTACTAACAGACCGGAGGGCTCTGTGCCCGGAACACTCCCCTGTCAGAAACATTATCAATCGTGTCATCGATTTGTAGTAGTGTCTTTCGAAGATCGTTATAGTCTACTGGCGAGAGCTGACTCATCATTTCGAAATGCAAGATAACTCCTTGTGGTTACTGTAACCCATGAGACACCTCCGGTCAGAAGTACTTAATTCAGTCTGTGTATATCACTTCATTTGCGTTGATATGCATGATATCGGATGCATTTTGTGACGTGAGTGTTATGTATACTATACAATATAGGTTATGTTAACATAAATGTAGGTGGCATTTCCCCAAGGTGAATAAATTAGAGAAATATATTGAGACCCATACACAATATTGCAAATGTCCACATAATGTAATTGTATTTTAATGTAAAGTAATGAACAGCCATTCTCGATCAACCGTCAAAACCAATTCCTCTGGGTACAAGAGGAGAATATGAATGGCCAACTAAAACCCAGGTGCTTGCAAAAATGGCAAGCAGTCCATCACTTGCCATTCCTGAAATTACTGAATTGAATAATGGCTATGTAGATTGTATTGCTTCAGAGATGTTTATAACAGACTGGCTATTGCTTATCCCTGTTATTATTCACCTCTCTGGGACTTGATCGGTCTCTTGGTCTTCAGCAACCCATGCTTGTCGTAAGAGGTGACTAACGGGATCGGGTGGTGAGGTTCGCTGCCATCCCAATTGCTCATGTTGTTGATTACTGGATTGTCTGGTCCAGACTCGATTAATTACCAACCACCGAAATAAAGCTGGAACATTGCGAGTGCGGCGTTAAACAAAAAACATGAACATTGTAAACACAAGAAAAAATCTTTATATTTAAGACTCACAATGGCTGAGACAGCAAGATGACAGTCAGGACAACGCGCTGCTAACCTGACCAGTGTTAATACAGGGGTTATCCCTAAGATAATGTACTTGTACATTTACGATGTCTAGTCTCCTGTTTACGAGTTCGTTGTTCGTGGGTCCAATATGTTTTGTGTCAGTTCCACCATTAACAAACCGTGTAGCTCATTCGCTTGTGATGAATGAATATCGGCGTGCACTTCGAATGTAAGCTTGTCGTCAAGATAGAGAATAACTGACACAAGATGGCAGGATCAGTCGATACGTTTTTGTGTTTTTGTGTAGATGAAGGTTGGTTGGTGGTTTGGGATTGGTTTGAGGGCGGTGGGGGTAGCCTAGTAGTTAAAGCGTTCGCTCGTCACGCTGAAGACCCAGGTTCAATTCCCCACATGGGTATAATGAGTGAAGCCCATTTCTAGTGGGCACTCATTCACCGTGTGATTCTCTCTATCCATCAATCCATGTGCGTGCCGGTTGTTCGGGGTTGGTTTTGTGGGTCGTTTGTTGGGGACGAAGCGGTAATATGTTTTCTTAAATGTGGTGGCTTCTTCTCTCTGCAAATTCATGGAAGACATGTTCAATATTGATTATATAAAGGAAAGCGATATTAACTCACTCATCATGACAAATTCTTCACAAATCCATACCTCTTAAAGGATTGTTTCCATTTGTGAGTTTATATTATCAACTCTTGTGAGTTTTTAAGATAGCTTGGATCCCAGAGCATGTGCATGATTATACATTTGCTAGGTGCCTGATGTCCTCTGTGCAGGCGATATAAGTGACAGTTCGTGAACTCCACTGGTGGCTAATCAAATAGAACCAAATTTATAGCCGTGACTCTATTGACCTTGAACAAAATTGTCAAACAAAAAATATGATGAAATTGGACTCTGAAGCCCATCTAGGCGCCGAAGCAGAAGCTCAATTACAAAATGATATTGCAATGATTTCTTGAAAAAGAATTTAACTTTCTTTACAAGATTTAACTAAAAATCAATAAAGTGAAAAAGTGATAAAGAACCCATGAGCGTAGTTTTAATTAAATGTCAAGCTATTGGGCGTTCTATTCAGGCACACGCACATGCATGTATGTAAATACTCAAAGTGGCGATTTCACCTGCTTTTACTGCTCGTTTCATTCCGGACAGGGAGAGAACTTGCGAACAGAACCATAATTGAAATGGCTTAAGAGAAGCAAATACTTTGTTAATTATGACAGTGCATCATGTCTTTTAGTCACATGCTTTGAAATTCATTAATCTTCAGTTTTGATGAAAGGTTTGACTTTGAAGCTGAACAAATACCGTGAACCAAACCCAATGATTAGAACAGATGGTAAATTATCTGTTGAAGGATCAATGTATTTCAGCACGTGGATGAAAACCAAGCCATGAAGCTTTCACCGTAGAACGGGAAGACATCTAAGAAACAATACTGTATGCATATCAACTCAAACCTTCTAAAGTTTCAGGTCCTCTTGGGGGTGTGTGAGTCCCTTCTCTTTCAAGGCATTTTTCATACTACGTGGTTTTGATCGCAGAAATTTGAGAATATATGTTCTTTTATTGTTTGGCTAACTATAAGTATAATCGCCAACGGCTGAAGGGATGGTGTAAATCCAGCTAGATGCGGGTAGCAAAAATACTGTTAGTCCCTATTTTTCCTAGTATGGTGATCTGCAGTTGCTGGCGATTAGCACAATTCAGGACAATACAAATGACAATTGATAAGCACAAGTTTCGACTTGTCCAGCTTGACAAGCCATCAGACGGTATAACAGACGGAGGGTGACATACCGTTGTTGCATTAGAATCAACCTGGAAGGGCATGAGGCAAGATACAGGTCGAAATTGATGCCCCGCAAATGAGGATACCGGGAAATAGGAGTTGTGATACGAGTGAATAACCTCGGGGCCGTTGAAATTCCAAATGGGAGGACTGCCCATTGGAAATGTTGATTGTTGAAGTAGAAGGCGCAGGTACTTCCTGTTGCTGGGGCGTATTGGAATGTGGAGGTATGCGTCCAGTAGGTCCAAAATGATGAGGAAGTCGTTGACGCATATCATAGATGTGAGGTACTCGAGGGATGTCATTCGGAAGTGCAGAGGACGTTCCAGATAGGTCTCGTTGAAATATGACAGGTTTCGGATCATCCTCAGTTCCTCGGACCCTTTCGTTGGTACCACGAATATTGGAGAATAAAACCCTGGTGTTGTGACGGGCTGAGGGACTAATTCCACCGCTCTCTTCTCCAGTAGAATACCTATGTTCTCTGCTAGGAGGTCTTGTTGAATCTTCGAGTGACTGTAATATTGCTGGAAAACAGTCAGAGGTGGATCTTTGAGGAGGGGGGAGCCTCAATATGTCTGTGACGTAGGGATCCTCTAGGATTGACCAAGTGGCCTAGAAAAGCCCTATTCTCCCACTTACCGGTGTAGGGTAAATTGGGACGACAGGATGTTCAGGAGTATTCTGTCGTGCGCGTTGCTCATTTCACTTGCCTCTACGTCCGTCGCGCTGGAAGGGGGCACGGCGACGTTGATATCCTCCTCTGTCCGGGCGAAACTTGCCACGAGTTGGGGCTTTATTTCTCGCTCGCCGAACAGACTGGTAGGTGTTTGATTGTAGTGATGAAGGGAGTTGTTCCTTCATAAAAGCTTTCAGATCTGTCTCCCCTTTAGACAAGTCACACACTTCCCTATAAACGTCATTCATGACGTTATTAAAAATCGTAGATGATAATCAAGGTTGATAAACGGGGAAACTCTATGGTGAAAGGGGAGCGCAGCTGGCACATTTATTGCCAGGAGTGGCACACTTCAAACAGCGTGTGTGAGGGCCATTAGGAAACTTCCCTCCCTTACAAGGTATACTGCGTGCGCTGTACATGGATCTGCAATAAAGGAGAAAATCCCAGTGAACGCACATTGAACATTACAACGGTAATGAGTACAACAACATAATTGAAAAAAGGAATGTCTCACAATTACTGAATAATGGAGACCATAACTAAGACGTAATTAAATAAACTACTTTAATATAAGATATAAGCCTGAGCCAAACACACGACGACTACAAATACCACGAAGTGTTGTAATGGCGAGGTGATAGAGTGATGAAGGGATCGCGACATATAATATATATAAAAACGAACACCATCACTATAACAGTACTAATAATGAATAAATGGAAAAAAAATCAAAGGTACGTACACTTCTCGTAGAGTAACAGTGGAAGAAAACAACCACACAAAGTCAGTGTATTAAGACAAACACAATCCCGTAGGATATACAGTATCATCTGGCAAACCACACGTCTAGCCAGGCGTGCGAAAAGCAATAATCTGAGGTGGCTGACGTGACGGTGCGCAGACGAGTGAGCATCCCAGACCAGGAAGTGATTACAGTTCTACGTCTTTCAACTTCGTCTGGCAAGCCACGTTTTCGAGTCATGAGCAATAAGCGCATGACGTCAGTAGTGCAGGATTAGATAAAAATATGCTTTTCTGAAGTACCCGTCCCAAAAAAGGAGCGGTAGGCATAAATGGGTGGGGTATTTGAGTGACTGAGTGAGTTAAAATTCACATCGACAGTTTTTGCAGCCATATCGTGACTAGAAAAAGTTATAAATACATGATAATAATATTTAAATAATAAAAACCTTGTCGACAAAGGACAGTAAATTCAACTGAAATATCACAGAACCAGAATTTTAACCAGCCTGTCTCTCTAAAAGTGGATTTTTAATCAGTCCCATACAATATAAAAACGGGCTGCAGATCGACAGCAACGGAAGGTAGATCACCATACTAGGGACCATGGGGATTGACAGTGCTTTTGCTACCTGTATGGACCCTAGTTGGATTTATGTCATTCCTTCAGCCGCTGGCGATTGTAATCAAATTTAGCCATCATAAAAAATCACAAATATACTACGTTCTAAATTAACTGGTAGGCTTAAATGCACTGAATGTGTTGGGACTTATGCATCCGCACAGGACAATAATTTTAATGTGGATTTGAGTTGCAAACCTGACAAAATAATGAAGATGCTTTTGAAGAATGTTACTTGGCTGAATACATCCAGGGCAGCATGGCTCAACTACACCTGTTTATATCCATGGTTCAAACAGGCCGAAAGAGGAAGATATTAACAATACATTTACCCGACAATGAGGTTAGACATTATTTAGCAACTTTGGTCTGAAACAGTCTCGCTACAGTTGTAACACGTTTACCCTATTGGATTCAAGTAACGTGAGTGGGTGTGTATGGTTTTACGCCGCTTTTAGCAATATTCCAGCAAAATCACGACGGGGGACACAAAAAATGGGCTTTACAACATTGTACCCATGTGGGGAATTGAACCCATGTCTTCGGCATGACGAGCTGACGCTTTAACCACTAAAATAAATGCCATTTACCTCAAGTAAATCATAGCTGCTTTCAGGTACTGTCTACTGAAATGTGTTTTATGAACAAGGGCCACTGATGATGCTTCTTGATAGGAATAATAATTGGAATTGTGTGTTTGTTCTTAAACACCGAACTCAGCAACCTTCGGTTGTCACACGTTGACCCCAGTGTGTTTTAGAAAGGATGCTTTAGGGGAGTGCCTAACTGTAACGTGATTCATGTATCAGGGGTAGAGTATGTTTGAAATGACAAAGCAACACAGTATATTGCCATCAGTGAAAGTACTGAAATCCGTCGAGTCCTTGACAGTCCATTAAAGAGCGAGTGAATTTAGTTATACGCAAATTATAGCAATATCACGGTGGGGAACACCAGAAATGGCCTTTGCACCCATGTTGGGAATCGAACCCGGGTCATCGGCGTGACGAGCGAACAGTTAACCACTAGGCTACCCCACCGCCCCGACCATTAAAGACAACCAGATATCCTACGCATCCTTGAGAAGGCAGACCGGTCACGGTGTCAGTCCGGTTCTTGGTGAGGTCTGTAGGATGAAGATACACGAGTTTGAAATCTATAACATTGACGAATGAATCACAAATTCATGCATGGCGATAACTGTATTCATCTACATGTAGGTACGTAAGTCCCAAAACATTAAAAATATATTTATGCCTACCAGATTCTTAATTGTAATTTTAATTATGCCTGAATTCCAGTACAATCGCCATCGGAGGACGGGATGATGTAACTCCAGCTGGGATCCATGCAAGTAGCAAAAGTACTGCTAGTCCCCATTGTCCCTAGTATGGTGATCTACCTTCAGTTGTTGGTGATCTACAGCCCGTTTTCATTTTGTGTATATTGTATTGTCTTAATAGTAAAATCGTTTTAGATTTACATACTAGTTCTGCATCTAAATCTGTGATACTCTAGTTGTTTTTACTGTCCAGTTTAACCGACAGGTTTTGATAATTTAACTTCATTTATTATGAATGTATAACTTATTTCCTCACGATATTGCAGAAATACTGCCGATGTGACTTAAAATCTTGATACTGTTTATATATATTTGTCATTAATGTTTGGCTTTCTCTCGTCACGATATCGCTCAAATACTGCCCATGTGACGATACCAATACCACGAAGTCATCATTCAACCAGAAGGTGTTAGCGGGTGTTTCAAGTAAAAGTGTGAACCCTGAAACATGAAACATCCCTCAACACCTCAAAGCAGCGGAGTCATCATTAATTAAGAGTAATTTTGAAGAGCCCTCATGTTCATATAAACGAACGCACAGACAATTTAACGAATTCGAATCTTAATCGGATAACATGAACACGGGAGTGGTTAGATAGTAAATAAAGTGGTACAGTACAACCAGAAATTATTGAGAATTTAAAGATTGTAATTGGTGTTTTTTTCACTCATTACTCACGTATTAAATGTGAATATTAGCAGAACATAACTCCAGATTCAAAGACAAATGAACAGTTAGTATTTTGTCAAGTCACCATGGGCAGCAATGCAGGCTTCAATGCGGAGGGGCATACTACTGATCAAAGAAGTTAGAAAGTCGTGGTTCATGCTGTCCCAATATCCGACCACCTCTTCTTTCATTTCAGCAATATTTGTCAGATTTTTCTTTGATTGACACTTTTTACGCCGCATAAGTCCCCAAACATTTTCTATTGGATCTAGGTCAGGGCTATAGCTTTAACCACTAGGCTACCCCACCGCCAATCTAATAATGTCATATTTTGGGTCCGGAACCAGGCCTGTGAATGCTTTGAACGATGTTTTGGGTCGTTGTCCTGCTGGAAAATCCAAACATTTCCATAGAACACGTGAGCAGATGGAAGTAAATGTCCCTCGAGAATATCTGTGTACCGCTTACTGTTCATATTCCCTTCAAATACACAGAGGGCGTTGCCCCTAACACAGATATGCCAACCGTCACGTTAAATTTCGGACTGTACTTTGGGCGCTGATACAAAAGTTTTTCAGTTTATTTGGTCCAGAATGTTTAGTGTATTAGCAGCCACACAGAACTTTCATCTGAGAAAATCACATTGTCCCAGTTAAAATTTCTATGCTGTAAGCACCAGTTCAACCTTCGCTCCTTTTGTTCAGGTTTCATGATCGGTGATGGAATTCCTCGACTTTTCTGCCAACCCATTGCACGCAGCTCAGTTCTAATTGTCTCCTTACAGACAGCCACAGTTCCTCTATCAATCATATCCAGCCTTAAGTTTTCTAAACTCCTTCGTTTGTTTTTAGAAACAAGAATACCAAGCCGCCTCCTGTCACCGACAGTCAATCTTCTGGGCCTACCTGCGCCTCCCTGGTGCTCAATGCCATATCCATTTGCAATATTTTTCAAAACACGATAAACAGTGGACAAAGGGATGCCTGTTCTACTTGAAATCACTTTAGCTGATCTGATGTCCTTGTTATAATACTGTAAAATCAACTTCCTCTTCTCTAATTCATCCATACTGAGGATCACTGAAACTGCTAGCAAGTAAACAAAGGGGATAACTCTTCACAAACTAATGAAAAAGGATTTACGGAGTTGTCTCTCTTGAATGAAACCAAGCACTTGATAGCTGGTCAAGGTTCTTTATACTAGAAATCTAATTTAACATATTCCTAAAATTCTCAATAATTTCTGGTCATACTATAAGAATTTCTGCGTATGGGGCGGTGTGATTGTTGGAGGTAACGAAGGAACTCTTAACTCCCAACACACCTGAGGGGGAAAGGACAGTTTTTTCTTAGGACCAGAATACTTCAAAACTCAAAACTCAAACTTAAATATGATGAATTAATTTGTATGTTCCTAAAAAATTATACACGACGGGCATACTAGTATATACTCATGCCAATAATGGTTGTCACACCCTTCAAAAAATTTTTATTGGAGAGGGTGTGGGGTGGGGGTTGGGGTTAGGGGTGACAACCATTATTGGCATGAGTATATTTTGAGAGAGAGAACCCAAACCAGTCCAAGGCAGCTGCCAAGGAAAACATCGAAATATTCTGCTCTCAAGAAATATTTCATATAAATTTTAAGTGGTTTGATTAAGAATTGTAATTTTGTAATGTTTTGCATACTTATGTCTGATAGTAATAACGAAACTGTGTGCAACTTGTGTAAATTTTGTAAACACGCCATTTCTATAAGATACGAAAAGATGAAACACAAAATGTAAACCATAAATGCCAATATGTTAAATTTCCATTACCAATGCATATATGTATGACATTATGTTTATTTGTATATGGACCTAAGGCCACGAATACAATAACCTGAATTAGAATTATCACAGAGGTAGTATACCGAAGAGGTAGCAAATGTTGACGATCAAAGGACTATGCACAGCGTTCCTGAGGGATTACCAGGTGGTGGGTGCCGACTTGCCTATGGCCTACTGTGGATGCCTGAAAATGGCGACTTTTGATCAGAGGTGTGCTGCAGTTCCTGAATGAAAACGGTTGGTCATAATGACATCTGATGAAAGACTGGTTTCTAATTAAATTCCAGTGACGTCATCGGTTTTATTGAAGATGCGACATTCCATGTATTAAATGTTTGTGATAAATATAAATGTTTGTCAGAAAAATTATGCTATCTTTTGTCAATAAAACAATATGTTAATGGTAACCATATTAAACCATTCTACAAAACTCTCCTTCTACATACGACGTTGCAACATTGTTAAACATATATTTATTGCTAGATAACTACTTCAATTTGTGCTCACGTGACATTATAAATACATTATATATTAACTGTAAAATGGGCCGTAAGGCCGTATATTACCGAATAAAGTGTCTGTCTGTCTGTCTGAAACTGATGACCGAGACGTCTACCGTTGTCTTTTCATCATAATGACATCTGATGAAAGAAAGGATTCGTTCACAGACATGTAAAATATTTTGTACATCATAGTCGCCATCATAGCTGTTACTTCATATGACATATACCCAATGCAAAAACATCAGTATCAAAGTTAGGAACGCATGGCGTTCACCTTACTGTTCACTCTTCCTGCCAATGCCATCTGGAGGGACACCTGGCGGCTTCCGTACTCGTCCTCTCCTACAAGAAAACAAATAATACTTTCTTCAGTCCTTGGAGTCACGGTTACTTTTACCCATAGACTCTAATTACCATATGGCCAACATGTTTTTGTTCTTTTTCTCTTTGGCACATGAACGTTTTCATTTTCATCCATGGGAATGTTGTTGTGCGCCGATGTCAACAAGGTCTATTTTGGGGTTGTTCTGGAGGGGACCGCCTCCGTGGTGTAGTGGTTAGAGCGTCCGCCCGGAGAGCGGAAGATCGCGGGTTCGATCCCCGACCGCGTCATACCAAAAGACGTTACAATATGGTACTTGTTGGTCCCTGCCTGGCGCTCGGCATTAATGGGTACAACAAGAACTGGTTGGCTCGGAGTCAGTATAATGTGTCTGAGTGGGGTATTCATGCTTCACTGCGGCATGGTATCTCAGTGGGCTAGCACTATAAAACCAGCTTCAGTCTGGCCTAGTACAAGCAGCCACACCTACACATACACACGCATGCACGTCGTCATATGAGCGAAATATTCTCAAGCACGACGTTAAACCCAATTTCACCTCATCTGTTCTGGAGGGTCCTTGAAGAACTGATGTTCTCGGACACAGTGGTTGATAAGTACAAATACAACCGTTACGCAGAAAGTACAAAATTTTCATGCTGCACGAGATTCTGTTCCGAGTGAGCGTTATCTTTGCATGATCAACATGTATCAGGGTCAGTTTTAGTTTTGGGCGCTCGTGACAGGTTGTGTATGGATGGCTCTCTCCATTTGAGGTGTTTAGCAAGAAAAATATAGTTGAGAGAAGTATCTATTGACAATGAACATTTACCAAATAAACAGCTTTTCATTTTAAGTTATATACGTCATTATTTCTTAATATATTTCACATTTCTCGTTACATTAAAAGGGTATTCCACGTTGATTAGCTGATTATTAGGGACTTTGATGTTTAGTTAATTGCAAGGTAAGTCAATATTAAGGTATTTTAAAGATTTAAACTTGAGATTGAGGTTTCTCTTGCTGTTGCCGTTGAAGTTTGATGTTCCTGTCGTTGGTATCGTTGAAGTCGTTGTTGCTGAAGTCATATTTCCCTTTGCCGATGCCTTGCATTTCGCATCTGGTTAGCTTCATCAACTGTCTGAGCCTGAAGAAAAACAATGAATGTGAATATTTCTTAATGAATGGTGCTTCCAGTTATAAATAATGTAAATCTGCTTTATTGTACCAATGTAGAACGGGTTTAGTAAATTGTAAAACCTTTGCAATATGATATAGAATTATTTCAGAACAATAAAACAATGTAGTGCTGTTTCATTGGAAAATCAAATGTTTCTTGCTCAGAAGCTCGCCTTGATCAGAGAACATAGTCATTAAATAGCCTGGTAGGAACCTAAAACAATAACCCACGTACATCGTAAGTCCTATGACCAAGAGGTAGTGTGATGTGCTTATGGATAAAGCGTTCGCTCATCACGTCGAAAGCCCGGATTTCATTATCCACATGTGAGAAGCATATCCCTTCTGTTAAACGCCTCCCCCCAAGAAGAATACGCCATGTTACGTAAATACTGTTAAAAGTGGTGTGACGTATGCACTCTGTAAAATGTGACTTACCTTTGCCTTCAGACGCCTGATTTCATCGTTCAGGCTTCTGTTTTCTTCACGAAGTCTTCTTAACTGCATCGCTAGCCTAAGACAAAAGAAATGTCAGAAACATGATATTTCTTGGTACACTTCTGTGTACTGATCACCGGATGGACCGACCAGTTTACAATAATAGTATAGTGTCTATCAACATTATCATACCTTGAAAACAAGTTTGGGTAATACAGCTTTCGGGGATGATTATTATACAGTTTAAGTAAACTTAGGCTCTGTATTATTCGTTACACTGCTATACTGAATCTAACAAAACCTAGTAGAAGGTCGCGTCAGCTAACCTTTGACCGACCAATCAAAACGGTTTTTGGATTTTCTCTTCCCTGGTCGCTGACACTGATCTATCAACAAACGAAAATCCGCATAAAACAGATATTTGACCTGCAGTATATACGCTTATGGGTTTCTAATGACATGGCTACTATTTGTTTATATTTCCGCAAGATGACATCCATGAATATTGACAAAAACGCTATTTTCAGCGACTGTTTACTCATTGCGTGTATGACTTGGAAGCGATCATGCGGAAACTAGCATTCGGAATCGTTCGAGTTTTTTAGATAAAGGTTCAAACGGTATGTGCGAATGACAAGTTGCGCGATTTGGTAAGCTGCGTTCTGATTGGTCAGTCCAATGTTTTGTTAGACTCAGTATAGCAGTGTAACGAATAATACTGAGCCTACCTTTACTTAGACTGGATTATTATATTACGTCAGTACGACCTGATTCAGGTTGTCGTAAAATGCGACTAACGGGATCTGGTGGTCAGTCTCACTGACTTGGTTAACACATCATCGTATGCCAATTGCTTAGTACGATGCTCATGTTAGTGATCACTGGATTATTTGGTTCAGACTCGATTATTTACAGACGGCCGCCATATGGCTGGAATATTGATGAGTGCGCCGTTACACAACAATCAATCAATTACATCAATGTGAATTACGTAAATGTTCCGTGGACGATATATTGTTCAGATTGCTTTTACATTGACTGTTTAGTGGAAAGGTGGAAAAGGCATCCACGAAGACGGACGGCATGTAGGACCTTCGCAAGACTGGTCTTCTGGCTGGTCCGACTGCAAACTTATCTCTAAGTTGATGCCTGTCGCTTCAATGAGTTCATCAATTGTATCTGAAGATTTGCCTTGAACATTTACTGCAATGGAGGGGTAGTCCTCGCCGCTTGAACAAAGCTCCCTGTATCTCTGGACGCTGAGGCCAGTGCCACAGGTCCTGTGTGTCCATCCTCCGCATCCATCACAAATGATAGCGTGTTGATTTCGGCGGACAGTCTTCTCGCAAGTCAAGCACCTAACAGCCATTGTCGCTTGTACATTTTGACGAATGACCCCGTCTTATATAGCATGTATCATGACATTGAGTTGTAACAGAGCAGACATGAGTTGTTGTTTTAATGAAGCTTGTCAACCCATCAAAGACGCCGCTGTTTTCTTTGGAATAATATGCATGAGGCGTGTTCACTAACGGGATCTGGTGGTCAGTCTCACTGACTTGGTTAACACACATCATCGTATGCCAATTGCTTAGTACGATGCTCATGTTAGTGATCACTGGATTATTTGGTTCAGACTGGATTATTTACAGACGGCCGCCATATGGCTGGAATATTGATGAGTGCGGCGTTACACAACAATCAATCAATTACATCAATGTGAATTACGAAAATGTTCCGTGGACGATATATTGTTCAGATTGCTTTTCACACCTTCGGGGTGGTTAAAACGACGCAAAAGCTTCCTGTAGAGTCTAGGCTTGCAAATGACCGTCTCCGTGGTCTAGTGGTTAGAGCGTCCGCCCGGAGACCGAAGGTAGCGGGTTCGATCCCCGACCGCGTCATACCAAAAGACGTTAAAATATGGTACTTGTTGGTTCCTGCCTGACGCTCGGCATTAATTGGTACACCAAGGACTGGTCAGCTCGGAGTCAGTATAATGTGTCTGAGTGGGGTATTCATGCTTCACTACGGCATGGTATCTCAGTGGGCTAGCACTATAAAACCAGCTTCAGTCTGGGCTAGTACAAGCAGCCGCACATACACACGCATGCACGTCGTCATGAGCGAAATATTCACAAGCACGACGTTAAACCCAATTTCACCTCACCTCACCTCACCTCACCTAGGCTTGCAAATACAATGTTAGATTGTAAACAACGCAGGCAAAACACATGGATGAAATCAGTAGGCATTCCAAGTTAAGTGAGTGTGGTTTTACGCAGCTTTTAGCAATACTCCAGCAATATCACGATGGAAACATCAGAAATTGGCTTCACATAATTTATGCCAGGTTGAACGCGATAAAGTAGATTTAGTATTTGTTTTCTCACACCCAACTGAGGCTCCACCCCGCCTGCTGGGTGCTGGGCCCCGTTTCACAAAGCGATGGTAGCGCTAAGGTGATCGTAACTCCCATACTTCAACGTAGACTTACGACAGTCGTAGCGTTACGATCACTTTGTGAAACCGGGGCCCTGGCGTGTACAGTAGGGCGTGGACGTTACTGGAGTGGTCGAGTTGCTTGACGAAGTGCGCTGGTTCGTGAGGCGTTCCTCTTGTCGACTGGCCTGTGGGGCCGGCTTGGCGGACCTGCGGCCCGAACGGAGTTGAGGGACTTGGCCTTGGCGTTCCTGCCACCAGGCTCAAACCTTCCAAGAATATAATACATTCTGGAAGAGAATGGGAATCTGGGAGGATATGTTGATAGAGCGTGAATAATGGTACGATATGAACAAAACTAAACGATAAACGCCACGCGTTTGTGGAAGTATCTGTGTTTCATACTCTAGTCCGTTTGGCTCAAAAGCGGACCGATGAATTGCAATCTAACTCCAAAACTAATGAACATATAATACTCAATGAAAGGCTGATCATAATCAAAACACCAGACCAACTCTTTTGCATGTCTTAAAAATGTACAAGTTGTTTAACAAACCATCATAAAATATTTACACAGTTCACTATTTGTTACGAGGGAAAAGTGCAAAGAGAGGAACAGCCTCGAGAGAGAAGTCTATAGATACTTCGGTATCAGTCTAAAGATACCCAGAGCTTGCTCCCGAACCTTGCCGTTCATCCGTCGGTGCCATCCTGAAATAATATACTGTATAAATAAAACTATACAATTCATGTTTTTATAATAAAACCTTCTTATCTAATATATAATACTACTTCTAATAACAATAATATACCTTCGACGTGGTTGTTGGTGCGGATGGTCACGCGGTTTGCACTCCATGTAGATGGCGCCAAAACTGGGATGCTCCATCCACTGACGCCTGAAATAGCTGACCAGCTGATTCAGTCGTCCATGCCTCTCCACCCGGTCCGCAATCTTAGCAAACATCCTAGGAATGTGATCAGAAGGCAAAAACGGAAGGGCCATGAGTTTTCTGGCAAACTTGTGGAGGGCGTCGTCCTTCTGGTAGGCAAACTGGGTAAAAATAAGGGAAAATTAGGGAAATATATATATAAAAAACTGGTCCTCTGGATGGTCCGACTGCAAACTTATCTCTAAGTTGATGCCTGTCGCTTCAATGAGTTCATCAATTGTATCTGAAGGCCTTGAACATTTACTGCAAAGGAAGGGTTAGTCCTCGCCGCTTGAACAAATCTCCCTGTATCTCTGGACGCTGAGGCCAGTGCCACAGATCCTGTGTGTCCATCCTCCGCATCCATCACAAGTGATAGCGTGTTGATTTCGGCGGACAGTCTTCTCGCAAGTCAAGCACCTAACAGCCATTGTCGCTTGTACATTTTGACGAATGACCACGTCTTATATAGCATGTATCATGACATTGAGTTGTAACAGAGCAGTCATGAGTTGTTGTTTTAATGAAGCTTGTCAACCCATCAAAGACGCCGCTGTTTTCTTTGGAATAATATGCATGAGGCGTGTTCATTAACTAGTGTTTATAAAATGTTTTGATAAGTAACATGTTTATACTTGTAGCCTGTGCATTAAGTACCAAGAATAAACTAATAACTGCATTAAAAACAACAAGTTCTTAATGTTTTGAGAAGAGACAAGTTTATTGTGTCAGCCGATAGATGTGAATGGAAGAGTCAACCATGTCAACAGCAAGTATCCATTTTAAATCATTATCGTTGAGCACTTAGTTATTATACAACGTTGCCAATATTATACATAGGCAACGTAAAGTTTTATTTATACATTTAATTTAGAGCTAATATTTAATTGATAAATTTTTTATGGTTCCGTTTTCGCCAAGTCAAGGTTTTAAAATGAACGAACATTCAACTCTGCATTTACATGTATTTCACAGGTGCGTAAATCTGGCCATTTTCATGTGTTTCCTAACATGTGTAACATATGTAAATGCTGTGATTGTAGGACATGCATTTCAATACCTTTGAAATCTCGTATGACCAGGATTAGTTTTGTCATATATTTAGTACATGCGTAAATGGTTGGAAATGGGTAAATATAGTGTTACAAGATTACAACTACTTTAACATGTATTTCAATGGTTCTGTAATGTAACCGTCACATAGGGTATGTTAGCGCGTCCGACCACGCGATAATGTACTGAGATATTGTGAAGTGATACCCATGACTGAGCACCACTAATAACATGCGTGTCTTTCTTGACATACACATGGTGTATGTTTAAAAGGTTCAAATATCGGGTCTATGGGCCAGAGCGATATGTATGTTAGGGAGTGTGTACGTGTGCAAGTGAGAGGGTGTGGCATGGGATAGACCTAGGGTGGGGTGGTGGCGGTGGGTCGGTGTTGGGGTACTGATAAGTCTTTCTGACCAGTAGGTAATATCGTTTATACTTTTTGTAATGGAAATTACATAACAGTTTAAGTAACTGACCTTAGGTTCACTTCTTATATACAAGGAGACACTGCTAATTACAATAAAACACAAACAGATGTGTTCACACAGACATGAACCGGTAGGTCCCTAATTTTAGTGCTCACTTGTATGAGTTATCCGACTGATCATAAGTGAACAAATTTCATTATCTATACTTTCATAAAAGATGATTACAATGTATTAATTATTCCCGGTGTAAATTAAAGGTTAAACTCAAAGGAAATAACCCTTGTGTTTTAAAATGATGCCTTAATCATAGTCACAATGAAGTGTAGGTTGCCATGCATTTTCTAGGCTGTCTCACAGTCCCTGAACCACATTATTTTCCCTACTGCCAAGCCCTCTCTGCAATGCTAAAGCCTTAATTGAAGCAAGTCTAGATCTCCTCAGGTCCAGGGTCTGTTAACATCTGCAAGAAACCTAACTCACTTTGGGGTTCGGGTTACAAAGTAAACATATCTAACTGCCATGGCTAGCCGGACTTAATCTCGTGTCTCCCTGAGGCTCCATTTCAAATTAAATATGGTTTGTTTGTTACGATCAAAATTATATATATTCAGACACTAAGCGTTAGTCTATGTATTTTCCAATATGATGGAAATACTAATATTTATCAAATAAAATTCTAAAGGAGTTTTTTTCGAAGCAGTGACTTGACGCCATACATAGCTAGACTTGCTTAGATGATAGACTTTATATAAGGCATCATAGATATTTCACAAACATGGTATAGGACCCTTAGCCTCATTAGCTTATTGCCTCACCACTTGCGAATTAAGCGTTGGTAGATGTAAATGTTACTGGAGATGTTGGTCCCGCCAGCTGTGGGTGTTTGGTGTATGGCACTCCATAACCCGAACCTTGCAGTGAGTTTTTCTAGAGACGGAAGGGGAAAAATATCTTTCTGTGACTGTGATACAGACTGGGAAAAGATATGGAAAACCAAAGATTTGGACAACAAACCATTGTTTGGGTCTTTTAATTGTAAATATGATTCAAATAGCTTAACCTAGATATCGATATCCTCCGAATGTTTAACAGCACTAGTATCCATTTTGTCTTTTGTCATTTGGTGGAAAATATTCATTAACCCGAGACAAGGGCGAATATTTATATATAATTTAAGAAATTTAACAGCACTAGTATCCATTTTGTCTTTGTCTTCAACCCGTCAGAACTATGATCAACAACTAGTCTCTGATATGAACATATTTCACAGAATAAAAGTTCATAATAAAAAATATATAATATAATGAAAAGGTGCCCTGGGACTTTCTCCTGAAGCTGTGGAAATCTAGACTTGCCACAATTTGTACACTTGCGTGAGCTTGGATATATTTGCTTCAGGGTCTGTATGACAGACGACGCCCCAACATACGCTCAGTCACATGTGTCTCCAGGTCACGGAGAATCAGTGGTTAGAGGCCCGTATTGCAATTCTCGTGCGTTTGCCAGGCGCGTAGCAAGCCATTTTTTTCGTGTAAGCCCTATGGGCTGCAAAGCCTTATATTTAGGTGGTATTGAGGGCTTGCCCAACTTTCATCTTTTATGAGACCTGAAGAGTTATCGTTTGACGTTTGATGATTTTAATAGCTTCAAAATATTGTGGAAAAATTCCGCCTGTATCCCCTCTTAAATTCCATTCTAGTCAAATCATATCACCTGAATATATATTCCTTATCTGCTAATTGTATTTGAACATACTGAAAGACGAATTCTACTTCTAAAAATCCCACTCAAAGAAAGTGTTCCTCCTCATTAAAATTCAGGGAGGGCAGGGTGGATACGGACGGATGTCTTACCACCATGGAAATTGAAATGTGATTTCCTCATATACAAATATGTTTGGACATCGTTTACACATGTCTGCTGCACTGATACAATACCATACATCGAGTATTTGGTGTTTTTTTCTAAAATGAATGATAAGCAAATGAAAAATAAACAACTGCATTTCAGTGATGATTCACATATAATCATGACTGTAACAAAACATCCTCATACATGTCGATGGAAACACAATCATCACTGAAAGTTATGATATGAAGAATAACCTGTTTACTGTACATGGTAATGCTTTAATCAAAGAATACTGTAGTCAGTACGATTCGTAGAGGGATTTCCACTTTTTAAATGGAACGTGTTTGTACGTATTTTTGGCAAAAATTAGAAGAAAAAATATTTTTTAGGAAAGATCATGTGTAAGCTCGAACTGTTTTTTATAATGGTAGCTACGCCCCTGTTTGCATATGTGTTGTTGACGCGGCATGGACGCCTTGTAACATCACTGTTTGATTATGATTCACAAAATATGCCCATGATATGGTTGGAATCGTGCCACGGATTAGCACATATTTATCATGAAAAACAGGTTTTTATGTAGGTGGCTTGAAACTCGTTTTTACAACTCGTTTTTTTTTACAAAGGCCTATAGGTTCGATCACAATACATTTCGTTTTACAGCTTCTTTTTTCTTAACATGCTCATGTCAAAACTGATTTAAATTCTAATCGCAAATTAAAGAATAACCCAATAAATAGTATGCCAAATTATCGTTACCATGACAACCCTGTGATATTTCACCTTATCTAAGAGAGTAATGCAGATGATACTGTCGGCCTTAAATTTTGATAAGTTGCTTCATCGCTATCAATAAACACTGGGTATTTATACAATTATATGTGTGATCAAAGGCCATATGATAGATTATGTGGTTACTGGTGTGATGGAGGAGAACTTGCGCTAGTTTTCCGGATAATCTGAACACATGTATGTACCGTGAAACCGGCAGATACCTTTAGAAGAAAGTGTTTGCCCTACCTGTAACAACGATGCCCCGTGGGATATAATGTGGGGATGAATGACATGTACTTTTATCTAGGCCCGTTTATGATGATACATACTGCGATCTTTCACAATAATCCCTCTGGCTATCAGACTGAAGGTACGTTTTAAACATAACCGGTATTTCTATCATTGTATTTATAAAGTTCTTCGAACGTTCTCCATATACGTCCGTCATATACATCGCGCACTACCATTTTCTCTTTTGATCTTCTCAAACGACTGTTACAAGTTCGAAGAATCCTGGTCAAAGTAGAAAAGTCTTAAGACTATTCGCTACAATTCTGTAACTTACACATTGTACCCTAAATGGGTAGAGCTTTCGTTCGGGGGAATATCAGAAAGACAACGATACAGTTATTTCCAATGTTGTAGAAAGATCTCCACTTACTCAGGAAAACACTGAGATATTGTATTCATGTCGGAATGATATTTTCAGCCCCTGTCAGATCAGAACTTGAACATGCGATGTCCGCGTCTGTGTCAGACTTAAGGTCTATAAGATGTTTAGCAACACTGGGGCGTAATAGCCATAGATCTTCTCCAAACAAGAAAATGACTTCTTCGACAGGGAAATTTACAGCAATGCGACATCACAATTACTTACGTGATGTTTACTCGCAATCTGAGTTATGGATCGTCAATTTAAACAGGACAATATAGACGAATTTCACAAAAGGCACGGAAATCCAACATGCCTATGATATACTCAGAGAATGAACCCGCCCGTGCTATCCGGTCATAATCGCTACTCGATAAAATTAATTTTTCATTTCATGTCTCACAGAATATATAATTTGATATGACATTGTTTCTTATTGTATAGCCGAAGACCCGGGTTCGATTCCCCACATGGGCACAATGTGTTAAGCCCATTTCTGGAGTCCCCCGCCGTGATATTGCTGGAATATTGCTAAAAGCGGCGTAAAACTAAACTCAGTCAGTCAGTCTTATTGTATACTTTTGCGTTAGTGAAACAAACTTTAAAGTTTCTGTATGGCGTTATGACAGCAAAGGCTGAGCGAATAGAGAAATAACATGGTTCAGGCACTGTGAGACTATTAAGAAGGTCACATGCAGTGCAATAATATTCCAATTATGTACGGCCCCAAAATATTTTACAGTAGATGCGCGAGCTGAAAAGACTTAAGAAATTACGAGTTGGTTCGTGTAGCATATTTGGTTGTGCTCCAAGAGAGACAAAGTGCTATTCTTTTGGGGCAGCTAGGGACACTTGCGAGGACAAAGGGGCAACGCATCGCCCTTTGTTCACCACTGAACCTTTCAATCCCTCGAAACATGCACCTCACAAGATTTGCCAACACCACAGACAAGGCGTAACTGATACTGGTAGCAAGAGCGAGTGCAGCTTAATAAGGCGTGTTAGCTTGCGTAATACCGCTTTCTTTGTCAGGCTCTTTGGTGATAAGAATATTGAGGTCATGTGAACGTTGATTTCAAACGTACTAAAATGTGTGAAAGTGAAATTACATGAGCCAAGTAATTCATATGATGGAAACATATGATCATCTTGCTTGAGTACAGGTAACATGATGGTGTATGAACCGTTCATATACATACCCCTGAAATCCGGTATGATACATAAATATCTAAGGTGTGCAAACATTTGCAAATTTGAAAATTTACATGTGTTTCCCCACCTACGTAAATTCACATGTTTCCAACCCGAGGAAACTTAGAACGAAATCGGAAATTTCAGCACCCATTGAAATTCAAAGGAATGCATTGGAAATACTGTATGATCATGTATTTACCGGGGTATCTGTTTTGCAATTCATATTTGGAAATCCCTGACAATCCGGTCAGGGCATACATGAACTAGGTGCTTGTGCATACGAAAATGTACGATGAGCATATGTTTCAAAGGTATAGATTCATATGAAATATATGCCCGAAGTTAGGAAATATCTGAAAACATACGTAAATCCGGTCATGGCATGTATTTCCTACTGTATTTCCGTTTATTTCAATGGTTTACTATCCGGTTTTTGGTGCTGTGATAGTGGATGCAATCATCTCTACTCAACTACATATCCTTATAATAACAGTCGATCAAGATAAGCATGGCACTGACCAGCGAGTCAGGTTCATTATAAGAGTAGGGGTGCATTTTCTAATCCCAATTAGCCTACATTGTGTTTGTATGCGAATAGAGACTAAACCATCCTTTACAGGGTGGCGAAACGAGAAGACCCCTCACAATCTACACACTGCCTCCGGCGCCCGTGAGTGCGTCTGACCGTAACAGCTAAATTATTATAATGAGACACGATTGAGATTGCTTATTTTTAACATTATTATCAACATTTAAATTTCTCAATATTTGTAAACATCTGAAGAACTCTGTGGATCTTTTTTTCAGAATTTATGTCCTAAAAATAGAACTTGTTCAACAAACTATTATTAAAATATTTACACAGTTCATTATTTGTTACGATGGAGAAATGCAAAGAGAGGAACAGCGAGGTGTGCGAGAAAGGATGGAGACCGCACAGCACAGGTAAATGAATCAGTAACTTTATCGCATACACCCAGTAATCACACGATGTGTGGTTGCACAGGTGAGAGTAAGATATGAAATTCTATAAACTAGGACATTAGAGGAATCAATTGAGACAACTTGAGGTGGCTGAGATTGGTAACATACCGGAAATCACAAAGTGACTTGATAAGACCTTTACTGTTTTGGCAGAGTGCAAGGACATATGATGGTTTGGGTGAAGACTGAAGAGCTATTCTGAAAGGACAGTGTATACCAAAACATCACCTGTGCAAGAGGCTATAGTAGAACTATCAAGGCTAATGTGATTCCGAGAATCAGATGAAAGGTCGAAATAAGATGGAGTGTTCAACAGTTGGGTGGAGTGGGAGGAAGTATTGTTCACAGGCATTGGGACAGAGATAACTTTATATATACTGAACAACAAAAGTTTAGCACATTTTTGTTACATTTATATACAAAAGAATGATATGAGACAAAATACTGAAATTTGGCCCAAACGTGAACACATGATGACACACTTGAGTGCCATCAAACTTTACTCGATTGTTGGACCGTTGTAAAAACCAGGATGGTGCACGTGCATATCGTGTTTATGCCCATCGGCAGAAAAATCATGCAAACTGGGGTGTATAACAGGGTTGACATGACACACTGGAGTATCAGTGTACAGAAACCATAAAGAATTGTTCAGTTTGAAGCATGGGTCGTCGGCCTGGAATGCCAGAAAATCAACGCAATGAAGCCCTCGGACGACTACGTGCTGGCCAGCAAGTAAGAGACGTCGCCAGGCACTTCCAAGTGCATTACAGCACAATTATTCGTCTGCGGCAACGGGTCCAACAAACTGGCCAAGTTAGAGACCGACCAAGGTCAGGAAGGCCTCGTTCTACCACCCAACGGGAAGACCGCCACATTGTGACGTCATCACGACGACACAGGTTAACAAGAGCCCCACGTCTGGCCAACGAGCTGCGGCAAGCTACGGGTACACACATTCATCCCCAGACAGTCCGTAGGCGTCTATATGCAGCATCAAGTGTTACTTGTTGAAAATTAAATACAATATCCAAAAAAGTGCTAAACTTTTGTAGTTCAGTATATTTGAAAAGGTGTAGCCAATGATGATAAGGGAAATTTAACTGAAACAAAGATATGGGACTTAGTGCGGGCAAAGATAAATTTAGCATGAGAATAGTAAAAGGTTGGACAGGTTTGGAGCAAATGGAAATTTGGGTATTTATTGGATAAAATTGATGCCATATGATGGATCGTTTGTTCCAAAATATAAGGTGCAATGAGCAGGGGAGACAACTTATTCTTGGCCAGGTCTAAATTCCTAATTTCAGTTCCTCAAGCTGATGCTCCACGGTATTTGACTTTTAGATTTGGTCAATTAGAAGGGAAGCAAAGGATGAAATCAGGGATGCAAAGGTGGATTGAATATGTTTAGCATTATTCTGAATCGCAGTGGCTGTGAACGTTATGGCATCATGATTTGCCTTAACACCTTTCAGAGCATTTTTAAAGCGAGTGTCTACTAATTTCATGAAAGAGGAGAGGTGGACTGAGTGCTGCTGTAGTACATTTGAGAGAGGATGGGCGAACAGCGCCATAACCCACAGGGTAATCAAGCTCCAGGACAGACATGTGATGAAATGAGAAAGGAAGCCATTAGAGTTGACCTGTCTGAGAAGAATGTTGTGACCACCAACATCAAAACTACCTAGCACTATAAGACACAGAAACTGGGTATCTGCAAAAGGGGTTGGTCACTCGTAACAGTGGCAAATTAAATCACGTCACAAAGATCACTGTGGGTCGGTGATACCTATGACCTACTGAAAAGATTTGCGTCCAAGTGTGCGCTGCCTACCAGACATTGTCCGAGACTTATGGAAATGATTGATCAATGACGGATAAAGATTGGGAGCAGGCTCCCAAGTAGTTTGTGAATAGCCTAACCATTTGATTTGGTGCATTTTGGTACCCTTTGCCCGTTTATATCTAAGTATTTGTTCAACATGATAGGTTGATCGTCTTGTGATGTGTCTTCCTGTTGCTGAGAAGTGAATGGTGAAGAGCCTGAATCAGGGATATGTGGCCCTGTAGGTAGCACCTGTGCGTTGTGTTGAGTGTCGTCAACAGCAGAAGTGCTGGAAAGTGGAGGCTGGTGTGTGTCAGGGCGCGTGTTGTCGTCAGCAGAAGAGGTGGGATTAGGAAACTGACTTCCAGGGGTAGGAATGTAATCTTGAAGTCTGTCATTTGACGTACGAGCCATGTGGGTCTTGAGCCTATTGGCGCAAATAAGGGCCTTGTGTGTGAACGTGTTGTAGCTTGAAAGTGTGGTTGGGCCCTAATTCAAGTATGGTGTAAGGATCTAACCATTTGACTGAGAGTTTGGGGGACCTACCTGGAAGGACATGAGAGCATTTCTCTGCCAAAGACAAGGTAGAATGGCGTGTAACCAGTGAAGGCACATGGTGTGCTCCGCATAGACATCGTTATACAAGGAATGTCTGCCCAAGTGGACTGATCAGAGTCACAATAAGCTCTGAGTGCTTGCTCAATAGTCCTATTGCGCCTTTCACACATGTCATTGGTTTCGGAGTGATATGAAGCCGTCAAATGATGCTTAATGACCAGTAATTCACACAGGGCATTAACAAGTTTGGAGGTGTGTTTTTGGAGCACCATAGCGAGTTATCACCTGATTGAAAAGAATGCTGGCTACCTCAGTGGCATCTTGGGTCTTCATGGGAAAGACTTCAGACCAACGAGAAAATGAATCTACTACTAGCAGAACATATATGAAGTCTTCTTTTGTTCCAGGGATGGGACCAAAGATATCAATGTGAAGACGAGAGAATGTGTCTTCAATGGGTACAGAGACCATAGGAGCCTGTTTACCATGGGTTATGGGCTTGATTTTCTGACCTCACAGGATCTAATGTAATTGTCTATGTTTTGGTACATGCCAGACCAGTAATATTTAGTGAGGAGTAATTGAAATGTAGAACCCTTACCAAGATGGCAGTCACCTACTTTTGAGTCATGACATGCTACCAGAAGAACTTTGCGCCTGATGAGTGGAACAACCAGCTGGGTAATCTGAGGAGGTCTAGTGGCATGGCACCCCTATGTTTTGCCTGATGAACATGGTAGAGAATGCCATCCGCGTCCCTAGCGTTTAGAGTAAGCATTCTGTGAATGATACGCCTAAAACATACACTATAGTGGTGACCTATTCTTTGACAATATGTGCACAGTGTATGGAGATGTGGGCAATACAATCTATCTGAACAGTACATACCATATCCCTTGCACTTGGGGGAGGCGGAGGCTGGCAGAACTCGGGTGGTACCGATACTGGGGGCCATAGGCTGGGCTGTGGGCGATGAGGGGGTCGTTGACTGCTGGCGGAGCTGCGGCCTGGACAACAGGCTTCTCTATCTTGGTTATTAATGTTGCCACTAGCTCCGACAACTGGTCCACTTTCAAAGCCATGTTTACCTCTGGTGTGACAGATCCGGACTGATTTTTCTCTGCCAGTTCAGCATGATGTCGCACTTGCTCTAAGGTGGCCGTTTTTTATTGACAACCCACTGACGGATATTTGGCCTGAGTCCATTGACTGCAATAGCTGCGACCACAGATGCTGGCAGCTGGTGATTGCGGGTTGCTAATTGCAATCTTGTGATATAGCCAGCGATGGGCTCTTCTGTTGCCTGGGTCATCTGCAATACGTTTACACCAAAGGTGCTCCTTTGATTGAACCTAGTCTCAAATTCCGGTTTGAGGAGGTTCGGGTCCTTCTGGGTCGCTTCCGGCAGGACCTGGTACCAGAGTTTAGCTGACTCTTCTAGGTAAAGGGGCGGCAACAAGCACTGTCTGGCGGCATTGTTATTCAGGAGGCTCACGAAGTTCTGGAACTCCTGCCACCAGGACATGGCATTTTCTTTCCAGCCTTCCCCATACGTTCACCCTTAACCCATCACCAACAGGTTCAGTCTCCCCCATACGTTCACCATCAACCCATCACCAACATGTTCAGCCTCCCCCATACGTTCACCCTTAACCCATCACCAACAGGTTCAGCCTCCCCAATACGTTCACCCTTAACCCATCACCAACAGGTTCAGTCTCCAGCATACGTTCACCCTTTACCCATCACCAACAGGTTCAGCCTCCCCCATACGTTCACCCTTAACCCATCACCGACAGGTTCAGTCTCCCCCATACGTTCACCCTTTACCCATCACCATAAAGTTAACCCTTAACCCATCACCAACAGGTTCAGTCTCCCCCATACGTTCACCCTTAACCCATCACCAAAACGTTAACCCTTAACCCATCACAACACGTTCAGTCTTCCCCATACGTCAACCATCAACCAATCACCAACACGTTCAGTCTCCCCCATACGTTAACCCTTACCCAATCACCAACAAGTTCAGTTTCCCCTCATACGTCCACCCTTAACCAATCACCAACACGTTCAGTCTTCCCCATACGTCCACCATCGCAAACACGTTCAGCCTCCCCCATACGTCCACCATTAACCAATCACAACACGTTCAACGTCCCCCATACGTCCACCATTAACCCATCACCAACACGTTCAGCCTCCCCCATACGTCCCCCATTAACCCATCGCCATCACGTTCAGCCTCCCCCATACGTCCACCATTAACCCATCACAACACGTTCAACCTCCCCTTACGTCTACCATTAACCCATCACCAACACGTTCAGCCTCCCCCATACGTCCCCCATTAACCCATCGCCATCACGTTCAGCCTCCCCCATACGTCCACCATTAACCCATCACAACACGTTCAGCCTCCCCCATACGTCCACCATTACCCCTCAGGCAGCACGTCCATCGTTCTTCGCCGTTCACAGCATGTCAGCCCTTATCTAAACCCCTGAGATCAATCACTACCGCGTTTTTGCTATAGCATATCACGTAAACATGTTAAATCTTGCCTGAACCCCCAAGATCACATCCCACGATTTTTAACCTTAATATATGCATAATATAGTTGTGATATATATAGAGAAAAAGAATCAAAACAGCCATGCATAACCATCCAACACCCTCCCACGACTCCATGTCACTGTATCCCAACTGCGTAGATCGATGCTCATACTGTTGATCACTGGATTGTCTGGTCCAGACTTGATTATTTACAGACCGCCGCCATATAGCTGGAATAGTGCGACGTTAAACCACAAACAAACCAAACCATCCTACGACTCCCCACTGTCATTATCCCTGAACCCAGCTCATCCTGCAGTAATCCCATCATATCCCAGCCTACATCCACAGCAACCTACGTCATAGCCCTGATACCTGTATCAAGTCCCATGCTTACTGACATCATTCCCCACAAGACATACCTAAATCCCCCGCCTTAACAACCTCTATACCCACCCTGCCGTTAACACCAGCTTTACCTAGGAACCTATTTCCTTGTATCCTATTCCACTTTCATGTCCTGCTCGTACTAACAACGGGGATGTTCCTTAATCTATCAGATCTTAATACGTCCTATTGTCTTAAGCCTTTGTTTGTCTGGCAAGATGAAGCACCACTCCGGCATAACGATTCGGGAGTTGACTAGCGGTCGTTCATGCAATATTTATGATGCACAGATGGGTGGGGATGCGTAGACTACCAAATGGTCCAGTTCAGGCCCAAGGGGGACATCCATCTTGTTAACAGCTCCCAGCGTCTATATCACACTGACGGAGATAATTGAATTTACGAAGGCGTATGACCGGTCAGTTAATGAGGGCTAATACCGCAACACTTCTCCTCGCCCTAGACACTGGAGAGCGATACCAGATTAGTCTCAGCTTCGTCGAAGAACACTCCGTCGTGGATCTTTATAGGTTAGCGAGTCGCCAATCTCGATGCTTTGTTGGGAAGGCAGTCTAATTTTAAGTAATACAACATTCGGATAAATTGGTCAATTCGATCAAGAAGGGCATGAGCAACATCGCACTCTAAGATTCTATACAAGCGCTTCAATAATTTGTTACTGTTCAAGCTGACACCTACATTTTCCGATATCAAGTTTGAATTGAGATAAATGCAAATGGGAGTTCACTTTCTTAGAAGGTGCGTTGGTTCTTAGATTTTTCAATTTATTACCGAGGTTAACACAAATTGAATAGCGCGTGAAGTATACATCGACATTTTACAAGAAAAGAGGCATTAATTTTCACGAAGGCTGAAAATAGCAAACGGAACCAAGTTATTAACTCCAAGTTATAATCTTAATGTTTCTAATTCCAAATTTCTCCTTCATGAATATTTTCATACCATCCAGACTGACGCATCTCGAAGTCAATCTGTTTAAGCATACTTCGCACATCCGGTAAACGACTGGAGAGGTCGTAAGCTTACTCCTCATAAAACTCGCCCATATTGAGCTGTGAGCATTATTCGGATATTACACTAGTTAAATTCTAATAACTATCTAGGATCCACGCCAACATTTTGAAATCGACGTCTACAAGAACGACGGTCTCTAAATCACGGTTTAAGACGATACGTGCCGTCTTTATTCGTTTAATTTCCTTTGAATTGCGGTGAATATCTTTCGTATTTACTTTTTACTTCTTCTAGTTCCGAGTGGACGCGCTCTCATTCCAAATGTGGCCCCGAACTTGTGCTTCATTTTGATTGCTTTTCTAGCCAAAGGCAGTTCCGAGTGTAACTAGCGACACCCTCGTCTCTGGAGTGTCGACATATAAACTGCCGATCGAAGATCTAAGAACTCGGACCATCGCTCTTCCAACAATGAAACCGAATCTGTAATGCTCTGCGCTTCTGTATGCCAGTGTAAGGAACTCGTGGGATGGTAATTGTACAACGAAGGGTGTCAGATTGATGAAAAGAAAATGACTGACCTAGTAACACTAATATGAAGCGGAGTGGGGATGTCTGGAATAGACAAAGTAGTTGATCAGTATCCTTGATTGAACTCTGTGAAAATTGCTCTTACCATGCTGTGAATGACGAAGGCAAAATTTATAAGAAACACTAATTTTTCGAGCCATTGAGTAATGTTACTAAAAGTAGTTAATGTAGCCATACCGATATCAATAACTGAATGCACTGGACACATATTGATTGGGGCAACATTTCGGGAAAAATAATAATTAAGGATTTAAACTAAGTGAGTGATGTTCCAGGAGTTATCACGTCTACTTCAATTGTTTAATAAACAGTGTCCATGAATATATTGTCACCTTTGTTCATGATTCATGATCAAACTGTGGATTTGCTTTCGTCCTACCTGTGCCCGTATCCGGGTTAGAATTTGTCTTCAGCTTGTCGTAATAGGCGACTAAAGGGATCGGGTGGTAGGGATCGCTGACTTCGTTGACACATGTCATCGTATCCCAATTGCGTAGATCGATGCTCATGATATTAATCACTGGATTGTCTGGTCGATAAATTACAGACCGCCACCATATAGCTGGAATATTGCTGAGTGTGGCGTTAACCAACAACCAATCGTCCTACTTATGTATTTGAATCCAAAGTTAGTCCTAGTCAGAACTATTTATTTGTCTTGTTAGTTTTACTGTAAAGTCTACACCCTCCTAGTTTCCATTCACAGACTTTTTTGAAATTGTCATCTAATACATGGTTTGTCTAAACAATTTCTAAAAGTTTAGCTCATCTGTTGCAGATCCTTTGTTAAAATGAAAGTGTACCTTTTAAGATATTTAATTCACGATTAATATATCATAATTTCCAAATTTTGTAAACTTGAGTTTTGTTGTTTTTTTTTTTGTTGGTTGTTGTTTTTTTGCTTTTTCTTCTGTTCTTGTTTCCCTTTGTTTTGTTGCATAAATCAAGAGTACACAGAAGAAACAATAATAAGCATGTTGCAGTATTGATGCGTTTTCGATGTCCACTAGTTTTATGAGGAGGTAACTGTGATGCAAAACCTGCTGAGTAATCATGTAGGAAGGAAAAACACCGTAAATCCCCATATTGCCCGGTATGGTGTTCTTTCTTTTGTTACTTGTGGTCTTTAGTCTTGTGTTAATGTACATGTACTCAAAAAAATAATTTTCCATTAGACTATTTAAATACTAATATGGTTTGTGTTATAAGTACTTACTGTTCTTTGTTGACAGATATTTAATTAAAACTTACTTCTTCTCATCACTATATGGCTGTAATATTGCCCAATTTTAACTCACTCTTGGGGCGGTAATGTCATCAGGACCCGGGTCATGTGGCAGCAGTCAGGCGCGCAGCAAGCCCGGCCCGAATAGGTTGCAAAGCTTTACCTTTAGATAGTATTGAGGGCTTGCCAAAGCTCTTTAGCATCAATCATGTGTCAGCCCGGGCTTTACCTATAATGGTCGCTACGCCCCTGCCACTGATACCCATTTCTGGTGTCCCCAGCCCTTATTTTGATGGAATATTGCTAAAAACGGCGTAATGCCATACTCAACGTTTCATTTTTAATGGCAAATGTTTGTGGTCCATGATTATTTGAGGATTGCTCTTCAAACGAGGGTTGAAGATTGCTTACCAAACATTTTACTAACGCTTCAGTTAATATTTCAACAACTCTGTTTCTCCTCGTTGATAGAAAGACTCTACCTATTACGTATATATCTCCTGTTAAAGCATTAAAATGGACCGCAGTTTTCCCCTTGTTTGTAAACAACCGCGTATATTTGTAAATCAGAAGTGACTGGCCTAATGCAAGCTTTTCGGTGCGCTTTTCATAATGTTTTACATTGTTATATTATTCGTCTACAACTGCGACAGTAAGGTTTATGGCAATTCGTATTTATATATTAAAGTGGCTACATCATTTGCTCCGCGTAGGGCTTCGATGACAGCACGTGGAACCGCATAACCTATGTAAACAAAGAATCGCTACGCAAATCGAAATAGTGTTACACGTTTGAGGATATTTTCTCAGTGAAACTAACAAATTCTGTCGAAGATGTTTATTTAAATGTGTAGACTCGTCAAAAATAAAAGGGCTAACAAATATGTATAGGACTGTGCTAGATGTAAAAATTCATCACATCTTTCTGGCCTGTGGCAGAGGTACTACTACTAGGCTGGTCGCGTGGAACTCCTGCGTTTGAGAGTGGGCCATTATCAGTTGTAGCGACCCGTTCATTTCTGATAACAAGAGGGCAGTTTCATGATAAAACCATCCATTTTAGCTATAATTTCTGTTATACTGAGGTATAAGGCACATCCATATGTTGTTATCCTTCTATAAAAAAGTTGCAGTTTGTCAATACGAATCACCGTCCTAAATCAGCATGAGTCAACATCTATGACGACATGCAATCAACCACACCATTTGGTATGACCACCCAATCCACCGAGTCAAATCATTATTACGTTCACAAGATAATGTTCTTTTATTTCTGAGCATCACATCCGTGCTTGTTGCTTCGATTGTGTTGACTTTGTTACAAACTGTTTCTTGAACATTCGAGTATTATGTTACTTCGATCATTGTTTGAAACAACGAGAGACGACAAACTAACGAGAAAAATAATCTAAGGTACGAGAAATTACTCGAAATTGTGTGGGTATTTTTTAATAAAGAAACTTGAAGTAACGAGTCAATACTCGAAATTCGGAAAAGCAGAAATGATGGAAACATTAAAAGCCATTCAGTGGGCACAAAGCATTTGGCTTTCGTACCTCACCACAGGTGGAGTTCCACATTTCATTTCTACCAGCTGCATGTATCGGGAAGGCCTTATTCAAGCCTTTTTAAACAGTAGTTTATGTAATTTGGTACTGTAAGTCCGTATAAGTATTACGGTACCAAGTTTACACGCAAGTCTGAAATAGTAGTGTTCCATTCTAAATATCTAGTAGTAATAGTCGAGCAATATCACGGCGGGGGACACCAGAAATGGGCTTCACACATTGTACCCATGTGGGGAATCGAACCCGGGTCTTCAATGTGACGAGCGTACGCTTCAACCAAATAGACTCCCCCATCGCCCCTCTACGAGTTGGAAGTAGATGAAATCAGTATGATCTGATATTCTTATTGCAATGATATTGAACCTGCTGTTGACAGTTTTCTTTTAAATTGCTCACCAAATACGGCGTGACGAGCGTACGCTTTTACCATTGGGCTACCCTCCACGCCCCTCACACATTGTACCCATGTGGGGAATCGAACCCGGTTCTTCAGCGTGACGAGCGAACGCATAACCTCATTGCACTTTGTGTTTTTTCGTTGAGTAACCATCACGAGTATTGCCACACCGCCATCTGCTACATTATTTTCAGTTAAATACAGTTTCTGGCATTGCACTGTTGTGTTGTTGAGTAACAATCACATTATTGCCACTGAACATATATAATTATACTACGTACTCACAAAGTCGGAAAAATGCATCTAAATAAAAATTCGTGCAATAGCGGTCATCATATAAATATCGCTCAAAATCTCAAAGAATCTGAATGCATCCTCGCGATACCAGGGAGCTGCCTTATGGCGGTTACTAGGCAACGTTATTCTTCAAGCTGTGTCATATTAATGTGAGGATATTTGTGAAAGATAATAGTTTCCTTAACGCACACCATATTTAAGGATACGAATCACCTTTCTTACAATTGTTCGACGCGGTGAAAACGTGTATTTCTTTGCTCAGTTTTAACTTTAAGATTTATTTTGACCAATCATTGTTCAGGATCTATTTGTACCGTATGTGGTAAATAGTTTGTCATGGCGGACGTGGAAAATGCCGATATCGAAGAAGCTGTGGCCCCAGATGGCCAAAAGCAGGTTAATTCTTTTTATATTTCAGTCACAACTATTTACTGCCCTTTCTCTTTCCATCACTTTCTTGGCACTGGTTATGTTACTACGAAATGTCAAAATTCGCATCGTTACACGGTGTAATAGTCAATTGTCCAGTTTTCGATCAACAAAGTTTGCTTGAGCAAACAGCAGTCGAATTAAGAATTGCGTATGACTTGAACATAATCACATATGATTACTGGTGTGCGTATGTGTAGATACTTATGGGTTGCCTGCAAGCAACTTTTATATTTTGAAGGTTTGTTTATAGTCTTACGTTAGGGGCAGGCAAATACAGCACCTCAGCAAAAGTATAAGAGAAAAATAACTTTATAAGTATCGAGGTTAGGTTTAGTTCTGCCTCCCAATCAGAACAGTTTAAAAAAACTGAGTTTAATTTCTTATGTGAAAATACAGAAACACTATCAACATTTCACCATCGTTTGTCCACCTGTGAGTATTATTTTAATTTATTGTTTGTTTTTATAAAACAATAAAGTGTTTCATCCTCACAATGGTACTGGCTAGCGTAGCCGAGAGCCGCGATGCGTAGCCGAGAGCCGCGATGCGTTCCTATACAGTCAAGACCGCATCACGGCTCTCAGCTATGGCTAGCGAACAGTTATCGCCATATTTTAGCGGTATTTGCAAAATTACTCCACCGTTTGTTAAATTAATGATTAAGATTTACTTATGATACTTAATTAGCTATTCACCGATGTGTCCAGCCCGTTCATTTACGCCGATCATGTTTTTATATAATGCTGCGGAAGGGAATCATGGTAGTATAAATACATGTTTTGTCACAACTAACTTCTGTCACTCAGAATTTCTCATGCCATTTGTGAAATAATATATATATTTATATCATATTGTAACCTCGAATAATTGATAGTGTGACTATTTGTAGTGTTGGGAATCGGAAACCAAATCCACTATCGATTATCGGAGGATTGTGGTGAACGATTATCGATTATAATCTAAATATATACATTTTTAATGTAATCACCAATTTTAAGGGGGTTTCCCCATTTTTTTTCTAATTAATGTTTTGTTTTTATAACTAATGCTGTCATGCAATGAAATGCATGCATGCAAGAAAGACACTGGAATTGTAATTAAACAATAAAAGTGGTTAAAATTTTACAATGTGCATAGCTATACGCTGTTGAGTGCATGTTTGTTCGTGAATATTCGTCAAATTTGATGGTTAGTTTACTTCATTCAAGGGTGTTATACAAAAACAACAAAATTCTGATTAATCGAAAATGTTTTTTACAATCGATAATCATTTTTAATCCTTCTTTCGATCGATTTTCGATTATTTTCGATCATCGGAACATCACTAACTATTTGAGTGTTTATTTTACAGTAGATTGATAGGGAATCGAAATGAAACAATAAATGACTTGTGAACATGAACTTGCTGTTATATAGGTCATCCAGTAGCTGTTTTGCTCTAGGCAGAAAAGTTCAGTTTTCACTGATCTGTGTCAGTTTCATTCCTTGACATTTAGCGGGGTGCTATTTTAGCAACAATCTCCCTGCACCCAGTCTGTGCGTTTTACTAGTTTTAGTTTGCATTTAGAACTAGCCAATAAACTTAACATTCATTATGGTAAGAAGACAACTTAAAGTAATACGTCATCAAGCTGATGTATATGAATCACTCTAGAAAAGAGCTATTGTAGCTATGGGTGGCTATGCTTTGTGACAAATAATATTTACATGTAATAACGTAGTAATAAAAAATATTCATTTATGTCGGAATAGTTATGTGAGAAGACAGGGCCTTCATTGTATTCTATTGATTATGGAATCTCAAACATTATTCCGCCGAAGTATTTAGCTAAACTAGAGTGTATTGTTATTGCAACCTTGTCTTTGAAATACATATTTCATCACAACAAATTATTACAGCTCTTTTGTTTTCTCATTTGAAATTATGACTATCTTTCATTAAAGACATGTGCAAACTTCTCCACATATTGAAAGGATTATATCTATATCTGTGATAATCTAGTTGTTTTACTGTCCTTCGTTGGCAGAATTTTATAATTTAACTTAAATTGTTGATATATTTATAACTTGCTTTAGTCACGATATGGCTGAAATATTGCCGATGTGACTTAAAATCTTAACTCACTCACTCACTCACTCACATATTGAAAGGAGTTATTATGGAAAATTCCAGGACAAGGATGAGCCTGAACCACAACCACAACCTACAGCAGAAAAACCAGTAGCGAAAGTTCCTTCCCTGCCTGCAGCTGCACCTCCCAAACCCAGGCCCAAAAAAGGTAAAAGAGAAATCTACTGTTATCTCTCCAACAATCTGATAACTTTATAAGTCCCCATGGCCCCTAGTATGGTGATCTCCCTTCAGTTGTTGGAGATCTCTAGCCACTTTTTTATATTTTATTGTCCAATTAGTGCTATTTGTTTTAACTTTCTACGCTAGTTTTACTTCAAATTGTGATATTCTAGTTGTTTTACTGTCCTTCGTCGGCAGAATTTTATAATTGACCTTAAATTGTTGATATATTTATAACTTGCTTTAGTCACAATATGGCTGAAATATTGCTGATGTGACTTAAAATCTTAACTCACTCACTCACTCACTCTGATGACTTTAGGTTTGAATCACAGATTTGTCATGTTTATTATACTTGATTATTACACTTAACAAACTTTTGTTCAACCCAACTAACTCACTTCCTCAACAGATCATTGTTATTATTATTGTGCTCTGTTAAAAATGATTTGCCTGTACACAGCACCAGAGCTGCCGGTGTTTGAGCGACGGAACTGGCTGATTCACCTGCATTATGTGAGGAAGGAATTCAGTACATGCAAGTCCCTCATCAAGGAGCAGCTGGCTGAAAGTGGGGGCATGTGTGAATATGCTGTGTATGTGCAGGGTAGGTAACTCTGGACCCTAACAATAAACCCTAGTTGATCACACTCCGGTGCAGTGAGGACTTAGCATAACATCACTGCCACAGGCTAATTTGCATATCACGTGACGGACTTTTCTCTTGTTTGTAAACAAACGCACATATTCATAATAAGAAGAGACTGGCCTTACGCAAGCTTTTCGGCGCTCTTCACAATGTTTTACATTGTTACATATATATTCTTCCACAACTACGGCAGTAAGGTTTATCACAGTACATATTTAGATATCAAACTGGCTGCATCGTTTGCTCTCCATCGGCTTCGATGACAGCATGTGGAGCAGCACAACCATTCTATCAAAGATGTTTAATTAGATGTGTAGACTTGTCAAAAATAAAAGAGTTAAGAAATCTGTACATTATATTGAATGGACAGTGCAAGATGGGACGAATGTGGCTGCCCGCATGGAACTCTAGGTAGGAGAGTGCTAGTTGATGTGCATCTTAGGAGATTATGCACATTGTAGACGACATTCATAGACGATGTGTGAAAATAAAGTCAATTCATCCTTTTTGTTTTATTTCTGCATTCATTTTCATTCGGTTTACACCTTGTTCTGAACACGTTCTGAATACATGTGGCACAGACTTGACAACTTGCTCGTTGGTTCAAACAACTACTTTCAACTTCAAGACAAAAGTACGCAAAGGAACCATTGACTGCAACAGAATAGAATATATTGTTTACAACTGTTGCTTATCAAATAAACATGAAATATATATGTATTATGTTGAGAAATATAAAGTGTTTCCATACCTTTTTGTATCACCTCTCCATCCCCACGTGTCCTTCCACATTCTACCCTGCATTCTACACTGCACGATATCCGCGTGCGCATGCGACACTACTTTCAAAGCAAAACTGAATTAGAGTTACCTCCCATGACCTGAATTTACATAAAGCGCGCTCATAAAATACGTAATCATTTTGGCCTCAACACACATCATTGAAAGGATCTGGCAGCAGGAAGGTTCCCTGAGACTTTGGTGGGCTGGGCTGGGTAACTTAGGTAATCGAAGTGAGTGTGTCTTCAGTAAGTTGGGGTCTGGGCAGGTTAATTTGGGTACTCTGGGTGGGTGTGCCCTCAGCAGGTTAGGAGGCTGTTATAGGTAACTTGGGTACTTGGGAGGTAGGGGGCTGAAATGGATAAGTTGGGTTCACTGGCTTGGTGTGTCCTTAGTAGGTGGGGGTGGTGGGATGAGAAACTTGAGTTTTCAGGGTGGGTGTGTCCTCAGTAAGTTGGGGGCTGGGATGAGTAACTTGGATATTCGGGGTTTGTGTGTCGTTAGTAGGACCAGGTAACCAGACTCATGGTTCGTCACATGATATGCTGTTGACAGTCTCATTGAAAATGCATGGTTACAGGGCTTAGAAAACAGTTCCAAATCAGGCATTTTGTACCCAGGTCTTGAGACCTCAGCATTTAACTGGGTGGGGTCAGGTAATAGGGGTATGAGCCCCAGGCCTATCAGTGTATATAATGAGCATTTGGTGTTGAAGGCACTGCTGCCTGGCTGATTCTTTGTCATTCTATTCAGGACGAAATTAATTATTGCCCCAGACTAGGCTTTGCTTTTCATTAATGATTTGCTATTTAATCTTTGTTTTCTTTTAGTGATCCATTAACTTTTCAGAGATCAGATACATAAAACATAATGTATATCATCACTTTTCATTTTGTGGTTTGTGACATTTTAAAACATATTGACCTGTTCGTAATTTCAGCCCTGATTCTGAGACAGGAGGGCCGTATACAGGAGTCCCTAGAGATGTTTCAGACATGCACGCTACTCAACCCACAAAGTGCTGACAATCTGAAGCAGGTGGCCAGGTCACTGTGAGTAACTACAAGGGTCCAGGGAAAGTTTGTCTAGACTACTCACAGGCTCCAGACAGAAATTATCCCCTGTAATATTAACAAGACTTAAGACCCTTTAAGGTCCGGGTTAGAATATCGATCTTCAGTAACCCATGCTTGTCGTAGGAGGCGACTAATGGGATTAGGTGGTCAGGCTCGCTGACTTGGTTGACACATGTCATCGGTTCCCAATTACGCCTATTGATGGTCATGCTGTTGATCACTGGATTGTCTGGTCCAGACTCGATTATTTACAGACCGCCACCATATAGCTGGAATATTGCTGAGTGCGGCGTAAAACTAAACTCATTCACTAACAACACTTAACCTTTGTTATGGCACCTGCAGTGCTCCAGACAAATGTTTTCCCACAGACCTGCACATCTTGTTCAAAGTGCTTACAAGCTCCAGATAGATGTCCCCAATACTACCAGGGACGAACTTGTCCCTGGTACGGCAGATCTTGTACCCAGTAACAATAGGCTCCAGACAGATCTTGTACCCAGTAACAATAGGCTCCAGACAGATCTTGTACCCAGTAACAATAGGCTCCAGACAGATCTTGTACCCAGTAACAACAGGCTCCAGACAGATCTTGTACCCAGTAACAACAGGCTCCAGATAGATCTTGTACCCAGTAACAACAGGCTCCAGATAGATCTTGTACCCAGTAAGAACAGGCTCCAGATAGATCTTGTTGCCAGTAACAACTGGCTCCAGACAGATCTTGTACCCAGTAACAACAGGCTCCAGATAGATCTTGTACCCAGTAACAACAGGCTCCAGATAGATCTTGTTGCCAGTAACAACAGGCTCCAGACAGATCTTGTACCCAGTAACAACAGGCTCCAGATAGATCTTGTACCCAGTAACAACAGGCTCCAGATAGATCTTGTTGCCAGTAACAACAGGCTCCAGATAGATCTTGTTGCCAGTAACAACAGGCTCCAGATAGATCTTGTTGCCAGTAACAACAGGCTCCAGATAGATCTTGTTGCCAGTAACAACAGGCTCCAGATAGATCTTGTTCCCAGTAACAACACGCTCCAGATAGATCTTCTACCCAGCAACAACAGGCTCCAGATAGATCTTGTACTCAGTAACAACAGGATCTTGTTCCCAGTAACAACAGGCTCCAGATAGATCTTCTACCCAGTAACAACAGGCTCCAGATAGATCTTGTACTCAGTGTCTTGTACCCAGTAACAACAGGCTCCAGACAGATCTTGTACCCAGTAACAACAGGCTCCAGATAGATCTTGTACCCAGTAACAGGCTCCAGATAGATCTTGTACCCAGTAACAACAGGCTCCAGATAGATCTTGTACCCAGTAACAACAGGCTCCAGATAGATCTTGTACCCAGTAACAACAGGCTCCAGATAGAGTAACAACAGGCTCCAGATAGATCTTGTAACAACAGGCCAGTAACCCAGTAACAACAGGCTCCAGATAGATCTTGTACAGAGTAACAACAGGCTCCAGGTAGATCTAGTACCCAGTAACAACAGGCTCCAGATAGATCTTGTACCCAGTAACAACAGGCTCCAGATAGATCTTGTACAGAGTAACAACAGGCTCCAGGTAGATCTTGTTGCCAGTACCGATAGACTCTTGACACAACTTGACCCTGGTTCCGGCCGGCTCCAGTCAGTACTGACAGGCTCAAGACAGATCTGGTCCCCAGTACTTATAGGTACCGGTACCTGGTAGATCTTGTATCAGTACTGATAGGCTCCAGACAGAACTTGTCCCATTTCTGATAGGCTCCTGACAGGTCCTGTCCCAGTTCTGATAGGCTCCTTACTGGTAGGCTCCAGATAGGTCCTGTCCCAGTTCTGATAGGCCCCTTACAGGTTCTGATAGGCTCCAGATAGGTCCTGTCCCAGTTCTGATAGGCTCCTTACAGGTTCTGATAGGCTCCAGATAGGTCCAGTCCCAGTTCTGATAGGCTCCAGACAGGTCCTGTCCCAGGTCTGACAGGCTCCAGACAGGTCCTGTCCCAGACCAGGTAAAGTCCCCCGTGCCAACAGGCTCTGATTTCTGTAGTTACGACTAGGAATATTAACGCTCTATGTATCAGTGGTTATTCATTGGTTCAATACTGGTCATTTGTCACAAGTTGAATGACTAGCAGTTGGTGGTATAATTAATGGAAAGTTTGGGTACTGCTTTCTAAAGATGTCACATCTAAGCAAAAAACTAATGGATAAATAGTTTATCATTACCATTTCGAAATGTGAAGAAATAGCAGGGTTAAACAAGGTCACAAGTGGAAACCATGAAAGAATCTATGTTGATGCCACAACTTCTGTGGGGTGGTGAGGTAGCCTAGTGGTTAAGCATTCACTCATCATGCCGAAGACCTGGGTTTGATTCTCCCTATGGATACAATGTGTGAAGCCCATTTCTGGTGTCCCTTCTCCATGATATTGCTGGAATATTGCTGAAAGTGTTGTAAAACTAAACTCACTCACTCACACAACTTATTTGCTTGCAGCCACTCACCTTGCCCCTGACGAGGTGAGTGGAACCCCAGGTTTCAAGGATTCTGTCACTCAGTGTTTGTTGTCCTGTTGCCAGGTTCCTGCTGGCGCGACACAAGGCCGCTATAGATGTGTACACGGAGGCAGCCCGACTCAGCAACCGGGACTGGGTGAGTAGCAGCACAGGGTCTCATCATCTTTGTCATCACTGTCATACTCCATCACATTCTGTTGTCGGTCTTTGTCAACTTGGTCTTCTCCTTGTAAATTCTCTCAAGCACGCCTAGAGTCTCAAATATGTACAAGTCAAATGAAATTGTGGACAATTCAATTTTTTCCAATGAATGTGGTTAATCTGTTGGTGGAAAGGGAGGTAACTCAACCAAAAAGCAGCAAGGTCAGGTATTTACCCATTACCTCTGTGAGTGCCTCTGATGGAAATGTTATCAACAGGTGTAGTAGTGAATCATGAAGAATCCGGATACACATATCATGACCTTTATACTGCATAATGGGCAGTGTTCTCTTCATCCTAGATGATGCAGAATATTATATCTCCATCCTTCAGGATAAATACCCTGAACCCATTCCTCGTCATAGTGTCCTGCCGAGCCTAATCTTCCACAGTGCTACAACTGTCCATCCAATATCTCAGATTCTGTCAGTGATAGAGAGATGGGGACAGGGTATCACTTCCAAAACAAATACATGGTGGTTTGGTCCAGTGTATATCTCTTAAAGGAATGGAGATAAAGTTCACAAAGCTATTGTAGCGCTACGCCTGTCATAAGTCTATGTTACAGTATAGGAGGTACGGCAGTCTTAGTGCTACGGTAGGTTTGCGAAATGGGGCCCTGGACATTAGAGGATGTGTTGTCATTTGTTTTCACCAACTCCATGCTTCCTGTCACTTTTCAACACATAAAATGTAATCATAAAACTTTGCATAGAATATCTGGAGCTTTGCAATATATATCTCTGAACAATATCTTTGTTAATATCACATTAGCTTGTGCAGATCTTTCTCTACCTTAAAGCTTTTATGTGAAAACATTAAAAATTGAGGAAGTAGTACTGAGGTTTTCCAGCTGTATTCACTCACATAGAATAGTGATTATCTGAAGTAGTACACATGGTCAAGGGAATTGCATGATCAGACTCACTTACTTATGCATGTGATCGTATTTCAAATGTGTAGTCATGCAGGAAGCAGAGGCACCGTAAGTCCCCTTGATCCCCTGGAAGGTGGTCCAACTTTGGTCGCTAGTGGTCTACAGCCTTGTTTTGAATTACACTTAATAAGTAATGTTTTTAATAAAGAATTGGTTTGTTTTATACTTAAACTGTGATACTGAAGATACTGTTTTACTTTCCTAAGTAGAAAACATCTTAATATTATTCAACTTGTTCTCATTGCTGCAATACTGCCAATCCGATGTAAAATTTTAACTCACTCACTCACTCTAATGTGTAGATTGTTATTCATAATGCCAGTCTCTACATTTTCTGGGCATTAGTCAATAATTTACAGACCGTCACAACAAACAGAGAACTAAAATAATAGATCCTGTACATACGTTGCGCAGATCGATGCTCATGCTGTTGATCACTGGATTGTCCGGTCCAGACTTGATTATTTACAGACCGCCGCCATGTAGCAGGAATATTGCTGAGTGCTGCATTAAATTTCAACAAACCAACATTAGGAATGTTGATTCGAATGATATTAAACTAGCAAACAAACAAAAACTGAATATACAGTGTTCCTGTGTCATTGTATGGTGTTGTTGTTGATATGTGTAGTACGTCAGTGGTATTCAGTGTCCTCACTGCAGCAAACTCTGAACTATGTCAGTACTTTCCAATTCATGTTGTATTTCAGTATCTTTTCTACTCCAATTTGTGCAAATATACACTGTATCTTGCTAATAGTAATATTATCATTCTGACATAAAAATTTATATCAATAACATTAATAAGCAAATGTGTACTGGATAGAGACATGTAATGTTTAATGTGATTCATATTTATCATATTTATTGCTTAATTTCATCTATAAGAATGATAAGTTCAACGTAATTGTTGTGAATGATAATTAATTGATAATTAAATGCTAATAAAAGTCCTTTTCCCCCAACTCACCTGATAATTGACTTGCATGGGTGTTCGCCACTGTTAAAATGGTTGTCGTGGTTGTCTGCAGAGAGAACAGGGTTTTGCAAAATGGTAAGATATTTCCAAAAATATTTATACAATGAATTGTTCATGTGATGTTTTATGAAATATTCCCAGGAATGGAATAATATCTATGTAATCTGGTAACAGGTGTATTAATATGATTGTTCCTGTATTTCTTTGATAGTCCAGAGAGTAATGTAACATAGCAGAGAGGCAGATATATCAAGTTATCTTATGTTTATGACATTCTCACAGTATACAAAGACAATATTAGTTTCTGAGATGTGACAGTGCACAATTTCCTTTTGATAGCTTTATGACACTCACATCCCTCTAGATACTCTGTAAAAATCTAGATCCAGATTTTTTACATCTCAGATTGCCTCCAAGTCATAAAATATTTGAAAACCTGAGTAATTTGCTTTTTAATCACATAACATGTCCATGTAGTTATACATCTCTCACTTTTAAAGTGAACTTCAATGCAGAATTCCAGATTTAAAAATGAATCCATTTAACCAGTGTATGGAAGGGCCTTTTTCTGACAATGTCAGGAGAGTATGGAAGGGACTTTTTCTGACAATGTCAGGAGAGCATGGAAGGGACTTTTTCTGACAATGACAGGAAGGCATAGATGGGACTTTTTCTGACAATGACAGGAGGGCATAGATGGGACTTTTTCTGACAATGACAGGAGGGCATAGATGGGACTTTTCTGACAATGACAGGAGGGCATAGATGGGACTTTTTCTGACAGTGATAGTAGGGCATAGATGGGACTTTTTCTGACAATGACAGGAGGGCATAGATGGGACTTTTCTGACAATGACAGGAGGGCATTGATGGGACTTTTCTGACAATGACAGGGAGGGCATGATGGGACTTTTCTGACAATGACAGGAAGGCATAGATGGGACTTTTTCTGACAATGACAGGAAGGCATGGAAAGGACTTTTCTGACAATGACAGGAAGGCATAGATGGGACTTTTTCTGACAATGACAGGAAGGCATGGAAAGGACTTTTCTGACAATGACAGGAGGGCATAGATGGGAATTTTTCTGACAATGACAGGCATAGGGCATAGAAAGGACTTTTTCTGACAATGACAATGACTGGAAGGCATAGATGGTACTTTTCTTTGACAGAAGGCATATGATAGACAATGAAGGCAATTTTTCTGATGATAGTAGGCATAGATGGTACTTTTTCTGACAATGACAGGAAGGCATAGATGGGACACAATGACAGGAGGGCAAAGATAGACTTTTCTGACAATGATAGTAGGCATAGATGGGACTTTTTCTTGCACTGACAGGAGGGCATGGAAGGGCCTTGTGGTTGAAGTGTGTATGCTTAAGACCTGATTTCTATTTCCTATGGGGATAATGTGTGCTGTGCGCTTTTTAAATGCTGTCATGATGGGGAATATGGCTGAAACCTGACTTACTTGTATTCTCTTATGAGGCAGAGGAGTAGCCAAGTGGTTAAAGCTTTCCCTCATCATGCCAAAGGCCTGGGTTCCATTCCCCAAACAGATACAATGTGTGAAGCTTATTACCCATGTTTTGTGGTATTGCTGGAATGTTTTAGGAAACAGTGTAAAACAATACCCATTCACATGCTCATTTCGATTCACTGATGGTAACTTGTTGAAGAGATGCTTCCGTTCCTTTATCAGATTCTGTTCATATGTTTGCAGGAGATCTATCACAACCAGGGTGTGTGCTATATGTACCTTCGTGACTTCCCCAAGGTTTGTAGCACAAAACATACATCCAGATTTGAAATATTAGGCATTTGCCCAAACAAGGGAGACAACTCTTGCCCCCATACCATGCATCAGATGCTGTCATGAAAATTGCTGAACATTTATTTTAATTATTTCATTTTACAAAATAGAGGGGCTTGGTGTAGATAATTGAAAAATGCATTATTTGTTTTAGAATGAAAGATTTAAATTGTTTGATAATTGAAATATTCATTTTTCTGCAAAATATCCAAATATTTATAGTGTTGAATATCAGCCAACACTTTGTGAATTTGTGTCATTGTTTCATTCTGATATCATCCCTTTTCCTTCCAAGGTGTATTTGTGACTTCCCGTTTGCAGGCCAAGGAATGTTTGAAGCAGGCCATTGAGTGCCGGCGTCATGAAATCTCTTACGTCATGCTGGGGAAGATACACCTGATGGAGAATGACATCAATGCTGCTATAGAGGTGGGCTACAACATTAATTGAGTGCTGTGGAGTAAGTCACACAGTAAACTTATAGTCAAATTCCTTCATAGTTTCCTTCTTTTTTCGACACAAATTCCATGTATTTTAGCAATAATAACGGTAATGCTATTTTTGAGGGCATTATCATTTGCAGAAGCCCTCGGTCTTTTTCAACTTCCCTCCTTCGTCGGGCAGTTAATGGAAGACCTCAGACCTAGGTCCCCAGTTTGTCAGTGCTAAGTATGTCACCCACTCAATCACCCACTGCCCCATCCACTCTGCTCCACTGGGCACTGTAAGTCCACATGGTCCCTAGTTTGGTGATTTACCTTCAGTTATTGTATTGTATAAGTAGTAAGAAAGTTTTAGATTTACAAACTAGTTTTGTATCTATGTCTGTGATTTTCTAGTGGTTTTACTGTCACTCGTTGATAGGTGGTCATAATTCAACTCTGTATTTATGATGTAATTTGAACTTATTTTAGTCGCAATGTGACTGAAATAGTGCTGGTGTGACATTATATATTAACTCACTCACTCTGCTCCACTGGACTCCACTCCGCTCCACTCCACTCCACCATCTCCTATATAAAGTGAGATCATGCCTAACTGTGAAAAGCCTGTGAATTATCCTCTGTTGTAGCTATTCCTCTGAGAACCCAGATCTACTGACGACTCTTGGCCTGCTATACATGCAGGTATGTCCCACTCTTGTGTGTAGGAGTTGGCAAAGCTAGTGTTCAAACATAGTTAATAATTATTCAAAGTGCACGATTTAAATATTTTGACTGAAATAATATTCAGTGCTGTGATAAACCCAATTCACTCTTTGAGAACATGTAAAAGAAATATTTCTGGGATCTCATTGCTAGTTTATGTTTTGTTTATAATAGACAAAAGTCATGTTTTTAATACATAATGGTTCATCTGTTTGATTGGCGTTTTGAGTAATTTGGTGAGTAATGAGAAAGATAAGATACTGTAATGATGACAACTTCTTTACCATATGATATCACATCATATAATAGGGGCGGTGGGGTAGCCTAATGGTTAAAGGTACTTTCGAATCCCCACATGGGCACAATGTGTGAAGCCCATTTCTGTCCCCATTTATTGCTGGAATATTGCTAAAAGCGGCGTAAAACCCAACTCACTCACTCACTCACTCACTCATATAATAAATACATTCTTTTTTATATATTCCTCCTTGGGGTACTTATAAGCATTTAAATGTCCATTTAAAATCCCTACGACAGTTGTAACAATATTTTGAATAAAATATTTACAAAACAAAAACTACGTTTTGTCTTGTGAGACCACCCTTACAGGGCCCTCTGGCCCCCTACAGCCAAGAGCAGGTAACTCCAGACCGTAACCTCGAACCTCACTTTCCATGCTGTCGTTGTATCGACAAGACGTGGGTCCATACCAGAAGGTTTTTTCCTTGCGACTATAGAGAAATGAGTGTTTCAGAAACTGCAACTGTATGTATGGTTCTCTTTTTTCCCTGCATGGGCGAATTGGAGGTTTTTTCTGAATTTTTTCATTCATAAATTCTCGTTGTAACTTGGTACCTGTCGCGGTCGGCTCGCTAGTGCGTGTCAAGATGGCGGACAGGTCCCTTCGCTAGCCTTCCTGTTCATTGGTTTCCCATGTGGTTTTTCAATGTTACAGGTGGTTTTAGTGATTTTTTATTTGTATCTTGGTACGTGTTGGGTGTATGTCTACTGCTCGCAGATTTTCTATATTACGCTAAAACCGTAATTGTTAGTTATGCTGCAGTGTGTACTAGGGTCAACTGCATGCCACGTTGTCGATTAGTTGTGTCGCTTCCATGCGCTGTTTACATGTATTTGTATGTGGGTATAGGGTACATTGCTGCACAGGTTTTTTACTTGTTGCAGTTTAAACCCTGTACTTCCTGCCTTGCTGCAATCCCCGTACGGGATTCCCACGAGGTCTGCCTACGCTGTTTAGTGCAGAAGGAACATGAGGAAGAGGGGTGTGCTGCATGTGCCATGTTCTCGCCCCAAAACCATTCTCGGTCGAGGCGCATAGACACGCTTGTTTTACAGCAACCTGCTTCGGCGGGGTGATCTCTAAGCGCAGGATCCCCGGCCCAAGCGCCCCATAGTAGGAAAAAGGGTCCACGGGAGCCGCTTCCCACGCTGGAGCCGGCTCCCAAGAAAGCTAAGGCTACCAAGGCGGCTTCGCTTCACGCACTCATGCCCCTTCGGGCGCCTCCTCCTGCTTCCATCTCTGTACCCGCCACCCCTCTTGATTCAGCACCTGTGCAAAATGTTCCTGTTGATTCCTTAACCATTTTTTCCAGGAGCAGATGTCGCCAGTCAAGTCCCTGATTGATACGGCGTTAGCAGGGTTCCGTAAGGGAGCTCAGCCGCCGGTCGCGTCGGGGCGGAGCTGACACATCTGGGGTTAGCTGCGCCCGAGCCTCGCTCGAGAACGCCTCCCGGGCGGCTTGATCCTGGCTTCGCCGCGGGCGATAGCATGCCCTCGGCGCCTGCTGACGACCTGGCTTTACGCCCGGGCTGTCACAGGTGCCTGGTGCCGGGCGACAGGGTTGCCCTGTCATCGCCTGGTGTCCCGACTGGTGGTCGCTTAGGCACCACCAGTTCGGGATACCTCGCCCTGGCAGCCAGTCTGGGCTGCCCGGAAGCCTGTTTATGCAGGTTCCTCTCGGGCTACTCGGCGACCTGGCGCTGGTTCCTCCCGGCAGGGTGATGTTTTTCCCCTGGCTCCTCTGGACCTTATTACTTTGTCTGGTCCTGCCTCTGGCGCCTCCTCGCGCGCTCTCAGGAGTCTGAGATGATGACGGCCGAGGATTCTGCCGAGGTCGATATGGAGGAGGAGGAAGGGACGGAGGAACCGGAGGCGGAGTACCGTGACTCCTTTGCCTCGCCCCGCGGCAGGTTCGGGATAAGATCGCCGAAGTCCTGCCGCAGGTGGCTGTTCCCGCCCCGCAACCGACCCCGCTGGAGTTTCGCCCCGGGAGGCGCCGCGACCCAACCGGTCGCAGAGGCTCGCCTCGCGCATTCTCCCATCACTGGTCAGTGAAGTGGTGAATCCGGCCCTTACTGGTACTGCCGCTCGCTTTGATTTGCCTGACGTGGGCAGGCGGTACCAGTTAGGTGAGGAGACGCCTTCAACCACCAGTGGTGGACGAAAAGCGATTTGCCTCGGTTACATTAGGAGGGTCGTCTTCGTCTTCCCTGGCCTCGGCCAGGCAGGGCAGGCGCCTCCCCCCTTTTCCGGCTAGTACATCCCTACCGCTGAAATCTGCCTACCGGTCATTTGAAGAATGCTACCGGTGCGCGGCTCAGCAGCTTAAAGTGGCCGTCCATTCAGCCTACCTGTCTGCATTGCAGGGACAGCTGGTGGCCCACAGCGCTGGCGGTGCCGATTCATCGGAGTCGGTGCTCGCGACGGCAACTAACGGATGTACACTCACATCTGGCTCGGGACAGCATTAGGTGCTGTGCCAGCCAGATGATGGGTGCAGTCATGGGCTTGCGCCGCCTGTGGCTGTCTGTGGCACGGTATTCGCCGGCCACACAGCAAGCTCTACTTTCATTGCCCTATACCATGGGATCTTCCCTGTTCCCTGGGGCATTGCAGGTGGTTAGGGAGGCCGCGGAGGCTGTCTCTACTTTTAAGGACTCAAAGCCTTTGTTGGAGCAGCCCTCCGCTCCTCGCCATCGGCCCTCCCCGCTTGCATCCGCTTACCCTTCGGCTCCGGCGAATGATGTTAAGTGGGCTGCCCTTTGCAGTCCAAGCGAGCAGGCGATCGAGAGGCAGGGGCAGGCCTGGCGCCAGCCGCAGCAGTCTTTTCGGGCAAGGGGAAGCCAGCCCGGCTTCCCACTGATTCATGCCCCAGAGCCCTTTGTTGCCCCCACTCACGCAAAGCGGAGACTTGCCGACGGTGGGGTGCACTGCCTCTTGCCACATCGCCCCTGTCGGCGGCCGGGTTGTCCCTATTCCTCCGGGAGTGGGAGGCAGCCACCTCAAATCCCTGGGTCCTGTCCACGCCAGGGATGGCCATTTGCCACAGTGGGAGGCGCGATCCTCCGCCCTTCTCCGGGTTCGCACACGCCTGTGCCGACCTCCCGCCGACAAAGCGGACGCCCTCCGTGTCGAGGTTCAGTCTTTACTGACCAAGGCAGCCATCGAGGTGGTTTCCTGTGAGTCAGCGAAGAGGGTTTTATTCCACCTACTTCCTCGTGACCAAGAAGGACGGAGGGTTCAGACCCATTCTGAATCTCAGAGGGCTGAACAAATTACTGGAGGTGCCGCTTTTCAGGATGGAGACACTCAGGTCAGTGATCTCCTCCGTCGAGACAGGGATTGGCTTACGCCAATCGATCTCAAAGACGATACCTCCATGTTCCAATGCACCCGAATTCCAAGAAGTACCCGTTCTCCTTCGACGGACGTGCTACCAGTTTCGCTGCTCCCCTTCGGCATCTCTACGGCGCCAAGGGTGTTCACCAAACTTATGCTAATCCCAGCTCAGTTAGCCAGGTCTCAGGGCAGGTGTTGTCACCCGTACCTGGACGATTGGCTTCTACGGGCCTTAGGGCCTCAGTTAAGCAGAGCCTCCACACTGTGCGTGCTGGATACTCTGGTGTCACTGGGCTGGATTATCAATCTCAAGAAATCAGAACTCGTTCCGACGCAGGATCTGATATTCTTGGGAGCCAGATTCAACACGGCGCTAGGGATTGTTTCCCTTGCTCCGGACCGCATCGTCAAAGTCCGAGGGACTGTGTTACAGTTCCTCCAGTCCCCTGTTGCGTCGGCCCCGAACATGGCTTCGCTGCTCGGCAACATGGCGGCGACAGTGGACGGGTTTGGCGCGCGCTGCCTGAGATGCGCACCAATTCAGCAAGCATTAGCTCAGCTGTGGTCCCACTCGCAGGGCTACGAGATTATGCTCATAACGCCAGAGTGGTTAATCCTCTCACTTGCGATGGTGGGCGAAGTCGGGAATTTGTCCAGGGAATCCCCTCGACCCCGACACCTTCCCTCTCAGTTCAGACGGACGCCTCCCTCACAGGTTGGGGGTCCTGGGCGAAAGCACTCAGCCTCCGCCTCTGGTCGGAGCGGGAGGTCAGCCTACACATCAATGTGTTAGAACTGAGAGCAGTCCGCAAGGTGTTCGAAAAGCTTCGGTGTTGGTGCAGGGCCGTGTGGTTCGCCTAGAAATGGACAATCAAACGGCCATGACTTACATTCTCAAGCAAAGGCGGCACAGTGTCTCCGCCGCTCCTTCAGGAGGCGTGGCAGTTTCTACTGTGGTGCGATCAGTTCAACATTCGGTTTTGCCTGTTTATCTCCGGGGTAGACAACGTCCGCAGACGCCTCTCACGGCGTATACTAGCCCCACACGAAAGTGGATGCTCGACCGGGAGATATTCGGGATTATCTCCCAGTTGTTCGGTCGTTCAGGTGGATCTGTTTGGCGCCTGGGGTGACGAACCAGATTCCTGTGTTTTGCTCCCCGGATTCGGATCCGGTGCGTAGCCAACGACGCCTTTCAGCTAGATTGGACGGACAGGGTACTGTGGGCGCTCCCGATACCACTGATTTCCAGGGTCCTGTCGCGAGCTGACCGCACAACCAGCTCGGCTACTTGTGCTTCTGGCACCCTTTGGTCGGCACAAAGCTGGTTTCCGTAATTCTCAGGTTTCTGGCTCAGCCTCCTGTTCTATTACCTTTTCGACCGACCTCCTATCCCAGAACGGAGCTTCCACCAATCCCAGGATTCAGTGGGTGGCTTGGCCGCTATCAGGGATCGCCTCCATGCGAAGCGAATTCTGCACCAGTTGCAGACACAATTTCTGGCTTCGCGGAGGGATTCGACAAACGCTCAATATGAGGATAGATGGGCCTGTTATTCGCTGGTGTGTCAACAGGGGATTCTTGATCCCTTTCTACAGATTTAGTCTGTGTGTTAGAATTCCTCCAGTTCGCCAAGCCGGTCTAGCGGCTTCAACTGTTCGAGGATATTCTACAGCTATTTCTCGCGCTTCACATTCCTGTTGACGGTGCTCTCTTGGGGCAGCACCCTCTGGTACAGCTGCTTTAGCAGGCGGACAGAATCCGTCCGTTGTCCGCGGATTAGTCCCCGCGGGACTTGTCAATCGTTCTTGATTGGCTGTCCGGGTCCACTGTTTCACAATCTGTCGGTTCTTTCACTCCAGCTGTTGACGGGAAGACGGGCGCTTTGTGGCGGTGACTTCAGGCAGGCGGGTTGGCGATATTCACGCAATGTCGGCCGATCCCGCTTACTGTTTTTCACAAAGACAGAGTTAGCATACGGGCTGCCTGATACTTACCGGCCCTAAGAAGGATAGTCCCTTCCATGTGACGGCGCTATTGAGCTCCCAGCTTTCACTCAGCCTTCCCTGTCCGGTACCTCTCTCACGACGTGCTCCGCCTTAGATGTCCGTAAAGACACTTAAGGCTTATATCAAACGAACAAGGGGTACCCGTAAGGGGTAACCAATTGTTTTGTTGTTATGGCGGGTTCAGGCTGGTCTTCCGCCACCAAGCAAACCATTTCTAGGTGGCTTGTCTCTGCCATACACATGAGCTATACTCAAACAGGGCGATCCCGCCTGTAGGGTTGAAGGCTCATTCGGTTAGGGCAGTGGTTACATCGACAGCTTACGCCTGCAGCCCTGCCCATTGAGGAGATCTGCTCAGCTGGCTATATGGAGCCGTCCGAGTACGTTCATCCGTCATTACCAACTTGACAGACTCTCCAGTGAGCGTGCTCGGTTCGGTCAGTCAGTTCTCTCCAGTGGGCATGGTTCCACCTCTCTAGCCGATTGAGCTTTCGAGGTTGTATTGTGTGAACCGTTATCTGCCAATTTTTTAACACTGGTGTTGGGTTTTACAAATCTTGTTACATTTCCCCTTGGTGATGGGTTTTATGTGGTGATGGTTTTTTATTCCCATGTCTCTTGCTTTCTAACCGAGAAGTTTATAGACTAAACTGCCCTTGGAAACTTTGCTGTTCACGGCATTTCGCTTCTGGGTTTATTATGGACCCTTATCTTCACTTCCGGTAGATTACGGGAAGGAGGGAGGGTGTGTCTCGTTCGTTGCATTAGCGAGGTTTCGCTGGACAAAATTTGCATACGTTATTCCCTGACCCTGGCTCATGCCCCCGCCTGATTGGCTTTGGTGGACACGCGACCGGGTAAGTGTGCCTTTTCTGCTATAATTAGCTTGGGAAATTCCACTTCTTGTCGGGGTGTTTAAGCAGACAGAATGCCGCCCTGAGATCCGTCTTTAGGAGTCTGTCTTATGCTTATAAGTACCCCCAAGGAGGAATATATAAAAAGAATCGAACTAACCTGTAGAGGTTTAAGATTCTTTGAATATATTCATCCTTGGGGTACTACCACCTCCCCTCAAGATTCTGTCTGACTTCGTTCAGCATGGAAAGTGAGGTTCGAGGTTACGGTCTGGAGTTACCTGCTCTTGGCTGTAGGGGGCCAGAGGGCCCTGTAAGGGTGGTCTCACAAGACAAAACGTAGTTTTTGTTTTGTAAATATTTTATTCAAAATATTGTTACAACTGTCGTAGGGATTTTAAATGGACATTTAAATGCTTATAAGTACCCCAAGGATGAATATATTCAAAGAATCTTAAACCTCTACAGGTTAGTTCGAGTTTATTACCTTTCATAATGATTCAGAACTTCTGGTGGCACTTTGGTTTTTATAGTATGTTTTTGAATATCAGAAAGGAAATACATCATAAGAATATTCATCGCATAACTTGAGAAAGATGACATTTTCACGCATGGTTTAGAAAATGTCAACTTTGTCGAGTCACTCACAGAGATAAACATGATATTTGACAAGATAGTACTAATATCTCCTTTATCTTACAACTTTATGGATGTAAGAATCTACACCGAAACGTCGCTGTCTGCAGTAAACAAGAAGTTGTTATCCATAAAGTTGTATGCTTTGTTATTGACTCACCAACTTCTAGCATGATTATCAAATAATTACTTATATGGTAACAAATGCTACAGAACCCTGTCACGTGTGTCTCTTTTCTTTAACTGTAGATCGGACAGTACCAGAAAGCCTTTGAGAATCTTGGCAATGCCATGACCTTTGACCCAACCCACACAAAGGCCATAATGGCTGCTGGGAGTATGATGCAAAGTCACTCAGATTTTGATGTTGCCTTGACAAAGTACCGGATCGCTGCTGTCAACACCCCTGAGAGTCCCCCACTCTGGAATAATATTGGCATGTGCTTCTTTGGCAAGAAGAAGTTTGTGGCGGTAAGTGTTTATTGGTGTTATTGTGAAGTCCTGATACTGAAATGCATTTTGCTCTATATTTATCCCCAACACTTGCATCAGGAAATAATGAAATGTTCCCTCTTAATAACATTTGCCCATGTCTGGATGATATGTTGTGGTTTTGAAAGAACTGTGTTCACCCTTATCTTTAATATTTCATTGTTTTCGTAGCATGCATTACACCATGGGTTACTGCACATGTCAGATTTAAATGTGCTTGTACACTTTATGCCATGTTTTGCCCCTTTCTACACACAATGTATATTCTTAGAAAGTGGAGACCCGTGAAGATTCGATATAGAGCTGATCTTCAGCAACCCATGCTTGTTGTAAGAGGCAGCTAACGGGATCGGGTGGTCAGGCTTGCTGATTTGGTTGACACTTGTCATGTATCCATGCTCATGCATGTAGATCAATGCTCATGCTGTTGGTCACTGGATTGTCTGGTCCAAACTCGATTATTTACAGACCGCTGCCAAATAGCTGGAATATTGCTGAGTGCTGCGTTAAACAATAAACCAACCAACCAGTCGTAGAAATTGGTCAATATCTGTGGTTTTTGTGTACAACCACGTCATGTTCTGCCCCTTTCTTCACACAGCGTTTATTCTTAGAAAGCGGACAACTTCTGTGGTTTACCCGATTTTATTTCTTTGTGGAATTGTTGTTGTGTGATTGACAGCTCCTTGTACCACAACACACAACAGCTTGGTTGTACAGTGGAGTATTTTAGCCAATGCCTGCATGCAGCAGAAGGGAGATAACTCCATCTATCCATCTCATAAAATATTGCTTCATTATACTAAGCAGCAAAAGAAACATCAGTTTGAAATTTTCTCTCGCAGAAACGGGTAACTGTAAACTCATTTGATGTTTTGATTGTATATTTTTGACTACACCTCCAACTTTACCTGAGCAAAGACATTCCTTCCCAAACTCAGAATTGAACCCAGGAAATGGTTTCAAAAGATGGTACGGTGTTCTCAGTGTTTGTCATGCTGCACGTGCTGTTCACAAGGACCAGCCCTATAAAATGCACCCAAAACCTGGTTGAAACATTCACATTACAACGTCAGCAGGATGCCGCGACTTACGACAGCTGAGAGGAACCAGGCGCTAGGAAGACTTGAAGCTGGCCACACTGCACAAGCTATTGCCAATCACTTCTAGGTCAACGTTCTGACCATCTACAGACTGCAGCAATGTTCCTGGGCCACCAACACCACAAATGATCGCCCCCATACTGGCAGACAAGGGTGACCACAAGACGAAAAGACCGCCATGTTGTGCAACAGCATGTACAGAATCCCTTCATGCAGGCATCCGAAACAGCACGCTAAACAGTGGGAACACACGGAAGACCAATCAGTACTGATACAGTACGCCGACGTCTTAACAGCGGGAACCTCCATTGCCGTAGACCTTACCGTGGACCTATCCTCACCCCTCGTCATCGGCGTGAACATCTACAGTTTGTCCTACAACACCAAAACTGGCGATACAGGCCCTGGAGAACTGTTCTGTTCACAGATAAGAGTCGGTACTGCGCATCAACTGCAGATGGCAGAACAAGAAAATGGCGACAACATGGCCAGCGTTACTCAGACCAATGTGTTATAGAAAGAGACTTATGGGGAGGTGCAAGCATCATGGTATGGGGTAGAATAGGCCTGAACTAGAGAATGGGTCCTGTGGTTTTCCAGAACCTTGGTCCAGGGAGAGGAGGCAGCATCACAGCAGTGAGCTACATTGACCAAGCTCTCAGACCCCACGTCAAATTCGACATTGGATATTATATAAATATTTTGAGTTAATTGAAGAGTTTTATCTCACTCAAAGTGTGCTGTTGTTAATTCAAGGGGAGCCTTTAGAGCTCTGTTGTTTTGTTCTCATGCTAATATCACTGACTGTATATTGCAGGCCATCAGCTGTTTGAAGCGAGCCAGCTACTTGGCGCCATTTGACTGGAAGATCCTGTACAACCTGGGACTGGTGCACCTCACCATGCAGCAGTACGCCTCTGCATTCCACTTCCTCAGTGCCGCCATTAACCTCCGACCCAAGATGGCGCAGCTCTTCATGTTGTTAGCCGGTAGGTTAATGCTGTTCTCAAATATTTATCATCTTTTAATTTTCATTCACAGCGATAAAAAACTAACCCAATATTTTTTTAATTATTTTTTTAAAATTTGCAGCTAAATATGAAATATATTGCTCACTTAATTCATACAAACTTTATACTGCTCTACAAAAAGAAAACCCACAAGGACTAACTTTCCTGGACACTAGTAGAGACAGTGCCATTATTTATGCTTGCACTGCCTGCTATGTATGTGTATGAACATATAACTTTTCCTTATCCTGACTCATGCTTAATTTACTCCTTCTTGCGAATGATAGTGGAACACTTGAATCCCCTTTTGAAGCTCCCTTCAAAAAAGCAGACGTAAAATCACTCACCCAGTGTTACCTCCCATAGGTATTTTGGCGGCAAAAGGGGATTCAAGTATTCCACTATCATTCGCAAGAAGAAGGAGACAAGCAATTAAGCATGAGTCAGGATAAATATAAAATATCAATTTTAATAAAAACATTACATTTTGGCCTGACATGAAATCTATATTCAGTATATCTGTCCGAATGTTTTTGTATAAGAGTCAACTAAAAGGATCGGGTGGTCTCGCTGACTTTGTTGACACATGTCATTGTAATCCAATTGTGTAGATCACTGGATTATCTGGTCCAGACTCAATTATATACACACCACCGACATATAGCTGGAATGTTGCTGAGTTTTGTGTTAAACAACAAACAAACAAAAAACGAATCAGAACATTGTTGAAAGTTACGGTAGATGAAAATCGAAATTTAGGCATAAAGTATTCAACTGAGTTTCTGAATCGCATTAGCTGATAACCAGTGTTTTACTGTTGGGATGCCCTTAATCATAACCCTCTATCCCCAGGCAAGAAATACTGTCCTAATGTCAGTAGAGACAGATCGGCTGCCAGCTGTGGATGAAAACAGTACACTTTTCAGATCTTGCAGCACATCATATTTTGTGTTACAGAAATCGTCCGCTGCCATATAGCTGGAATATTGCTGAGTGCGGCATAAAACTAAACTCACTCACTCACTTTCTCACTGTTACAGAAATCAGACAAACATAATTAAAACTGATTAAAAATTGTGTTTGTGAACTTAGTGCATGTGAAGGTACATGTTTCTTTAAAAACTGTATTTTGAATGTTGAATGCTTTTCAGATTGTATTCATGTAACCTATCTAATACAGGCTGATGCCTATACTGTTTCAGTTTCGTTGACCAACCTTGAGGATCCTGAGAATGCTAAACAAGCCTATGAGCAGGCAATGACACTAGACGGGTGGGTACAGCACTTGGTCAGAGATGTGATACATGCCCCCTCTTTAGGGAACCCAGAGTCGATAAATACAGACCACACCATATAGCTGGAATATTGATGAGTGCAGAGTTAAACAACAAACTAAACAAACAAACAACAGACTTTAGGGTGCTCGACTGACTGACTGACTGAGTTTGGTTTTACGCCGCTTTTAGCAATATTCCAGCAACATCACGGCGGGGGACACCAGAAATGGGCTTCACACATTGTGCCCATGTGGGGATTCGAACCTGGGTCTTCGGCGTGACGGCCAACGCTTTAACCACTAGGCTACCCCACCTCCCCTTTAGGGAGCTCGAAGACTTGTGACAGAAACCTCAGCTAGAGATCAGTTTGGTTTGGACTGATAGATGAGCCACAATTATACACAGTGTAACTCATCGCAATGTTTCCTCAGTAAGAGCATTGTTTAAACACTGAAGTGATCCTCAGAACATTTCTTCATTTAGACACCTTAATTCTTCAAAGGACATACAGATGCTGAAAATTAAAAGGAATAAAAAAAAATGTTGTCCTTTATTATTTGTGACAATTACTTGCGTTTTGTAAACTTGATGCTGTGTTCCTGCAGTGTTAACCCGTGAAGATCCGGGGTAGAATAGGTCTTCAGCAACCCATGTGCTTGCCATAAAAGGCGACTATGCTTGTCGTAAGAGGCGACTAACGAGATCGGGTGGTCAGTTTCACTGACTTGGTTGACACATGTCATCGGTTCCTAATTGCGCAGATAGATGCTCATGCTGTTGATCACTGAATTGTCTGGTCCAGACTCGATTATTTACAGACTGCCGCCATATAGCTGGGATATTGATGAGTGCGGCATAAAACTAAACTCACTCACTCCTGCAGTGGAATGACAGCAAAAATGTAAAAACGTAAAAAATTAAGTCAAGACTCTGAAGAAATTTAGCTGAACTGAATTATATATTTGATGTTTGAATGGCTCCAGAATCCGCATGTGTTTCCTTTGGTTAGGGATGGGATGGTGGCATTTTACTCCTGGGGTGGTGAAAGTTACTCATGGTTCACCTGAGGTATTGAATCATAGCCTGACATTGAGTGTAGTAATATGTAAGAGCAGGGTGATCTCTAACTTCTTTTGAGTGGTATACATCTCAGACTGTTGTGTTACATCAGTTCCCTGTGTTCCAGTAAGGACCCAGCCATCCCTCTCAACTACGCCGTGTTCCTGCTCAACACTGGAGACCGGAGGTCTGCTCAGAAGAACCTGTCCCAGTTTGAACAGAGGGTGAAGAACTACAAGTCAGGCGTGCCCATCGATCAAGAGGTAATATTTGTGTATAGCACTAAGTCCGAGGTGAATCCATGCTCCAACTCTGAAATGTTGAGGATGGTTGTATTAAGACTTGAGTGTGTTCAGATTACTGCACATAACATAAAACTGAGTTTGTTGTTTGGAGGCACTTGTTTCTGGTGTATGCTGTCAGTATATTTCTGGGAATGGGTGAGGTGAGGTGAGGTGAAGTGAAATTGGGTTTATCGTCGTGCTTGAGAATATTTCGCTCATATGACGACTTGCATGCGTGTGTATGTGTATGTGCAGCTGCTTGTACTAGCCCAGACTTAAGCTGGTTTTATAGTGCTAGCCCACTGAGATACCACGCCGCAGTGAAACATGAATACCCCACTCAGACACATTATACTGACTCCGAGCCGACCAGTCCTTGTTGAACCCATTTATACCGAGCGCCAGGCAGGGACCAACAAGTACCATATTTTAACGTCTTTTGGTATGACACGGTCGGGGATCGAACCCACGACCTTCCGCTCTCCGGGCGGACGCTCTAACCACTACACCACGGAGGCTACCCCTGGGAGTGTATTCTGAGTCATCTGCTTTATGTCTATGTTATGGCAGGAGCCCAAGTTAAATACCCAGATTTCACCAAAAATTAGGGTCCCGTCATTTATTGAGAGGGTGTCCACAGGAAATCTGGCAACATAGTATGGAGGATCATGATAGCATTTTAAAATGCTTTAAAATAATGTGGAGGAACCTCATTTTGTTTTTCTTGGCCCTATGCCCCTCCCCTCAAACCTCAAAATGTAAAAACACTCTATATCATAATCCTTTTAAACAGGTGGTACTGGGTATGATTATTGTCGTTGGTTTCTCTAATGATAAACATGCAATATGCATCACTACACTACTTCTGGTGATGTCAGCATTTTTGGCTGCTTTTTGCCCATTAAGGAGATGTGTTAGGGTGGATTGTCATTCACCTGATGAAACATCAGCTGAAAGATTAAAGATGTCGTTGCCAATAGACAATCCATGTCCTCATGCTGCCAGAGTTTCTGTTGCTTCGGTACAACCCCACACTGAAGCACATGTAGCAGATGTGGTACCTCCTTGGTCAAGTGGGGCGGCGGGGTAGCCTAGTGGTTAAAGCATCCGGTTATCAAAACAAAGGCCTGGGCATGGGCACAATGTTGGAAGCCTATCCCTGGTCCTCCCCACCATGATATTAGGGCTGCAACAATTCACCAAGATCTTGATTCGATTTGATTTTGATATTGGACACTTGATTCAATCATTTTTCAATTTGATTCTTCATGCAAGTAAAAACATGAGATTTCATATAACTCTCAGAGTCAGCTTTTTTAGCATGAAATCCATTGTCAACTTGGAGATGTCTACTAACATACAGTTCTCATTGGATTATTAGCCCAGAATCAACCAATCATGTTTCCCCTTATTTCATCGCCCGAAAATGCTCGAGTTGGAGTCAAAATTACGTTCTGGCTGTGTGGAAATAATGTTAATGAGTATTCAAATATCCAATCAAAATAGTGATAATGGTTAGCGAAAATCAAAACTAAGGTGTCAGATTCGATTTTCGGTGAATCGAACCGAATCGTTGCAGCACTACACGAATATTGATTGCTATTAGCTGTGTCAGACCCATCTCACTCACTCACTCACTCACTGACTCACCCTTAGTGAAGTTACTTTGTGGAAATATGTAAGGGTACAATAGGTAGGTAAAGTGACTGTCACCTTGACTTCAAAAGTCTCACAGGCTTGGATTGTATACTCCCCAGGGAGCTGAGAGGGACAATTGAGTCAATAGACTGGGGTAATAATTTAGCTCTTTGAGCATGTTTTATGTTTATTTTAACCATGGATTTCTCTGTTTCACCAGCTGATGGACGTAGCCAGCAAGATGGGGCCCCTGCTACAGGTAGGGGACAGCCTCACCTGGAAACAGGGGGCAGCTGAACCCAAGAAAGAAGCAAAACCATCCGTCCCCGAGAAATCTACACGTCCAACTTCATCTACATCCGACCCTGTTGTCATCCCTCAGGCAGGACCTCGACCTACGACCTCCTCTGCCGTGGAGGCCAGTCTGTCAGCTACTCCTTGTATGTATATCAGCTGTGTTAGTTGACCTGTGAAGATCTGGGTTAGAAATGATCTTCAGCAACCCTTCCCTGTCATACGAGGCGACTAACGGGATAGGGTGGTCAGGCTTGCTGGCTTGGTTGACACATGTAATCATATCCCAAATTGTGTAGATCTATGCTCATGATGTCAATCACTGGATTGTCTGGTCCTAACTCCACTATTGACAATCCATTGTCATTTAGCTGGAATGTTGCTGAGTGCAACTTGTCCTTATTGTTAGGTCCATATTCATGGGCACAATATGTCTGTGTTTCCGACTTGTTTTTCAAGACAATAGATTTTGAAGATAGAATAGAATGGAATAGAATAATACTTTAATGCCTTTTCAGGAATTTGTGTTACATCAGCAGAGCTACTGACACATTAGAGAGATACCAAACATATTTACATACATTCTTTGATTTAGGTATCTTCACATTTGTTTAAGAGAGATATGGTACTTGGAATATAGGATGTACGGGCTCTCTTAGTTTTCACAATTGGAACTTTGTAGCGGCGGCCTGAAGGGAGGAGGTTGTATTCCGAATTTAAGTAGTGAGTACGGTCAGATATAATTTTGACAGCTTGATTCACGATTTGCCGCTCATATATTGATGATAAACATTCAAATCTGACTCCAGCGATTTTACTTGCAGTGTTAACAATTTTGTCTATTTTAGATTTGAGATGAACTGAGAGAGACCCGTACCAACAATGGAAGGAAAATGTAAAAATACTCTGAATAAATGCTACATAAAAATATGACATCACAGATGGGTTAACATTAAAAGATCTCAATTTAAGCATGAGATGAAGACGTTGTTGACACTTTTTGTATAGGGTTTCAGTGTTAGAGTTCCAGTTCAGCTTAGAGTCAATGAAGGTTCCCAGATACTTATGCTCCGACACTGTCTCAACACATTCACCGTTGATTATCACATATTAATGCCAAGTCAGTGGTAGTTTGAGTGTATCAATGATGTGGTAAAATATGTCTGACCAATTATTTTGACTTATTTCGCAGGTAACTGACTCCAATTTTATTAAAAAAACTGAGAAAAAAGCAGCAGCATCTTATTGATGTGTCATATAATCTTGATTGATGTTTCATCAATGGGTCAAATTTCAATTGGCATGCAGATATACCCTCATTACAAGATTGGAGTTAATACCTCCTTCAGATTTTCACCTCAGGCTGATTTAACACTTGACCCATATGTTTCAGTACCTGACCTCGACAAGGAACCGCCCAATTTGAAACCAGACATACCTTATGAATCAGAGCCGACAGATCTGAGCCTGATGGGTGATGACAAGCCACCCGTCTCGCGGTTCGACAACCCGTTCTCACCGCCCCCTCCAGTATTGCCTTCAGACATCCCGAAGAAAAGTCAAGAAATACCCAATCTGGATGGAGCCCTGCCTCCAGTGAGAAGGGCCGGGATGTTGCCAAGTCTAGACTCTCTACCAGCACCACCTAGGAACAACCCAACTGAAGATGATGACGATGATGACATTGAGGAAGAAATTGAAGAAGAAATTGCGAAACCTCAAAGGAGATCTGCTGTACCAGATTTATGAAGAGGAAACTTCTGTACTTGATTTGTAAATAGATGTATCTTGTTGTAATGATTGTGATAAAGATCTGACAATGCCTTGAAACTGTGTTGTGGTATGTAAGTGAACAATGTTGCAGCTATTTTGGTGGTTTTGTCATTTTTTGTTAGTTTCCTCAAACGTGACAATGGTCAGAGCAGCAAATTTAGTACCTACTTTTAGGGGGTGATGTTTATTTCACATTGTACAAATTACCTTGGTCAAATAGATTGGAATCAAAATGGAAAAATCTTGTCGGAATGTATTTTTGTTGTTTTGTTTCCTATAAAATACACTCCTTGAATAAAAAACATTTAAATCAAAATTCATATGAAAAGGCGCCATTCATTTGATCTAACATGGCATTTAAGTCATAACTTTACCTTTACAAACTTTCTGTTTTTATTTGTAAAACATTAATTACGTCGTATATTGGTTGCCGTAAAGGGTTGCCGTACTATTACTTTACAACTTACACCGTTAGAATGCTTGAAACAATTATCATGTTTCATTGTGTTTATGATCAAAACTTGTTTGTGTGCATCTACTTAAAACTGATTAAACGAAGTATAGTAGTCTTTATATTCATTCAGGACTCAAAGCAAAAACTTTATTTTTTTATTTCAATGTTTGTGTTTGGTTTCATGTAGAGGTGTATGTAAGTCAGCGTTCTATATTGACATTGAAATATTAGAGGTGTCAGTTTAGAAATGTTTGTATGTTGAACTGACTGGGACACTGGTGACCCTTCTTTAGTATGGCTATGCAGAGTTATATCCCTTATACATGCCAGGATCTGCTGACTTTCAGTCCAGATTACAGATTTCGGGCAGTGACATCTGAAATGCATACGAGTATCCACTACCGTAAAAATAACAACTTTAATACTGCATCTGTTCACATATTTATGTTCACAACAAAACTGAAACAGCTGGATTTCACAATCAGACATCCAGGTACTTTTACAGCTCAGTATGGTAAGAGATATTTTTCTTGAAACGTTTTGTAAAGATGGTTGAATATTTCATATAAAAAATCATCCCTCCAAATGCTTGCTTACCTTACCTAATGATCAAGGTTTGCTAACAGATGCATATCAGCCATAATATGAGTACAACACGTTGCAGTATTCAAAATCAGAATATTCCCCTTTTGGCTTATATTTCAGATTGATTGTGGCCTTTCTAAACATTTTATTGTCTTCAGGATTTATGGAGGATTTAAATGAACAGATACTGACACTCAATAAAAATGCATTATCAACACAAACTCAAAACACAAGAAATATATCAGCAGTAAATACTTCCTTACATGACAAAGCATGATGGCTGTGTGATGACGATGATGTTATGTTTCATTATTTCCTTGATTATAGAAAAACTTAATTTGATATTTTGTGGCCATTTTGTCACTTAGTACAAAATTTTACCCTTTTCAAAATGTTTCAGTATCATCAGGTCATTGGTTATAGCTTACTCTGGCTATAACAAGAAGTGTCGTGTGACACATACAATATAAATGTTTGAATGATGGCTTGTGTTTGGGATGAGGTTATCTTTCATAAGTTAGTGAGATGTTTTACAGTCCTTCATGTCATTAGAAAGAGGGGCGGTGGGGTAGCCTAATGGTTAAAGCGTTGGCTCGTCACGCCGAAGACCCGGGTTCGAATCCCCACAAGGGTACAATGTGTGAAGCCCATTTCTGGTGTCCCCCGCCGTGATGTTGCTGGAATATTGCTAAAAGCGGCGTAAAACCAAACTCAGTCAGTCAGTCAGTCATTGGAAAGATAACGAATGTTTCCAAAAACACGAAATGCAGGGTTATGTATGGGCATATTATGCTTCAGTAATCCATATGACATACTTGATATTATCTGGATTATCAGGGTTTCATGATGCTGGAAAGTGTGACATTAATCCTAGACCTGTGTCTCCTGGGTTTAGGTACTGCACACTGTTGTTATTGTAAATACTACTGGTGTGGGAAAGGTTTCATTTGATAGCTGTCGAATGTGATATATTAATGTATTCCAGTTTGTTAGAAAATGTATTTTTTGTTGTGAGCTACTCAGGTTTGAAAGGATATAGAACATTGTAATAACTGGCTCTGCCTATACAAAACCTGCAAACTCTTGTTGTTATTTGTTTATATTAATGCTTTCTATTAACGATGATGATGATGATGACTGTTATTTTATATATATATAAATGCTTTCTCCACAATCCATTTCTCCACCATATGTAACAGCAGTGTTCATGATGATGATGATGATGATGATGATGATGATGATATATACACCTGGAAGTAGACATATTGTTCTGCTTTGATCTCCGTCCATAGAATGTATTGTTTGTTAAAGTGCAATTTTGTTAACTCAATATTTTTTTAAGAAAATGTAACTTTATCAATAATAAGCTCAAGTCCCGTCTTGAGGTTTTCTATGGTTTTGGTTTCGAATTAAGGATATTTACCTGTATTACTGCTTATTTATAATCATAAATATTTGTTGCTCATTGTCAGTATACTGAAAACCTTTATGGTGGTGAATAAAAATCTCATTTTCTTTATTTCGGTCCCATGTTGTATCTGTTTGTTTCACCATTTTATTTTCCAGAGTATTATATACATGTACGACCATGTATATAAACAAGCCAATATGGCCATACGTTGTAGAGCTGTGACGATATACCGTAGTATCGATAATCGTGATACTTTATGTGACGATAAATATATCATACTTTTTTTCGTATCGTGATATGTATCGTTGACCTTAAAATTGTTAATTTTCGATAGAAATTGACGGTTATGTTGAAATTTACACTATTACTTGCTTGCAAAATATAGGTTTTTAAAGAAAACAACTAAAGTTAGCATATCGTGATATGGATCGAATCGATTCGTATGTTCCAAGATATCGCGATGCGTATCGAATCGTGAAATTTCTGTATCGTCACACCTCTAACACGTTGTGGATGCGTATTTAAGTATAGGGGTACATGGAAAACATTTTCCCTTCAAAAAGAGACCAGTTTAAGACCTGATCTCCATGTATGCAATGAGTCAAACACATGTGAGTCGTCATTTCACTTTTTGAGCTGAACTACGACCGTGCACACCCCAATGAAGCTATCCCTTTGTGGTTATAACAGGTTGCGGAGTTTTGCCATAGTGTAATCCTTGGCTGAATGGAAAATATTCATACTGGTTATGATCCCTGATTTTTAGCACCATGACAGTGCTTGTGGATTTCACGCCCCAACGCATGCAAACCACCTACCCTATACACACACACGTACACACACCGCTAACCATTCAAGCAAGAGACAGAGGTTGGGTTTCATCTGGCAAGCTGGTCCACCTACGGTTCAGTTGGACACTAGATCCATTGTTGAGACGAGAAACTTAGTCAAGAGATAGAATGGTGACAATGCAAGGTTTCAACTCCAAACACATGAACTCTATCACATCTTGGGTGGTGTGCATTCCCAACCTCTCGCAAGATTGGTTAAAATCCTTGATCTGGCTTTGCGAATGTCGTTGCAGCGCACCAAAGATCCAGGTTTGATATAACCCACATTGGTACAATGTAAAACCCATTCCAGGCGTTCCGCGCAATGATGTAACCCGAATTTGCTGAAAGTTGCATTCAACCACAATAGCTTAGTGTGCGTTTATCCCAAATTTCTGGATCAATTATTTTTCGAAGAATACTACACTCACTGAGTTTGGCCCCAAATTGTTTTGAATGGTGAATTGTATGGTTATTACCATGTAACGAAGGCTTACAATTTACAGAGTACGTAACACAAATGTCCAAGCTGTGTCAACTGAGACGTATTGATAAATAAATTGCATTGCTTGAAGGTAACGTCATGGTTGAAAGTGTTTTGTCAGTAGACATCGATGATCGATTGCCACGAACGAAACAACAGCTTAATGATCACGTTAGACATCCGAAAGCAAGAAACTAGAATCTCGGCTGGCCGTGATGTGGTTTTTACCTTATAAACTGACACGGTGTGCTGTGGCCAATTAGTCTTGACTGATAGTTGGAACTATGTCTAACGCACACGGTGTATTGGAATGTTCAATAACGAATTGTACCATTCATATACGTAGTGCAATATTAACCAGCATACGGCTATGTCTATTGATAAACGATAATGAACAGCTCTCATTAGCCGTACAGATGTAAAGAAATAATGCTGAGTGAAATACTGGAGAGAGTTAGTGAGTTTCACGGATATATTGGGCTCCATTGTATGAATGAGGGATCGCTTTAGGTGTGAAGCTGGTACAATAGGCTACCCCACTGTAAGCCAGTAATACTTGGTAGTGTGTAACCCAATATTTCATGGGCCTCACTGTACAGATGTGGGATACAAGGTACTTGTTATCAAAACTTTCCAGTTAACTTGTTGCCCAGTTTCAAACTAGACTGTAACCCAGTATTTCTTGGTGGGTCGTCACCCGAAATATTAGGATGAGTTATTACCCGTATGTTTCTCGATAGTGTGTAACCCAATACATCATGGCCTCATTGTAGAGGTGTGGGGGTATAAGGTGCGTGTAATTAAAACATTCCAGTTATGTTGGGATCCCATTTGTAACCCAGTATTTCTTAGTAGGTTGTCACCCAATATTCCAGGACAAGTTATGGCCAATACGCTTCTCGATTCGGTGTAACCCATTATTTCATGGCAAGGTGTAACCCATGCATGTTTTGCAGGTTGGATCCCGTTTGTAACGCAGTATTTCTTAGTAGGTTGTCACCCAATATTCCAGGACAAGTTATGACCAATACGCTTCTCGATTCGGTGTAACCCATTATTTCATGGCAAGGTGTAACCCATGCATGTTTTGCAGGTTGGATCCCGTTTGTAACGCAGTATTTCTTAGTAGGTTGTCACCCAATATTCCAGGACAAATTAAGGCCAATACGCTTCTCGATTCGGTGTAACCCATTATTTCATGGCAAGGTGTAACCCATGCATGTTTTGTAGGTTGTGATCCAAGTGTTCCTAGGTAAACTACGGCCGATACTTTCTGGGTGCTATGTATGTGGATCTAGGACGTTTCCAGTTCGTATGTGAGCCATAAGTGGCTAAAAAGATTCTGTCCTTTACGTTTCAGTGTAGTATGTGACCAATGAGTTCCTACATAGGCAAACATCAATGCGTTTCCAAGCAGGGTGTGGCCCACTCGTTTCAAAGTTGTGTGTGATAGTTTCTAGATATGATGTGTCCTGTACGGTTTGGTAGGGTGTGATCTATGGGTTTCTGTGGAAGGATGTGTAGGATGTGTTTCTAGATAGGATGTTTTTTGTAGGGTGTGATCTACGCGTTTCAAGGTAGGATGTGCCCTATACGTATATAGATAGGATGTGTCCTGCATAGTTTCTGGGTTGGTTCTGACCTGTGTGAGACCCTCGAGTTTGCACGCTAAGTGCAAATTTATAGATTTTACTTATTCTTAAAACGCAACTTTCTCCTCAACCCTTGCTTGTACTCAGAACATCCCTAACGATCCTCCCATTTGGCATGGGAGCACAGAGACCATTGTGTCCACTGTTTCTTGTTGTTTAGTACTGTAGTATGATGTACTAGGTACTTACTAGGGCTGCACAATATAACCGGTTTACCGGTATTTACCGGTTCAGACATGAAAACGATACGTATTGCGATACGCTGATCGAAAACCGGTATTTTGACATGCATTCGGAAAACTTCGTAACACTCGGAAATCTTCGGATATTTCCGTTGCTTTATAATCAAGCATTAACTCGATTATAAGTATTTTTTGTTAAAAAAATAATCCTTGCAATATATTGCAATACTTATCGCAATATATGCTTCCGCATCGCAATATATCGCAATATGAAAATTCTCTGCAATACCCACCCCCTAGTACTTACGCTCTGCCGGAATAGCCGCCGGCGAATCCCGCATGTGTATCATTGAGCCTACTGAGAGAGTAACAACAGATTTCCAAGTCTGGACATACACACGCACGCACCCACTCACGCACACGCATACGCATATATATGACAATAAAAATTCTCATAAGTGTATGAGTTTTCAGCTTATCGGGACTATATAAAAAGGCATTTTTTTAAAATCGATCGCGCCAGGTATACCACGATAATAATAACGCATGTTACAAATAGATGTAGATGTCCAACATGTTTAGGGAGGATTTCAAAGCAGCACGATGTCGTTTGCTTTCGGAGGTTAACGTCATATTGTTGTACGCAGCTTCGAACTAACTACGGTGTGAGAACAGCACTGTTGGAGTTGTCATCATTTAACCAGGAGGTTATTTGATCGGCATTCTAGACGTTGGTGAGTCAAAAATGAAGCATACCACTGTATGTTTGACAACTTCTTGTTTATTGCACAGAGCGACATTTCGGTGTAGATTCTTACACCGTTATCAGGAGGTGCTTTAGTTTTAATTCTGAATTTATAAAAATACTTTTTTTAAATATCATAGTTTTTTTTATTTGTGACACGTTTTAAAACAAATACCAAAATAAACAAAAGAAAATTTTGTGTGCTTGTTTTGCTACGTTTGAGCGATACAATAACCAAACATGTGGTACTATATATTAATGTTGGTTTCTCTATTTGATCAGTACGTTGAGGCATTAAATACCTTATCACAACAATGAAGGGGTCGTTAAAAGTTCTGTCTGTAACCCCTACCTCAGTTCTTTCAAAGGTCGTTACTACCGTCTAGCAGTATTAAAACATATTCAAAGGGTTAGACGCAGGCTGCCCGCAGGCTTAGACTGAAAAACTTGAAGCCAGGGCTAAAGGCGGGTCCACCCGACGGTGTGTGAACACTTCGTTAACAGTACAACGGTACTGTTTTTACCATGGTTTGTTGACATGAATAATGACGCATGTTTCCTACATGCATATCCCCACCGGCTGGGGTACTAAGGAGCTTGTCACAAGGTCGGGTGCCTTTCATATACGTATTCGTTGGCATTACAGTGGTTGTATTATATTCCGTAGTTCACAAAGCCGCTCGGCCGAGCGGAACGGCTGATCTGCAGAAGGCTTGTGTGGGTATTGAACACCCAGCATTGGAGAGATACAATTGTATATTACAAAAACTTGGCAGTGACTGAGAAGTTTGGCGAGTGACGAATTTCTATTTATCGGTTGTTATAGTGGCTCCAAAGCATATTCATTTGTGTAACTCTGAAGTGGTGCGAATCGGTGAACTATGTGCGGGGTATTTCAACTTGTGATTGACATACCTCGATAACTTCCACATTGTAATGGCGGACGTTTAACAAGGTGTGTCCAGTTACATAACGGTACATTTCACTAATGACGTGATATGGACACAGTTTTAGGCATGTTTCAGTGATGACTCGTAGTTCAAACAAACTGTGATTTGTGACATGGAATCTTCTGGATATGATTGTGAATGACACAGAGACACGAAGACCTCAATGACCCACGATCGTATCGCTATGAACCTGAACGACCAGGTCTGTCTATGGATACTGACAACAATATCGGTTGTCAGCGTGGGAGCACAGGGTAAGTACCACAAAGTTTTGAAGTTGTCCATTCTACAGATTCTTTGAAATAACCTTCTCAGGCTGTAAATCATAAGCATAAACACATCTGTCAGGTAAAATAAATCATGACTATTCGATACGTGTATCATACAGTTGTGTTTTGGACATTAAGTGTGCACTGTTTAGGAGAGCGTGATATGAATATCACCATGTTACTACGAATGTATTATACAACAAGATGTCATTCAACGACATTTTGTCGTAGATAGATAGACTTGTTTATGTCTTGATGTTTAACCAGACTTATAAATGATAGAAACAAGACCAGGAAAATACGTTTGATAGCAAAAACAAGGATCATCTTCGTTGTGCAGTGATATATACTACTCACACTTTGCTAAGGATCACAAAACTTTATTTAAACGTAGATTCATAATTTGAAATTGTATCCATTTAAAAGTAGATAGATAAAAATATGGTAATCCCTCTTTAGGCAAACAGTCACTTTAATCTAACCTTATGAACTTGATACATGAGTAACCATAAAAAATGGTTTTCATGGCACCAGTCAACCATTTTGACAAGTACACAACACCTGTCAATAGCAGGTATGGGATCCACAAGGTAAAATGACGCAATGATCTTAGATATTTAAATCCAATTTGACCCCTCGTCATATTTTTCTGTTGAATCCATGATTTGATCCTTAGCAAAGTGTGAATAGTATATAATGAACAAAGCCTCATGTAGTAGAGACTGAGTACGGTTTTACGCCGCCGTTAGCAATAGTCCAGCAATACTACGGCGGGGCACACCAGAAGTGGGCTTCACACTGTGCCCGTGAGACTGACTGACTGAGTTTGGTTTTACGCCGCTTTTAGCAATATTCCAGCAATATCACGGCGGGGGACACCAGAAATGGGCTTCACTCATTGTACCTATGTGGGGATTCGAACCCGGGTCTTCGGCGTGACGAGCCAACGCTTTAACCACTAGACTACCCCACCGCCCTGTGCCCGTGAGAAGAGACGAAGCCGGGTCATGACGAGGGGGCGCTCTAACCATTATGCTACCCCCACCGCCCCATTCATTTTGTAATCACCCAATTCTCTTTTCATTCATCAGTCGCAAAGAAGACGTGAGCTGGAAGCCAACCCATGACGACCCGGTTAGAATTGGTCATGAGCAACCAACCAATGCAGGATCGGATGGTCAGACTCGCTGACTTAATTGACACATGTCATCGTATCCCAACTGTGGAGAACGATGCTCATAACGTCAATCATTGGATTGGTTGGTCCAGACTCGATTATTTACAGACCACAGTCATATATAGCTGTACTATCGCTGAGTGTGGCGTTTAAGAAAAACCCAACCCAAAACAACAACTTATGAACCAGCGCGGCTTAACGTGACAAGCTAGGCATAACGTAATAATTGCTTTAATGAGCGTCTCTCGCGCGTGTCTAGACACATGTTGGTCAATATGTATATTGTTGGTGATCTGACATCAATACCACTATTTGTTTATTTAGGAGTTATTGACTTCTTATTTTTCTCACAGAGTTAAAGTGATGAAATATTTAAACGCAAATCGATTTTATTGCTTAATGAGATAAAATAACTCCCCATGTGTCTGAACTATATAACGTATAAGTGAAAAAATAATGGTAATTGTTTACTTGTATTTTTTCATGTGTTTACTTGTATTGTTCGTCATCAATTACGGCGTAACGTTGGTGAATGTATTTAATATCTTTGTAACCAGTTACATATTTAAAGCTTCAATTACCCACATGGGTACAATGTGCCCTTTCCTGGTATCCCCCGCCATGATATTGCTGGAATATTGATAAAAGCGGCGTAAAACCATTCTCACAACTATCCTATAATATTCCTATGTAATATTTGTGAGAACCTTTTACCAGTTGATTAAAGGAGACCCATTTTGAAAGTAATTCTATTCGGATGATACTGTGATACATTAGCAACATGAACTTTATTAAATCGGTTTATCGATTTCCTTGAACGATCGGAAACCTTGCTGCTCAGAGTTAACATCATAAAATTATATGTCCGTGAACAACCTGGTCAGGACTAGATTGGGTGTTCATGCTGTTGATCACTGGATTGTCTGGTTATTTACAGACCGCCGCCATATAGCTGGAATATTGCTGAGTGCAGCGTCAACCAACCAACCTACCTACCTACCAACCCACCGCCCCATCATATTGTAATCATCAAATCCGCTTTTCATTCATTGCTCAATAACTAAGAACAGGATGATGGAAAGACGACCCGTGACGATCAACGTTAGAATTGGTTCCCCAACTGCGTTAATCAAGGCTAACGATGTGAATCATAGGATTGTCTGGTCCAGGCTCGATTATTTAGAGACCGCCGTCACATTGCTGGACATTTGCTGAACGCGGCGTAAACAAACAAACAAACAAAACAAACGGTCGCCTTTTACTGCATATATAGTTTGTAATGTCCAATTGTTGTCAAACTCCAAACATGTTTCAAATGTTGGAAAGGAGGGATGTGTTAACGGTCAGGAAACATACTTGTAACCGTCGGTGTGTGAAAAAATATCATACAGTTGGGGCTGAACGATTCTTACTCCCAAACCGACACATACATACGTGTTATTCTAAACATCCAGCATCTTCCAACAGAGTTACTCCATAATATTGAAGACCATTAACAAGTAATATAAATCTTAAAACTGAATAAAACAAGTTACACAATTATTTTAAAAAAAATGTTTTTGGGGTTTTTTAAAGTTTTTTTCTTTTAAGTTTTTATTTCCCAGAGATACATGTTACATAAATCAGGTACTTTGTACTGAATACGTACATGCATACATACAAACCGGCTTCCAAGTCGCCGTCATCATGAAAATGTTCAGTAGTCATTATCTTAATAATGATAATATGTGAATAATAGTAATACATCATCAGAAAATAATAATAAGTTACACAGTTATTAATACAACATTTTTTTATACTTCTTAAAAAATCTGTACATAGTTGTCGGCCCCACTCTTGCTGGTTGAGGTCGGGTAGTGGAAAGAAATGGTGATAACTGTTACCGATATGCAGCTGCGGGTAAAGACAGAGCCTAATCTGTGGGTTTACTTAAACAATCAAACCTAATGAACACATCATTTACCATCGTGACTCAATGAAAACATAAGGAGCTTACACTAGCCGCCCGCGGGCGATGATTAGGTTGCCAGGGACCTGTTGCATTTTCAGCATTAAGTCACCAGAATAAATGCAATTGGTTGCTCAGGCAAAAATATGTTTTTAATACTCAGTCATGTCAGTTTCTTTTGTTAAAGGCTGTGTTAAAGACAGCATGCAATGGGACTTTTACATAGGACAATAGGGATTCGGGAAATCGAAAAAGCAACTGCCCTTTCTATACATACTTGCCAATACTTTTATAAATCTTGTCATGATTCTTACACTTATAATTAATGGAAAGGTAACAGCTTAGATGTCAGTTCTATATTTTACAATTTGTCCACTCTTGGTGCTTAAAAGGGACAGATAATACCTGTTTTGTCCTTTCTGTTAAAACACAAGTCACGTATGGTCATCTTGTGAGAAATGCCGGAGTGAATTCATTGTGCAATTGTGCATACCTACTATTTGTTTTGTCTGTTTGTTGTTTAACGCCACGCTCATTTTCTTGCTACATGACGGCAGTCTGTAAATAATTGAATCTGGACCAGAAAATCCAATGATAAACGTTCTGAGCATCGATCTACGCAATTAGGATACAATGACACGAGTCAGCCAAGTCAGCGAGCCTCACCATCTGATCCAGTTAGACGCCTCTTACAACAAGCATGGGTTGCTGAAGAGCCATGCTCATGCTGTTGATCACTGGATTGTCTGGACTCGATTATTTACAGACCGCCGCAATATAGCTGGGATATTGCTGAGCGCGGCGTTAAACAACAAATCAACTAACCATCATCAATATAACTGAGTGACTGAGCATGGCTTTACGCAACTTTGGCAATATTCCAACAAAATCACAATGGGCAACAACAATGGGCTTCAAACACTGTACCCGTGTGGGTATCGAACCCGGGTCTTCAGCTTGACGAGCGGACGCTATAACCATTATGCTACCACATGTTCGATATTACTAGTCAAACGTGGACTGAAATACTGTTCAAAGCGACCTTGAACTTAACACAGTCATTGTCAGTTTGGTCTTACTCAGTTGTTTGGGGCGGTGGTGTAACCTGGCATTTAAAGCGTCAACCGAACCCCTGTTTCGATTTCCCACGTGGTTGCAACGTGTGGAACCCCTTTCTTGTATCAGGGTTGGTGTTGTAGCCCAGTGGTTAAACCCGTTCGTCACGCCAAAGACCCGGGTTCGATTCTCCTCATCAAGGTGCTCCATTTGTTCAATGTGGAAGCAGACGTTAGGTTCCCCGGCCGTGATATTGCTGGAATATGGTTAAAAGCTCCGTTACATAATAATTACTCTCACCGCTGATATGGTTGGAGTGAGTCAGTTTATTTTTACGCCGCTTTTAGCAATATTCCAGCAATATCACGACGGGTGACACCAGAAATGGGCTTCACAGATTGTAAACATGTGGGGAATCGAACCCGGATCTTCGGCGTGACGAGCAAACACTTTTAACCACTAAGCTACACCACCGCCTGATATGGTTGGAATTTTGCTAGAAGCGTCTCATATAATACTCGCATACTGACTTGTTGTCCCAATGTTGTCCTGGACTAATATCATCACATGTGTTTCTTTCAGATGGCTCCAGTGTCGCAATGGACGACATCAGTAAAGCCTTTGTATCAGCCGCCGTGTTGGTAGCCGTAGGTGTGATCGCGTACGTGGTGGCCAAGCTCGTGGATTACTGCTACGACCGAGCTACCCTCAACGACGACGCCAGCGACATCAGCGAGCACACACGGAAACTGATCAGGGCTAGGATAGCACTGAGTCACTTCAAGAAACCGAAAGCTAAAAAGAAGAAGAAGAAGAAACCAATGACCCTGAAGCAGCAGAAAAAGAACACAACGAAATTCTTAAAGTTATGGTCGACCAACGCAAAAAGGAGAGGGTCTCAAAGACTAACGGACAACGTAATAAACGTTGAAGAAGCTAATGCTAACGATAAACTCACGGTTAATGGGACTGTTAAGAAGTCATTAGCGCATGTGACGTTTGAAGACGAAGTTGGACCTCAGACTGAAGGAGGGATCAACGTACCTGTCATCGCCATCACTGAGCCGGAAGGTCATAACACTTCACAATCGACGAAAGAATCCGGAAGAACCACTCCCATTGCAGCAAAGGTCAATCCCGGATCTGGCAGGACAACTCCTATTAAAGACGTTTCCGGAAGGTCTTCTCCACAGAAGGAATCACCTGTGAAAGCATCTGGAAGGACAACACCTGTTAAAGACGTTTCCGGAAGGTCTTCTCCACAGAAGGAATCACCTGTGAAAGTATCTGGAAGGACAACACCTGTTAAAGACGTTTCTGGAAAGACCCCACAGTCTAGGATTCTTCCGTGAAAGGACACCCCGCGGTGATCAAAACACCTGACTCGGGAGGAAGAACTACACCGACAAATGACAAAACCTCCGGAGCTAATACCGGGAGATCAAGTCCTGTGAAACACATGGTTACGAGCAGTCCGTTAATAGCAGCGTCTGGCAAGTCGTCCTCCTCAAAGGATGTTTGGAAGAAGGACCTTACCCGCTCTTCCAGTACGAGTCCAACGAAACTTTCCAATGGGTCCAAACCTTCTGGTTCCTCCAGACCCAAAACAGCTCCGACTTCCAGACCAGCTAGCAATAAGATCGTAGCTGTCAAACCAGCAAACAACCAGAAGAACACGTCTACAAACAAACCAGCACCAAAGGCACCATCAAAAGGATCACCAGCAACACCCAGGAGTTCCTCCCCTGTAAAATCTGCCCCAGGTGCTGCAAGCAAACCGAAAACTGCTGCCTCCAACAGCGGCGGTGACTGGGTCGAGGTTGCAGCCTCCACGAGGACGACAGCATCTGTAGCTGTCAGTGTGGACGAGGACTTGCATAAAAAATTCGTTCATTTTCGCGGGGATTCTGATGATCTGATGATCCCTGTCTCGACAGACGCAAAAGCTACGGCAGGTACGAAATCATATCAAAAAGATGCACAATCTTCATCTAGTGGAGACTATGAATTTCTTCAGTCCGACCAAAATAAAAGTTTGACTAAAACAAAAAACGGTAAAGACACAGGTAAAAAGTAAACCTAGATTTAGAAAATAAGTTCATTTTGAAAATAGGTAATATTTAATCATTGACTGTTCCATACGAATCCATACTTTCGAAAACACTTTTGCATACACGTTTTACAATACGCACAGTGTATGGGACTAGTATTAGGAATATCCTCAGATCACTCTGTAATGATGGAGGCTGTGGGGTAGCCTAGTGGTTAAAGCGTTTGCTCGTCACGCCGAAGTCCCGGGTTCGATTCCCCACATGGGTACAATGTGTGAAGCCCATTTCTGGTGTCACCCGCCGTGATAATGCTGGAATATTGCTAAAAGCGGTGTAAAACCCAACTCACTCACTCACACACAGTAATGATGATTAATCAATGAGGATAATTCTTGTTCGACCCGAACTCATTATGAACGGTCCAGTCTGGATTTTCGAGGTTTCGCTGAAGATGCAAATGGATGATGCGGGTATGGAACTAAACTGCTGCATCACGTGATAAAAACATTGCCCACAACTGTCTATGCATGTACGAGAATATTTTCGTTCATTGGCTGTGTGACGCAGAATATGGTGATCATGTGTCTTCATCCAAAAGTTGATCGATGCTTGATATTAAGTTGAAAACCCCCCAACATTCTTGCCATAGAATTAGTGAAACAATATTTCTTGAGACGCAGTGGAATTTGATTAATTTTATGTTTGTTAGTATATAACATCCCGTGTTTTGTGCTTTGCAAGGGTAATCTTACATGTGTTCGTGTTCAGGGTGAGTTGTGTCTACCCTCAATCGTATATGTATATAGAAGCATGTATTTATAGAAAAATAATAAAGTGTTATTACGACGGCTGTGTTGATGTACGTTTAAGCCAAATGTTTAAGCGACGGCGGGGTAGTTGTTAAAGCGTTTGCTCGTCACGCCGAAAACCCGGGTTCGATTCCCCACATTGGTCCCTTGTGTGAAGCCCATTTCTTCTCCCCGCCGTGATATTGCTGGAATATTGCTAAAAGCGGCGTGTAAAACCCAACTCACTCACTCACTCACCACTCACACACAGTAATGATGATTAATCAATGAGGATAATTTTGTTCAACCCGAACTCATTATGAACGGTCCAGTCTGGATTTTCGAGGTTTCGCTGAAGATGCAAATGGATGATGCGGGTATGGAACTAAACTGCTGCATCACGTGATAAAAACATTGCCCACAACTGTCTATGCATGTACGAGAATATTTTCGTTCATTGGCTGTGTGACGCAGAATATGGTGATCATGTGTCTTCATCCAAAAGTTGATCGATGCTTGATATTAAGTTGAAAACCCCCCAACATTCTTGCCATAGAATTAGTGAAACAATATTTCTTGAGACGCAGTGGAATTTGATTAATTTTATGTTTGTTAGTATATAACATCCCGTGTTTTGTGCTTTGCAAGGGTAATCTTACATGTGTTCGTGTTCAGGGTGAGTTGTGTCTACCCTCAATCGTATATGTATATAGAAGTATGTATTTATAGAAAAATAATAAAGTGTTATTACGACGGCTGTGTTGATGTACGTTTAAGCCAAATGTTTAAGCGACGGCGGGGTAGTTGTTAAAGCGTTTGCTTTTTACGCCGAAAACCCGGGTTCGATTCCCCACATTGGTCCCTTGTGTGAAGCCCATTTCTTCTCCCGCCGTGAGATTGCTGGAATATTGCTAGAACGGCGTAAAACTATATTCACTCAAATAACTTAAGACCACATTGAAGAATTTTTGGGCGTTGGCGGAGCCAGTGGGGAGTTCAGGGGGTTAGTACCCCCTAACCCCCCCTCTCAAAATTCCTGGATCCGCCCATGCACCCAAATGTGCACAGAAGGCTTCATTTTGAGTGCTCCCTTCTAATGTGGTATCCAGTATTAGACGTTGTCCATATCACTAATCGTCAAAGACCACCCACATGATAAAACCAAAACGCTTCTTAGGAACCGATGTCTAGGAATTATACAGTAGTCATACTATGGACATAAAGCATCACCATAAGACTTGATAATCCAAGGAAACAGACTCCTTTGGACGGGAACAAGCGGGGTAAAAATGTGAATGGATCACTAAAAATCTGTGATGAGGCCAGCTGTTGGCGATATTCAAGCCATGTCATGTCGGAGGCATAACTGTCTATGTACCCATGTGGGAGCGGGGTTAGGGTGGAGCTGAGGTTGTCCAACGCATTTACTACATGTCTGAACAAACGCCATTGTCGTTACACATAGTAGCAACAGAATATTCTGCTATTCACTTGCAGGAATACGACCAAAGACCAGAACTGTAATAAACATTCCAAAATTTCGAAAAATAGGATTTCAAGCCCATCCTGCTCCCGGTAAACTCTAAAACTTGAGGCGATTTATGTACGGAATGATATTTAGTTTATATTTTTGTGGGGAAACACACTGAAAAATTATCCTTATTTTATTAATATAAATATAAAAAAACATAAATAACCCACATTTGATTCAATACTACCAGGAAATATCGTGTTCGTGTGTTATGCTATCAGATCCTTGCATCCTTCACCAAGACTAGCAGATCCTTATACAGCAAAGAAAGGTAACTCTGTAAAGTGAGGCCATATCCAACCATAATCTGCAACCCATTTCCTCTTTGATGTTTCCATTAAAGATAAAATAGTAAACAGGTTCATTAAAAGGTAATGTTTCCATTAAGAACAGTTGCACTGATCGTGAAATAAGGTCATCTACACCTGATGGTGACATTGCAAGTACCTTTAAACTGGAACTTCCAAACTTAAATAACTTACACAAGTACTCGGTCATGCGCTATTACAGGTGAGTGTGTGCTGTATCATGATGTCAAATGGTTATCTTATCGGCCACGTGACGTCAGGTGAGGTCAAGTTGAGCTCCCACCACTGTCGTCACCTCACACTGCAGGCCACTCTGCAAGGATGCTTCGTCTTGTTGCCCTCTCTGTCTGTCTCTCTGTGGGGCTCGGCGCTGCACCCACCGCCGACACCAAGTACGGCCCGATACAGGGAATTGAGACCGCCACCAATGTTATATACTACGGAGTGCCGTACGCACAACCCCCTGTCGGTGCTCTCAGGTTTGTGTTTGTTGTTATGGTAGTGGGTGAGTGAGTGAGTGAGTTCAGTTTTACGCCGCACTCAGCAATATTCCAGCTATATGGCGGTGATTGTTATGGTAGCGCTTCATCTGCGCATATTTATATCTATTAAACTACCATCATTAGTGATGCAGCTGCAAAACCGATAATGAAATTTGAAGCGTCTAGTTAACTTCTTTGATTGGCATTGTAGAAGTTGAGGAGACGAAGAATGAGGACAAATTTCCATTGACAACCACATTAGAATCTATGTCGAAACGTCGCCTATACAGCATAAAGAAGTTGTATATCCATAAAATTGTCCTCATTCTGCATCTAGTTAACTCAAACGCCCTGACATTATTTGGCAGTTTGTGAAAACGGATCACGATTCCGTTTGCTGTTGTGAGTAATGTATACAGAAATATACGGTTATAACGAACTCAAGACGAAAACAACAACTTTAGTTCGTTATAACCCTTGTTCGATACTCGCATTTCGACATAAATACAAAACATGTGTCCGGTACAAAAATACAACACTTCGTTATATCCGTCAGTTTGTTATAAACATAGTTTACTTCTTTTCTAAAGAGACGTTAACAAACATCACTATTTGGAAGGCTGTGTACAAGTGTTATGATACCCTCCAGCCATTACAGATTAACTAGTGTCATATTATTAGAGTCTGTTTTTCTTTAACCTCTTTAGAGCAGTATAATATTCCAGTGTAAAATAAACATTATTAATATAAATGTGCGTCCATCAATCTGGACACCATTAGGGTGGGGTTCATCTTCCCTGACTACTCATCCCCTGTCTGTGCACTATTTGTGAGTTTTCTATAAAAAGGTTTTAAAGTGTTGTATGCGCGACCATTTATTAATCTGACCACCTAATCTGATAAGACGCCAATTACGACAAACACGGGTTGCTTAACACTAATTCTACACGGCCTCCACTTTCAGAAAAACGCAACTGTACCTCTTCAATCACGAACCGAAAGATAACTTTTATCTCTTAATACCCCCTCTAAATCCCACACAGAAACACATGTTTCTGTATAGCTATATGTATTTGGGCTTGACACCCTTCATAAGCAATTTATATATATTTATAACCGTTAATGTACTATTGACATATTCTGATAAAACAACAGCTGGGACGTTCAGACTTTGTTCGAGCAGATAAGTAGTATCTTCACATTCTCACAGATTGTATCTATAGATGTCAACATATATATACCAGGGTCTACATCTGTCACTGTGACATGTTTAGTGAGGTTACACGTCAGTGTCTCAATACGTCACGATAAAATGAGGTTATCTGTTTCTTATAACGTCCGTCCGAGTTTCAGGACAGTCTATCAAGCAAGTCTTCACCCCCCTACCCATCACCAGACATATCGCAGCTGAATATCCAACTCCATCTAGCATCCAACACACCAGCCACCTCTTAACGATCCGGTTTGGTCTTCAGTAACCCATGCTAAAGTACTGTCGGAAAGAGGAAAAAAAACTGTTTTTAGGCTGTTACTCTGTATCCCTAAAATTTACACAACTGAAAATAGCAAATGTCGAAATAACCCACTTCGGCCTAACTTGGCATTCAGTGGGATGCGTAATAGAATATCCAGAAAAAACATGTTTACTCGTATAATCGGGCAAAACTTAGAAAACATACGAATAGCTGCTGAAAACAATAGATCAGACTATAGATGGCAATTTGGTCGCTAAGCCAGGTATGACGACGGACCGTCGACTCACCTGGCATGAAATGCACGTGCTTGCACAAGGGGTCATCTCAAAGTTATTTTGTGCTTTTTCATGTGTGTTGACTATGCCTCATCTATTGATTAACATCTTACGTGTCTTTCTTTCATGAAGTTTATGTTGAGATATGTAAAAGGGTATGATACCTGATAACCATATAAACGCATCCTATTGAATGTATTAGGTGGCATGACCACCCGATCGTGAAGATCGACAGGACTGGATATTATTTGTAAGTTGTTATGACATGCCGTGTACTTATGTTATCTTAGCTGATATCTCTATCCCCTAGCCCGACCCCAACGATCGTCTGCGACACCCGTCCAGGATTTGCTTTTGAGACGACCCTCCTACCTGTTTCTTTTTATATTGATAGTGAGACTCCATGGTAGCTACATCCTTAATAGTTTCAGCATGAAAGTTATTATTTTTTACGCCAGCTATCGTTTATAATGAAGCTACGTCTAATTTCATTTTGGGCATTTAAAAAGTGTCCTTTGTAATACAATATCGTCGCACACTAATTTGCATAAAGCCATGGTCTGTTCCAAATAAATCGCTTTGGACTTAGAAAAAAACCGCATTGCTCATTTCTGCACTAATCTCTCCTCAGTAAAGTCCTTTTTCTACGTTTCTTATGTCCCTACCACTGAGACTTGTAGTTAGGCCGAACTTAGTTTAACAGATATTTCACCCTTGCACATATCAACTACATAAATTGTAGAGATAAATGAGAAAATACAGTTTTTTTCTATTTCCGATAGTACTTTTGTAACGGGATTGGGTGGTCAGGTCTGTATCGTATCGCAATTCCGCACGTCCATATTCATTATGGGGGCGGTGGGGTAGCATAGTGGTGAAAACGTTCGCTCGTCACGCTGAAGACCCGGGTTCGATTCCCCACATGGGCACAATGTGTGAAGCGCATTTCCGGTGTCCCCCGTCGTGATGTTGCTGGAACATTGCTAAAAGCGGCGTAAACCCATACTCACTCACTCACTACTTATTATGTCAGTCTATACTGTCTAGGCAAGGCTGAATTATTTACAGACCATCGTCATATGGCTGGACTATTGCTCAGCGTGGCTTTGAACAACGAAAAAGCGAAAGTATTCATCTACTCTAACACACACACACACACACACACACACACACACACACACACACACACACACACACACACACACACACACACACACACACACACACACACACACACACACACACACACACACACACACACATCTTTTCTTCCTCCATCGATCACATCCTTCTCCCTCATGTATCAAAATTCCTCGTCCCTATCATCCACCACAGAACACATTATCTATCGCAACCGATCGCGCATTCTTCACCCAGTTTGTTGTCATCTGGTTAATATCGTGGCTCAATATGTTGAGTTCCGTCCCTTTAGCGCGCAATGATCCTGCGATCCGAATTGCGGTTTCACCTTGAGATTTAACGAACGCTTCAACAACATTTACCGCGCATGGAAATTATATATTTCCAGACCAGATTTCTACGCTATTCAGCACCAAACACATGGTCTTGAATTTCACCTTAAACGTATGCATAACATCAGGCTGCCTTCCCGACGCACGCACGCACGCACTCACTCACTCACTCACTCACTATATATTTCAGACCAGATTTTTACGTTATTCCAACGCTTCTGTTTGTCATGGTATTCGAATGGCCATTGTATGGTCCTACCTGTGAAACAGCTTGGATTATACACTCATGCCAATAATGGTTGTCACCCCCCCTACCCCCCCACCCCACACACACCCCAACCCCTCTCCAATAAAAAATTGAAGGGGGCGACAACCATTATTGGCATGAGTATATGTGAGACGCGTACATGCAAACTATAGACAAAAATCTATTCCTGATTCGCAAAAAAGGCTAAAAGACTATCACATTTAAATGCAGTAATCACTGACATACTTTCCAAGGTATTTAAGTGGAATGAGTTTAGAATTATGTTTAGATAGATATTTGTTTAGATATGTTTTCTACCCTCCAGAAGAGGGATATTCTGATTGAAGGAGCTTCTTCCACCCCGATCCAACAATAGCACATATTCTGACACGACATTGTGTGGAATATCTTTTTTAATTGAACATTCTGTTATATTTGCGGAATGACGTAGTGTCGACGGCACACCATTGCTTGTAACCGTGTCTTTTGTGTTGAAAGAGAGTACAAATCCCAGATTCTCTGTGACTGTTTCTTGGTCTGTCGGCACTATGCCCATGCTCGCGAGTCTTGGAATTTCTGGCCTCCCCCAGAGAAAGTATTAGAGGCGTTAAACCAACCTCATTACCTTTCCAACCCCCAGGTGGGCACCCCCAAAAGATCTTGCATCATGGGCCCCCTCCGTGTACAGCGCTGCCAACATGAAACCAGGCTGCCCACAGTTTAAGTGTGATGCTTTGGACCCTCCTATGGTTTGCCCTAAAACTGTGAGTAGAGGACCCCATCTCCCTTCCAATATCCACCAATCCTGCACTCAAGATTCCATTGAATTTGTATCTCGATTTCGTTGTAATATAAACCTGGACCCCTTTCATACCTTTGTGTTATAGTTCAAAGATGCTGATGTATCATGAGGTAAGAAGTCTTTTAGGTATTGGGGGCGGTGGGGTAGCCTAGTGGTTAAAGCGTTGGCTCGTCACGCCAAAGACCCGGGTTCGAATCCCCACATGGGTACAACATTTCTGGTGTCCCCCGCCGTGATGTTGCTGGAATATTGCTAAAAGCGGAGTAAAACCAAACTCACTCACTTTTGAGGTATTGGGCCATTCGTTCATTATGTGAGGCGGTGGGGTAGCCTGGTGGATAAAGCGTTCGCCCGTCACGCCTAAGACCTTGGTTCGATTCCCCACATGGATAACCATTTCTTGTGTTCCATGCCGTGATATTGCAGGAATGTTGCCAAATACGGCGTAAAGCTAAACTCACTCACTCACGTTCATTATGTTTTGTGGACTGTCGTAAAACGTTTAATGTTTCGTCTTCTCTCATTTAATTGGGCTCTCTATATCCTGAAATAATACGGATGCGACCTTACATGTTAACTCACTCTTTTAATTGTAGCCAGTCTGGTTCGAAATATATACCTTCTCTTGTGGCAAATATGTAACAACGTTAGCGGCATCACGTCTATTTTCATTAAAAAAGGCCGAAAACGCGACATTGTGTAGAACAAAATATGTGGTGTTGTCGCACTGTAGAAAAACATGACACTTTTGCTTATTGTCAGGGCTACGTACCAATGCCTATTCTAGGATTCCATATTGTGAATCCTATCTCACGCATTCGTTCATTGTAACTACTCACATGGTGACAAGAGAGTGAATGTTTGGAACGAGAAACAATAACCAACAGTACAAACGAAGGATGAAGGCAAGAAGACAAGTGCATCTTTTAGTTTTATTCATAGACTTCCGAGGACTGCCTGTATCTCAACATCTGGGCTCCTCTTGGCACCAACTCCACCTCCTCCCTCGCCGTCATGGTCTACATTCACGGCGGCAACTTCGTCCACATGAGTGGGGCCAGCTTGTTGTACGACGGCAGCATTCTAAGCCAGAAAGGCGACGTCATCCTCGTCAACGTGGACTACCGGCTCGGTGAGATGACGTTGCTTATCTCAAATATAACGTGGTCACAGGTGTCTACAGTGCAGCAGTCGGTTGTGCAGAGTCGCATCCCTTGGGTTTATAAGGATCCTAGTATATCCTAGCATGTTAAGGATATTTCTTCACGTCGAGTCTTATATTATACTCCCAGAAAAGTCGGACAACAAAGTAAAAAGAAGAACCACGTGCACTTTACGTTTTGAATGCAACAAACTAAGGGTCTATTCGATTACGCTAAACCGGTTTTGGTTTCGGGAAAACCATGCACTCAATCATGTCGAAACCTAAAACTGGGTTCTGAAACTTCGAAACCATCTCCGAGGCAGGTTTCGCAGTTTCAGTTTCGCGTTCTCTCAAAACAAACATGGCGGAAATGAAAGCGCCAAGTTCAGCTGATCTTGGTGGCAAAATAGAGCAGCAGTTTTTGGAACCAAAATAATGATAAAAATCAAATGAGAACTAGGAAAAGATTATTCAAAACCCCAGTCTATTGAACATGACTATGCAAATATTTACCTCCAAAAGCATCTCATCTCTTTATTATTTGTTAATTCACTGATAAAATGAAAAACATATGCTGTCATCCAATTCGTTCTACATATACAGTAGCTGAGACATATTTTTGGTATCCATTTTGAAACCGGATGGTGAAACCATCCACTCATTTATTAAACTAGAAACTAGTTTCACTTTGAAACCATGCATCCGAAACTAGACACTCGTTTATAACAGGAGAAACCAGTTTCAAAAACCAAAACCAGTTTCGCAATAATCGAACAGGCCCTAAGTGCCACAATCCACAGGTGCTTGTATTGCTGAAAGTAATACGTCCTGGGTCCTACATTAGTTCACTGACATCCATATATATACATATAAATATCCTTCTTTATGGATATCAGTGAACGAATGTATGACCCAGGACGTATTATTTTCAGCAATACAAGCATCTGTGCAACAATCAACACTTTGTTTTACATATGGGTCTTTCTGATAACTTTAACATCATGTTTTGTAGGCGGTGGGGTAGCCCTGTGGTTAAAGCGTCCGCTCGTCACGCCGAAGACCCGGGTTCGATTCCACACATGGGTACAATTTGTGAAGCCCATTTCTGGTGGCCCCCACCGTGATATTGCTGGAATATTGCGGCGTAAAACCAAACTCATTCATTTATGTTTTGTAAAGATTTCCAATTTTATACCTATCATCGATCAATATCGTAATCTAAATTATTTAAAAAGAATAGTTAAAGATTCTTTGAATTTATCTGTCAATGAAGATGGATATGCCCTGTACTGAAAAAAATTGTAAATTTAATTACACATCACAATCAATGTATACTTTCTTTTATGCTTTCACATGGAAACTGTGTTGATGATGCAGGTGCTCTTGGCTTCCTGGTAACTGGGAAAGATGCGGGAGACGCTACGGGGAACTACGGGATCCTGGACCAGAGGCAGGCTCTGAAGTGGGTCAAGGAGAACATCAAGGCGTTTGGAGGGGACCCAAACAGAGTGAGTATTGGCATGATTCCTACATAGTCCGTGCCACAGAGACGGGTCATCAATGTTGGGGATTTGGCAGTTACTGTCTTAGCTCCATGTTCCCTCTGTTACGATCACTTCCATGGTGGATAAAGCATCTGCTTGGAAAGAAAAAGGTCGGGGTTCGATCCCCGATCTCGACAGTCCGAACTAGTACAGATATGCGTAGGCACACACGCGCTTCCAGACACTCAGCATTCCACCTGACCTCTATAATGATAAACACACTGATGACAATTGCAACCACAGGTCCGGTTGAAGAAACCAAATAACTGTCATGAGCGAGAAAAGTAAGGTTCTAGTCATATGATAGGAGAGATGAAAATGGTGACATCACTTCCGAGGCATCGCTATCTTGGCCAATGGGTCCAGGCTATATTTATCGTAATATCATAGTGTAAAAATACCTTTGTATAACAGAAGGCCTTAGATGCTTGATCTTTACCAACCCATGCTTGTCGTAAGAGGCGACTGATGGGATCGGGTGGTCAGGCTCGCTGACTTGGTTGACACATGCCATCGTCTCTCAATGAGTTCGATACTCGTGACGTCAGCTGTATTGTCTGGTCCAGAGTCGATTATTTATAGTCCGCCGCCATATAGCTGGAATGTTGCTGAGTGCGGCGTAAAACTACCAACAAACTGACCAGCAAACATATAGCATTGCAAAATTCGACACACTGTAAAATCTTGTTTACTCAAATTTATCTGAAAACGGCACATTCAGCAAATATTTCGGGACAAAATAGGTACCTAAAATATATCAGCGTTCAAATAGTGACCATTAAAATACATTAACTTAGGGACTGTTCATAATTAACGGCTGGGGGGAGGGGGGGTTGATGATTTTTATGGAGAAGCATGTACAATTTGAATGACCCCCCCCCTAAATTTATGTACAAAATAAGTGAACCCCCTGCATGTCGTACAAAATCAATGACCCCTTCCCCTTCACATCATTTATAAGCATAATTGTAAAATATTTTTATGTACAAAATTGCTGACCCCCCTTGTACATGTGTACAAAATTGATGACCCCCCTATCTCCCCAGAACAAAATGGGTGACCGCCTTAAAATATATGCCAGTGGTGATATTTGGAAACCATATTCTGACCTATTACCATGACTATAATGCACCTACGTCCATGTTTGCAGGTAACCTTGTTCGGTCAGAGTGCAGGAGCACAGTCCGCCATGATTCACCTGGCCTCAGCAGAAAGCGGGGCATATTTCAGTAACGCCATCATCGAGAGCGCCCCCTTTTCCATCCCGTACAAATCATACGCTGAGGCTCTTCTCCTAGGGGCACACATGGCCAAACTCCTGAACTGCACCGCCAGGGACATGAACTGCCTCCGTCAGCGGAACAGCGTGGACATCGCCTACGCTCAGTACCTCAGCAGGAACAAACTGTCTTCACTCAAGTTGCTGGAAGACTTCGAGCCATGGGGGCCTTGGGTCGACGGCGTCATCGTTACTGGGGAGCCGGTAACCACCATGGAGAAGGGTCACTTCCAGAGAAAACCTATAATGTTGGGGACAACGTCTGAGGAGACCCGGCTGTACATCTACGGCGCCTGGAATAAACCTGTAGACAACGTTCTTTACGAAGCCGCAGTGACGGCAACGCACCCCAACCACGCCATTGCGATCTTTCGTGAATACCCTGCGAACTCCCCTCAAGACGAGAGGGACAACATGGCGGCTCTTGCAACGGATTACGTCTTTGGATGTTCCACACGTCATGTCTCGCGGGAAATTGTGAAATACGGCATTGCTGACGTATGGATGTATATTTACGACCATGCGTTTTCCTTTCCCGGCTGGGGTAATCTGACCTTCTGTCAAGGTCATGTGTGTCATGGCTCGGAAGTTCCGTTTGTGTTCCAGTCGGCAGGCCAGGGAGGGTTTAAGTACGCTCCTGATGAAATTGTTCTCAGTGATTTGGTTATCAGTTACTGGTCAAACTTCGCAAAGACTGGCAATCCCCAAGGAGTGTCTGACTCCGGGGTCGAGGTCAAGGCCGTCCCAGACTGGCCTCAGTTTCACACAGAGAATCAGTGGCCCTATCAGCACTTCAAAACACCATCCTCCTTCATTGATACATATTACAACGCACCTTTCTGTGACTTTTGGGATAAAGTTGGATACAATAACTAACATGTACATATGTTGACCGAACATAATACAAACAAGTTGTAAATAATCATTGGTTTCATTATTTTTATATATTTATGTGCATGTCATACATTCGTAACTTGGTTACTGAGGCTGAGGTCTGCTGCAGTGTACCTGCAATTCACGATTCTTCCTCATACAAAATAGCGGAAAAAGAAAACATACACTGGGTGGCCTTATTTGCATTCAATAGATTCATATTATCAGAGGGGTCAGAGAATGAATTGATTTTTAGCTCACAGAAAGTTACATTTTTGTCATTGTCACACATAAAGAAAATAACTGTGGACATTGAATAAATTTACAACCATAACTGTACCTTTACAGTATTTCTGTAATGAGATACAATGAGTCACAATTTATGTGACCCAGTGACGACCCATCGTTTTGATTACCATATGCATAACATATTTTGGACTTAATGTGATCCTCTTGAAGCAATGACCGTTCTGCACTTTCATATCGCACGAAGTCTACTCGTGTTATGAAACAGAATTTCCACGGAATCAACTCCAGAACATTTATTGTCGACTGAACTACTATTTCATTCCACTGACTTGCAATTGGTTGTCCCGATAAAACACAAATATTCCTTTTCATATACGGATTGACTATTACGTCCCATATAAGTTAAAGCTATATTCTGCGAGTGAGTGAGTATGGTTCTACGCCGCTTTATCAATATTCCAGCAGTATCACGGCGGGGGATCCAGACATGGCCTTCACACATTGTGCCCGTGTGGGGATTCGAACTCGGGCTTGGGCTTGACGAGCCATGAGGAATGAATGAATTTGAGGTTTAACGTCGGCTTTTAGCAGTGCCAATGTCGCCGACGGGGTATGTAGGGTTTTGATTAAACGATATAATAATGGAGTAATAGGGAGTAAACCACCGTACCTGGATTTTTAATGAAAAGGTTTACAACATACTGGAAAATAAAGTAAACGCCGAAATTATAAAGGGAAAGAGAAAAATAAAGCAGTTTGTTAATAATAATAATAAGAGTTAGAACTGAATCGATAGTAGATAAGGTTGAGAGGGCATTAGGTTACCCTACCGCTCTATATATTCTGCGAGTACGTACTATATTCTGTAGTGTATGAATACATCAGTAACTTCCATTTACATCGGTTAAAGCGATCGGTTACGAACTAAAATAAAAAAGGTATCTTCTTTAAAGTAGGACTTCGTCAAATTTCAAAACTTAGGTTCGTCTCAGCTTTCGGGAAACTGTGGAAGGCAAGCAATTAAACAATTGTCACCAATTAATTCAATCTTGACAAAGCGAATGCGGTTATTCCGCCGGAAACGACAACGCCCGCTGAAACGGGGTTTGTTGAACATAACAAAAGGCCCTGGTTGTAAACGGGCTCACTGAAGAAGAATATGGTTCAAGGGAGGTAACTCTTGAGAAAACTACATCGAGAACACACTTATCACCAAAACATGGATTGTAAGACTCAAAACGTGACCGGAATTCCTCAGTGCATTTCCCCAAGTAAAACACGGGACGTTTTTGCACTGAGTTGAGTGAATTATAATGAAAAATATGTAGATGTCATAAAATTTCTCAGTTGGCAGCACTGGACTGTATCCTTTTTAATTATGTTTCTACAATATCTGCGACTATAGTACTGTCGGAAATAGAAAAAAACTGTTTTTAGGCTGTTACTCTGTATCCCTAAAATTGACACAATTGCAAATAGCATATGTCGAAATAACCCACTTCGGCCTAACTGGACGTTCAGTGGGATGCGTAATAGGATATCCAGAAAAGCATGTTTACTCGTAAAATCAGGCAAAACTTAGAAAAAATACGAATAGCTGCTGAAAACAATAGATCAGACTATAGATGGCAATTAGGTCGCTCAGCCAGGTATGACGACGGACCGTCGACTCACATGGCATGAAATGCACGTGCTGCCTACAGGCACAAGGGGTCATCTCAAAGATATTTTGTGCTTTTTCATGTGTGTTGACTATGTCTCATCTACTGATTAACATCTTACGTGTCTTTCTTTCATAAAGTTTATGTTGAGATATGTAAGAGAGTATGATACCCGAAAACCATAGAAACGCATCGTAGTATATAGGTGGCTTGACCACCCGAAGATCGACAGGACTGGATATTAATTGTAAATTGTTGTGACGTGCCGTGTACCTCCCCAGTATAATTGCCCTAAAGGATTATCTTATCTTAGCTGATATCTCTATCCCCAAGCCCGACCCCAGGTTTTGCTTTTGAGACGGCCCCTCCTACCTGTTTCTTTTTATAGTGACAGTGAGACTGCATGATAGCTACATCCTTAATAGTTTCAGCATAAAAGTTATTATTTGTTACGTCAGCTATCATAATGAATCTACGTCTAATTTCAAATTGGGCATTTAAAAAAGTGTCCTTTGTAATACAATATCGTCGCACACTAATTTGCATAAAGCCATGGTCTGTTCCACTGAGACTGTAGTTAGGCCGAACTTAGTTTAACAGATATTTCACACTTTCACATATAAATTGTAGAGATAAATGAGAAAATACCGTTTTTTTTCTATTTCCAACAGTACTATAGTTCAGTGCATTGCATATATATTGCTTCACTTTGTAAATGTATGTCACAATATACTGAACACGTGGGAACGTGATATATAATTCCGAGATTACCTGTACAATATGTGATCTGTTTACTGATCTCGTTATGATCTATCTATTCTGGTTACCTGTTCAGGTTGTGTAAATAGAATATATTGAATATACCTGAATATTGCAGGTCCGTATTAATGTCGGACCCATGAAGATCCGGGTTAGAATTGATCTTCAGCAATCCATGTTGTTACAAGAGGCGACTAACGGTGTCAAGGGGTCAGACTCGCTTGGTTGACATGTCATCGTATCCCATTTGCGTAGATCGATGCTCATGCTGTTGATCACTGGATAATATGATCCAGACTCGATTTATTGACCGCCGTGGGATTACACTTTCTCAGTAAAGTATCGATTCTAGTACTTTTGTTGAACTCCATCAGGGATTCGAACTCACACTCTCAAAGTCAGGCACCTAATCGCCGGTACACAGAGTAAGCCGTCTAACGTATTAGAATCGGTACATTACCGAGATAGGTAAATTCCAAATCTAACATATACTACCCACCAAAAGTATAGACTCTCTTAAAGCATTCACTACATGTTATGTGAGGTGAGGTGAAATTTGGGTTTAACGTCGTGCTTGAGAATATTTCGCTCATATGACGACGTGTATGCGTGTGTATGTGTATGTGCGGCTGCTTGTACTAGCCCAGACTGAAGCTGGTTTTATAGTGCTAGCCCACTGAGATACCAAGACGCAGTGAAGCATGAATACCCCACTCAGACACATTATACTGACTCCGAGCCGACCAGTCCTTGTTGTATCCATTAATGCCGAGCGCCAGGCAGGGACCAACAAGTACATGTACCATATTTTAACGTCTTTTGGTATGACGCGGTCGGGGATCGAACCCACGACCTTCCGCTCTCCGGGCGGACGCTCTAACCACTACACCACGGAGGCGGTCACATGTTATGTACATGTACGTGGCTACATCAAAGGTGAATTTCTCCTCTATCTTGGAGGAACCAACTGCAAACCTTATGCTGATGAATTGCACGAGCAGCATCAAATTGCTGAAAAGCATGTGCAAATATCGTGTATGTGAACAGCTGCGTTTTGGTGTTTTGTTACGAATCGCCAAGTTTCATCATTCATTGAACTCATGGCAATAATCTTTACAACGCCACGAATTTGTTTTACAATACATCAGTTCATGTGTAAACAGTACCTTTAAACAGTATGGAATATGCAGCAAAATCTATTTTACAACAGTTGGCTGAAGTAAGTGGCTACATTTACACAAGTGCGTCTAGACTTTTGATGGGTAGTATAATAACGTTATATTCACGGGTGAAAACTGTGTTTGCTGATTACCTGTTCAATTTGTGTAGTTAACGTGTTCACAGATATTCGGACATCACATTACCCACCTTATCGACAGTGTATAGAATGAGTGAGTGAGTGAGTTTAGTTTTACGCCGCATTCTGCAATATTCCAGCTATATGGCGGCGGTCTGTAAATAATCGAATCTGGACCAGATAATCAAGTGATCACCAGCATTGGCATCGATCTACGCAACTGGGAACCGATGACATGTGTCAACCAAGCCTCTTACGACAAGCATGGGTTACTGAAGATCAATTCTAACCCGGATCTTCACGTGTAGTGTACAGACTGATAATAACCCTGGTGGACTGTTGATTCTGTGATAAGCCAACAAACAGTTATAATTCCCTCGCGTCCACAGACTGGTGAATATGTATAGAAGAAACCACTCCTACTCTGGTTTACTAGAGGTCCGAGGGATGTTCCCGACTCTCAGGGTTCACAATCTCTAGTAAACCAGAGTAGGAGTGGTTTCTCCGACTTATCAACAGTTTTTGCGTTTTTTAAAATAATATATAACGATCGACATCAATACGCCCCGAGCAGAACAACATTGATTGGAAAGCCTGCAAATGATGGAACAGCCGGTGTCAACTGGGATGCGACTGGCAGCCAACACACGTAATGCACGTGCTAGCCGTGTCCTGCACGTGCGCTGCCCGCAGTACCCGTCTTGTGAGGAACACACGTACGTTTCATGCTGACAAACAATCTCATTCTTCTCAGCGATCCTTCGTAGCCTAGTTCGAAACCAGTTATCGCCACTATATATTGGAAGTTTTCAATAATGTGGTATTTTACGATCAGTGATAGCAAGACAAAGTTGTATCAATCATGAATAGTATCCTAGGTTTAGAAATGATCAGTGCAAAGTCACAGCAGAGGTCTGGGAACCCACTTTACAATTCACATCCTGGGGATTTACAATACACATCCCAGGGATTTACAATACACATTTCTGATTATATAGTCTAACCAATGGTACGATTTCGAAAAGACTGTCTGAGATGACCCGTTATACGTGAAGTTGGTTAATAATGCATAATGAATGCATACATGAGTCTTCGTATTACAGATATACGAGATCGCCTCCGTGGTGTAGTGGTTACAGCGTCCGCCCGGAGTGCGGAAGGTCGCGGGTTCGATCCCCGACCGCGTCATACCAAAAGACGTTAAAATATGGTACTTGTTGGTCCCTGCCTGGCGCTCGGCATTAATGAGTACAACAAGGACTGGTCAGCTCGGAGTCAGTATAATGTGTCTGAGTGGGGTATTCATGCTTCACTGCGGCATGGTATCTCAATGGGCTAGTACAAGCAGCCGCACCTACACATACACACGCATACACGTCGTCATATGAGCGAAATATTCTCAAGCACGACGTAAAACCCAATTTCACCTCACCTCACCTTTGATACAGATACTGTCCAGTCTAACGAAAATCGTATTATCCCTGATTTTATTATAAATATGAAGCAACATACAAACATTTTTATACAAAACAACGTGTCATTATTGCTTATATATATATTGAGTGTTTGTATTTTATCAAAATATATGGAAGTTGTTCCCCATGTATGCATTTAGCCTTCGACAATAAACAACTTTAAATAACGGGTACCCGATACGTTTGTCACTTCATATAGAAATAACAAAGAAACGGAAACGTAACCCTTATAGGGCGATAAAAGTGGTAGTCGGGCAGATCTACATCCTCGATAATCTCCAGGGTATACGTTACGATCACTCTATAGTGGAGAGTTATCGTAACGTATACCCTGGAGATTATCGAGGATGGCAGATCTATTGATGCTTTTACTGTGATGGCTAATGAAGATGTTCATCATGTTTAGTTGTACCTTACACTTACTATATACAATCAACTTTCTAATCTAAATCACTGTTGTGTAGAGCTATTGAACGTTGTAAACGATCAAATGATATTTCCTTTATGTGTGGTTAAATTTGTCAATAATGGTTATCATTCTATACATATTTAAAACGATCTGTTTTATTGTAAGTGGTCATGACTCAGTTGTTAACTAACAATAGCGACTAATATACATTTTAATTTTTAAAAGTGACACATACGCCCTTAAGGCAGAAATGTGTATTCGAATGGCGTAAATTTGTACGGGTCACGTATTTGAAAATATGAACCTAACTGTTTACTGGCACAGGATTTTTCTGCCGTGTAATTAATAGGTTCTGTCTACATTTGAAATAAAGAAGTCTCGATAATGCATATTGTGTTTATTTAATTCAAGTTGTAATTAATTAATTATCATATCCAACTTTATCCCAGAAGTCACAGTAAGGAGCGTTATACTTAGGGTCCACAAAGGACTTGGGTGTCCTAAAGTGTTGATAAGGCCACTGTTTCTGCTGGATCTCTACATGATAACGAGGCCAATCTGGGACGGCCTTGACCCCGGAGCCGGGCATTCCCACAGGGTCACCTGTTTTGGCGAAATTTGACCAGTAACTGATGATGAGATCACTGAGAGACAACTCATCGGGAGTGTATTTGAAACCTCCACGACCGGCTGACTGGAACACGAACGGAACTTCCGACCCATGGCAGACGTGACCCTGACAGAAGGTCATATTCCCCCAACCAGGGAAGGAGAATGCGTGGTCGTATATGTAGAGCCAAACGTCACTGACGCCGTAGTCCAACATCTTCCTTGTCACGTGACGGGTGGCACAGCCGAAGATGAAATCAGTAGCAAGAACAGCCAGGTTGTTCCTCTGATCCTGAGGTTCGTCTGGCGGGTATTCGTACATTATTTCCACAGCATGGTTCGGATGCGTAGCGAGGATAGCAGCAGTGTAGACAACAGTGTCTATGGGTTTGTCCCAGGCGTTGTAGATGTAAATCCGGGTCTCTTCGGAAGTCGTACCAATCATGACAGGTTTTTTCTGAAAGAATCCCTTGTCCATAGCTGTGATTGGTTCTGCCTTGACGGTGACCCCATCCACCCAGGGTCCCCAGGGTTCAAACTCCTCCAGATATCTCAGTGAAGAGAGCTTACCTCTGCTGATGAACTGAGCCTGAGCTATGTCAACTGAGTTCTTCTGTCTGAGGCAGTTAATGTCCCTGGCTGTACAGTTCAGCAGACTGGCAAAATGGGCTCCAAGGATTATTGCCTCGGCGTGGGTTTTGTACGGGATGGAGAAGGGGGAACTCTGAATGATAGCGTTGTGGAATAAAGCGCTGCTTTCTTCCGAGGCCAGATGTATCATAGCTGACTGAGCCCCAGCACTCTGGCCGAACAAGGTCACCTGTGAAGCAGATTGTTTTATAAGAGTCGTATTCTTATCATTACTTATTATCTAACACCATGGTCAAAAATAGTCCAATCTCAATTCAAATCAGATCTTGCTCGTCGCCATCGCTTAAGATCTCGTAAATCGCCAAGGCCCGTCAGAATGAACTATCGCGATTTTTGGTCAAGAGGAAGTCAGTCAGAAAGCAGTGTCCTGACCTTTATGACGCTAGTTACAACTTAGACATTCCAATGTATGCTTTGAAAAATATTGACGAAAAATATCTCGAATGTCTATAGATGGCCTAGAATGTATAGCAGAATTTCCTATCGATTCGTTCAAATGTTTATCTTAGTTGTAGGGGTGACAGACGATTATTCATGATATTCATTTGTACAGCTCGCAAGTGTCATTTGGATTACTCCGTATTAAAATTTCGATCTTGCATGATTAGAAAATACATTCACACTGTCTATCTTTCCCTATGTGGTAGGCGATATCATGGTCGGATGGTTGGATGAAAGATCCGTAATTGGATTTTCTCAGATCAATGTAAAGCAGTGGAGACAAACCTCTGATGTGAGTTGCTGTATTTACAGCGGGTTGTATACTATCAAATCTCGAACAGGCAAACTAGAGATTAATATCTGGAACAACGTCCCGTGAGATCGGGGAACGATGACACGAGATCAACCGTTACCGACCCAGCCCACCTATCTGTTTAGGACGAGCATCATTTGAAGGGAGAGTACCGATTCTGATGATACCTTTGCCCTGGGCCTAGATTTTCGAAGCTCTCTTAGCGCTAAGATAGTCGTAAATGCCATACATTAACATTAACTTACGACTATCTTAGCGCTAAGAGAGCTTCGAAAATCTAGGCCCTGCTTTGTAATACTGGACCATGTTCTTAACGTTAGACTGTAAGAGCTGCTTCTTGTTTGAAGATGTTCGTGGAGCTGCTCAAATTTGAATACCTATCACTGAAGTTCGAACTTCAGCAGAGCGGCAGCCATACAAGATGACATATATAAGTGTATGTGGCGTTTGTACTCACTCTTCCGGGTTCCCCTCCAAACGCCTTGATGTTCTCCTTGACCCACTTCAGAGCCTGTCTCTGGTCCAGGATGCCGTAGTTCCCAACAGCGTCCCCATCCCCACTTCCAGTTACCAGGAACCCCAGAGCACCTGCAATTATACAGTTTCAGAATACCTATTGTATTATTCCGGCAGAAAAGTGTATCGGACAAAGCCAACGTTACGACCTGTGAAGATCCGGGTTAGAATTGGTCTTAAGCACCCAAAAAAGGTGACTGACGGGATCGGGTGGTCAAGCTTGCTGACTTGGTTGACACATGTCATCGTATCCCAATTGCGAAGATCGATGATCACGCTGTTGATCACTGGATTGTGTGGTCCAAACTCGATTATTTACAGACCACACCCATATAGCTGGAATATTGCTGAGTGCGGCGTTAAACAACAACAAACAAACAAACAAACTTTACATGTGGTTAAATCGTTCGCTCTCCAGACATAATTCATACACACTCGAATACCATCATCCTACTCCCGCAACACGATACAATTGGAATACAACTTGATGGTGTCGTATAGCCAGCCATTCTCACTCCTTACAAATCAATACATCACCTAGTCTGTAGTCAACGTTGACGACAATGACTTCTCCCTTCTGACTGAGAACACTGCCGTCGTACAACAAACTGCCCCCGCTCATGTGGACGAAGTTGCCACCGTGTATGTAGACCATGACGGCGAGGGAGGAGGTGGAGTTGGTGCCGAGGGGTGCCCAGATGTTGAGGTACAGGCAGTCTTCAGACACCTAGAACATTGAAAAATAATCGACAGGACACAAGCTACTTATCGATAAAGGTGAGCTACAACTCCGGTTTTGAACTAGATCTGGATGTTAAGCAGGCCTGTTGGTCGTTATGAAATATGTGAATTAAAATTTACATACAGATTATGTCACCGTTTTCCAATAAGTTTATTTGTGTGATGTTCTCGTAAAATGTTTTAATATATTTCAGATTCCATGTGTAGATTACTTTTTGACGGTTAATTTTATTAAATGACGGCGGCAGATGGTACAGATATTATGGAACATAGCCCGAAATATTAAAATCCTATTAAAAATACATTCAGTCACTCGCTCAATCAGGGTATACCACTTAGGTTTATACAAAACGTCGAATCACAAAACATGAGTGAACTCATTGAAAATATAAACAGGTGTTGGAAGGCCGACATAAAATGTATTCAAAGAAAAATATATAGTTTCATTTCGACTACCGGTATTCAGGTTAACGCACCATGGAAATGCTGCCAGTATCACCGGAACAGACAAAGCTGGTGTTATGACACAGATAGGAACAATGACGGGTCATGTTGCAAGGCTCTGTTGCCATTTGTCAAGCATGTCTGCTTTTCGTCAGAGACAGACAGACAGCATCCATTGAGATCACGTGTCACAACACGACGGGAAGACCCTGTCGTCTTACCATGGCAGCAAAGACACACACACCCACCCCCACCCCCTGCAACAGCACACGCACCGTCATGAGACGTCATCGAGGTGAAGGTATTAAGCATATCGTCCCTTCCATTAGTGGTTCCAACCCGCTACAACATCATCTCAGATTGCAATGTTGCAGGCTGAACTTCTGGAGAATATTCACCGACAGGTCGACTCGGCCTGCATCGTGTTACTCCAAGAGTCCATGTTATAGACGCAGTGTTTACATGCACTGAGGTCCACACACATAGGGAAGGCTTATGTCACCGAGCGGCACATGTGCCAGTCTAGAGAGCCAATGGCCTGACACACATCGCAGTGTTATTGTTTATGCCCTCCTTCAGAAACAGCTGTGTCAAGGCGAGACTGTCGTTTGTCTGATAGAACCCTACACTTACAAACCCTCAAAGCATATATATCGTTTTCTAACCATATTGATAATATGCGTTTTCACGTATAGTATATCTATTCTAAAATCACATGATTTTATCAGTATATCCTAGTATATACCACTCAGTCCATTCATATATTTTGGTTCGAATATTAACAATACCCTCTCGCCACCTATGTACGAGGGGCGTTCCAAAAGTTCTAAGCCCCACCTAGAAAATGATACAAATGCAGCTGTTTTTATGTTTTATCTTTCTACATATAATCTGTTAACCTCAAGCAAAGTGGTTTTGCAATGTTCCAGCCTCACAATCCCCATTATGTTTGACTTTTTATCTTGGTACCCCCCAAAACGCAAAATCTGCAATAAATGCATCACAAACTTCAGGAAACAAAATATGCAAGAAATAATTTGTGTGTTTGAGATAGACAGCAGCCCCCTAGTATCAAACTTAGTTTTAAACTGCATAAAACAGCAATTTGAAGCCACAATCGCTTGTTCAAGTGACTCCCCTTCATGTTTACTGTTAGAGCTTGTTTGGGAGACACTACCCCGCCCTCCCCCCCCTCCTTTCAGATGACGTAATCATAAGGACATAACTTATTCTCATGCTTTCACTTATTCATACATGGTGCCATGCGTTCAAACTAAATGCTGAATGGTCAGCTCTCAATATATTGTAAACAGTGCCAGCTTGATAATCTGGACACAATGTTTTTGAAGGATTAAAATGTTATGGTGTCCTTAAAAAAAACAGCCCCCATCTAAGTATATTTTGAATGCTGATTATGACGGGTAGTCATCCAATACTATACGGAACATATTTTATATGATACCATAAGGGCATACCATTATGAAAAAGGTACCCGATGACATATCGTTTTTTATTTTCTGCAATTTTTTAAGAAATATTATACTGCAATGTGTTGTGATGACTAATATCTCGTTAACCACATTAGCCACATACATGTGAAATTTTGGATATGGCTTTGCTAATGGTTCCTCAAAAATAAAATGAAAGCTTTTCAAACATTGGACATGAATATAGTCAGGCTGACTTCTTTTTGAACGCCCCTCGTATAAGCACAATTGCTTCACTTTACAGTTTCAGCAAATTTATGTGTGTTTGTTTTTAATTCTATTCACAAGTTACCAATTAGTTAGTCTTTTACAAACGGTCCACACACGCAGAGGACGGTGTTCCTGATACAGAGAGGCACTTGTGAAGACCACGAAACAAAACACGTGATCATACACGAGAAAGTCAACTATCATGAATACGTGGGTCATATGTTCTCGCTACTTCGGCCGCGTGGACAAACCGTGGTAGCTTTGTTTCAACATTGAAAACATTTGTGATGACCAGAAAACAACACACTTTATCATAAATAAGTATGTCAACGCTCACGAATATATGGGTTATATTTTTCGCTATTTGCGTTGGGTGGACAAAGCTTGAAACGACATCAGGACTAATCACAATTATGTTCACTGGATTTGAATGCTCCGGAAACTTTATGACACCATTGGGCAGAACATTCTGCGATCGACGACAGCTCCAAGACATCACGATTCCACAGTCAGCTGTCACTAGGCGACTGACACGACCGGGTCAGACACGAGGCACTGTGTACCATGGACGCAGAAGATGGTCCAGTGATGACACCACAATTCGCAAAGCAGAGTTGCCTCCCCTTAACACGCCTGGATGTTATGATAGTGGGGACTAATCACTCCAATATGTTTCTAGTATTGTTTTAGCACGGTACCCGAGCACGTAGGTTTCTTCAGAATGACAAATATATGAGCCCCGTATCATTAAGCTGACACGATGCATTTGCCCTGAATTTACTTTTAAACCAAACTTGCTCACCTACACCTGGGTAATAGGAAAATGACTCGATATTTTTTTTAAATGCTTATTACTTACCAATATAATACACTATTCACAACAAGCCCAAGAACACTACATTTGGAAGGTAGTGTGTTGCCATGCCAACCAGCCATGACATATTAACTTGGCATTTGATGAAAGGGGTTCCTCTGTAGTTTTCTATTAGGATACCTATTGATTAGTTTTGCATTAATTATACTTATATTTTTGTTTGGAGACAAGAGTCATATATTCTATTTAACATCAATCTGCAGGAAGTATAGCGTTGGCGAGGTCACGTAAGTTACTACCTTTTGACGTTCACCAAGGCACTGGTAAACTAACCCAAGACACCCTCCCGAACTAAGACGCTATGTGGCTAGATAAGGTGAACACCAAATATACGCAAGTCTGTTATATGAAGACACTGAACTAAATTGTTTTCTGTTCTGTCTAGCCCTGACTGTAATGAAGTAGCTCTACTGACTGGCTGACTGGGTTTGGTTTTACGCTGCTTTCAGCAATATTCCAGCAACATCACGGCGGGGGACACCAGAAATGGGCTTCACACATTGTACCCATGTGGGGATTCGAACCCGGGCCTTCGGCGTGACGAGCCAACGCTTTAACCATTAGGCTACCCCACCGCCCTGAAGTAGCTCTAAGTGAAGGAGGGATAATTTTTCCGCAGGTTCTAAATCTGCCTTCTCGCTGAATGACCTTTGCTGACATTATTGTGAAGTGTATTGCATTCACAAGTAATTATATTTCCAGTCGGAACCCATTAGCCATTTAGTGTGAACCCATTAGCAATTTAGTGTGAACCCATTAGCCATTTAGTGTGAACATATTAGCTATTAAGTGTGAACCCATTAGCCATTTAGTGTGAACACATTAGCCATTTAGTGTGAACACATTAGCCATTTAGTGTGAACCCATTAGCCATTTAGTGTGAACAAGTAGTCCAGTCGTTATCAATGATATAACGTCTCTCACATGTTCACAACAACGAGCTGTTGATACAGTAAATTACGGTCATAACGAACTCGTAGGGTCCACTAATTTTAGTTCGTTATAACCGTAGTTCGTTATATTCAGTTTATACATATATAAGGAAATATACAGCAAGTGGTGGGCCCAAAACAAAACCCCAACCGTTTTCGAAGGTTCGTTATAACGGCAGTGTATATGGTGCCCAGTTATTTGGAAAGTTGACGTCGTTTGGCCCCGTCGAGATAACAGAAGCTGCAGATGGTCTGAAGGTCGGTGGATTCAGGTCGATGTCGCCTCCATGTGGCAAGGATCAATCATGTTAGGCGTTGTAATTCAGTCGGCGTGTCAACCATGACGCTCCTCAGAAACCTATTACCGTTGGTTCGAAATCACAATTCGCACTCATTACGTTTCTCGGTTTGTAGGCAGCTAGATTTGGGTTAGAATTGATCTTCAGTAACCCATGCTTGTCGTAAGAGGCGACTAACGGGATCGGGTGGTCAGGCTCGCTGATATAGTTGATGCATGTCATTGTAACCCAATTGCGTAGGGGGGCGGTGGGGTAGCCTAGTGGTTAAAGCGTTGGCTCGTCACGCTGAAGGCCCGGGTTCGAATCCCCACATGGGTACAATGTGTGAAGCCGATTTCTGGTGTCCCCCGCCGTGATGTTGCTGGAATATTGCTAAAAGCGGCGTAAAACCAGTCAGCCAATTGCGTAGGTCGATACTCATGATGTTAATCACTGGATTGTTTGGTCGAGACTCGGTTATATGAGTGCGGCATTAAACAACAAACGAACCAACCAGCCACACGAACTATGAAGTGTAGATACAATACACTGCGGTTAAAACGAACTCAATGGACTACTGGCCAAATACACTGTTTTCAAAGGTTCATTATAACCATGTCCGTTATTAAGGCAAGTGTGTATCACTCCTAGTACATCATATCTAGTTATACCTAAGAAGTCCTTTGGTCCCGTTGAGATAACGGGAATTATGGAGTGGTCACATGGTCTGTCAATTATAGTTTCAATCGACATCGCCTCCATGTGGCTAGAATCAATTATTTTACGTGCCATAATTCAGTACGCAGGTCGTCAACCCTGACGCTCCTCAGAAACCAATTACCGTTAGTACGAAAACCA